TAACCGACTATTAATCGGGATCCAATCGATTAGTGCTGCCTCAGCTCTAGCGCTTAGTGCGACACCAACGCCAGCAAGACCAGACGAAGATGCCACAGGGTCCCCGGATAAGCGCACGTAAAACAAGCTTTTTGAAGCGACAGATGGAGATCGAATTTGTAGTACTTCGCCAGATTCTTGAATACGGGTCTCAGATAGACAACAAACGTCGATAGTAAGACTTTCCAAAGACATAGCCAGCCCTATCTGTTGTCCGACCTGCATAAATGTGCGAACGTTGAAGGCAGCCAGTTTGAATGGTGCACGTGGTTTCAGAAAAACTGCTTCAGTTCTCATATTCGGTGGTGACATACAATTTTCAACCGGACAGTGACTCGAGAACGTTTAGATAGTCAAATTTCCACCATAGACAAGCTGCTGTATAAGTCGAAAAGAATAAGTATAGATAGAGTAGGAATAAAAGAGGGTGAATAATGATGTAGTAAATAATAATGATAATAATAATAATAATAATAATAATAATAATAATAATAATAGCAATAATAATATTTGAATCATTTGATTGTTCGTCGAAGCAAGAGAATTAGTTTCCATGATCATAGACAGTTCAGTTCACTAATTGTGTGTGGGCTGTGATACTACCCGGGTGTCCAAACCGAAGTAGATGGTTTTCTTAGGGGATCACACCCCGAGCCTTTGACCTAATGGTCTAACCCACAAGACAGTGGAGCATCGTGAGGAGATGCAGTCTCATGGTAGCCGGTGACAGACGATTGCTTCATACACCATTTGTTCCCACAGGATCGTGGAGCCCATGCGCACCATTGATTTGGAATCCGGTTGAAGCGCCGGGCAGAGGCTGTATACGCGTGGTCGTGTGAGAGTATTTCCAGAGGGAGGGCGAATCCACCCCGCTCTCGGCCATACCAGGGCATTTGGGGGGTTTTAAAAACAGATTACTCGTCATTATTGTTAATTTACAAAATTAAGATTTCGTCCTATTGATTTCTGATGATATGATTACTGAATTTATATACCATTTTCAGACCTCCACTATTGGACCATTATTTGCAAGCGCTTTAATTGCTTGTTTCTTGGTGATTCTTGGTTTGGTGAGTTGCGGCATTTTTCGGTGACTTGTTAGTTTTATGCTTAAAATAGCTCTCACTACAATTTTGCGTTGTCATCAAAGACTGTATAATACATATTACTAAGTTCTATTACTTTTCATGTATCCCTTCCATTAATCAACGATCAGTGTCGTTGATTTCGATGGTAATATTTAATGTTGAAAAATTAGTTTCTTGACACTTACTAGATATCGAGCTTAAGGTTAAATTAGCTTTCTGGACCTGCTCGTGATCAGCAATGATTGTTGTGTTCACCAGCAATAACCGGTATATGCTTCTTTTCAAAACTGTATTCATGTTGCATTTCTTGGTAGTGTTTTGATTTTGGTGGTTGTGTTTTTTGGATATAGTACTCTTTTCATGTATGGGTCTACAAGAACCAGTTCTACAAGACATTGGACCCATAGTGTCATTTTGGTTCATTAAATGTATCTGGACGAACTGAAACATCACTTGGCTAGCGAAATTGAATGTTTATTCCATATCTCAGTTACGTATGGTTTTGAGTTTCTGTAGTTCCCTATACTCCGGTCCTAGTCCTCATATGTATGTGGGTGATAAGTTAGTATCTTAATTTAGTGGTCGTCCACTATATATATATATATAGCAGATGAAGAATTTACTGTTTTCTTAGATCGCAAACGTCTCGTCAGCCAATCAATTCTTCAAGCCCAGAGCTGAACAGTTTATCTAAATAGAATGATACAAGAAATACAACCATTGTCGCCTTCTTTATGAGCTACAGCTCTCTTTTATTTTGTCGGGTGGCATGCACTTCATAAATTTGTAAGTTCTTGACGTCTACGTTATTCGGAACACCCCAATGTAAACGTAATGCCAACCAACTGACTCTCTCTACTTAAATGAAAAGCATTATCATTTTTTCAGGAAAGTTGTTTAGATTAGCTTCAGGCGCTTGTAATAATGTTTAAACCCTTCTCTCCACATACCGAAGTCTATACGGTCAAGCATTATTCTTGGCCTTCATATGGTAAATGTTATTCATTATGTACACAAGCCCTGACTACTGATGAGAACACTTAAATCCAGTCAAGTTCATTAGTTTTTCGTAGTCTTTGTAGGCAGTTTATCAAAGTTTGTTTTCTTTTTCTATAGAACACTTTCATTGCCTGCCTATCTACGGCTTCTGTGAGACTGCAGTATTTCTATGAAATTGATCGTTATCGAAAATTAGTCAACTCGTCACCTCAAACAGATCCTACTTGCTTAGAAGAATATTCTCTCCAACCTTTGCTACAACAACCTCTGTCTATGCAGTCTGCTGGTTCGTGTATCAAAGCAAATACTTTACACTTCCCTCACGATAATTTGAATACTATATCGCCTTTCATGAATTCCACACCAACATGCATAGGTCTCATTTCTAGTCCTAACATCTTCAATGAGACACAGATGTCTCAGCAACTTTACTCTCATAGACCCATAAGACACTCTACTTACTCACATCAATCAACTATTCTGAGTAACAATTATTAATTGAGAAATTGCATTTGTAAACCACCTCGTTTCACGCTTTTATTTCGAAGCATTAATATAATCAAAAGCTTTTCGTTTAATGCCAACTTGTTAAGTATTCACAACTATCCGGTCTATGTAATGCTTTGTTTATTCATATAATATATTCTCAGAATTCCACTTTTATAATCCTCAGGTTTGAGTTGCATTCCATATATATTTGTCCGTTTTATCTTATTTGTTTTATAAGCTTTGTATATACTTATTTATATTAGATAGCTCAATGTTCTTTTGTTATTTTTGCTTGAAAAACACTTTTTTAAAAACTCATTTCCCTTTGGGACGAATCATGAAACCTATGTAACATTTCTAATCTCATTAAAACAACCAGCAATATATTCTCATCTTGAGGTACATCTTTTTCTCCCGTGCACCTTTTTTATTAGTCACATACAAAACCACCACCATGAACTGTTATTTCATCAATACCAAATATGTTGATTTACAATAAACATTCATTTATCGTCAATTGTTGAAATTTTGTTACCTAAAGTGGTTACTTCAATGTTATTAATCAATAGCTTAACCTAATAGAGTTAGTACCATCTTATGTATCAACTATAGAACAGAACAATAAACAGGAGAAATGTATATTTATTGCGAAAGTTACGAAGCAATTACATGGTGTGTATAGATAGCATTCAATCGTCCATTTGCACCTTCCAGTGTGTTCTGCAATCTGAACTGTCTTCTCGACTAACCTTCGAAACGTCATACTTTCGATGCACCGAAACTCTTCACTGCCTGACGGTTGCGAATTCGACGCTACGTTCCGATACACCTTATTCGCAAACATCCTTGACAGTAGCATCCACTACACAACTAAAATTACGTATACCTATTAAAAGAGTAATTTAACACCGTATTGGTTGTTTGGGATATTAAATACAATAAAGACTTATCGTGAGAACGGCTTAGTTTTGTCGCGCACTTGAACCACAGCTACGAATGACGCTGTCAAACTAAGTTAGTATTAAGATTAGTTGGGTAGTGTAACGACCAGGAGCAAATGCCGTTGTAAGGTAAATAATGTGCTTTTGGTAAGGTGCAAGAGCAAAGCTTTACATAAACCGAACTAGCATGTAGTGATGTATTTCCTCTGGGCAAACAGTATTCCCACGTCTTCTATGTGGGAGAAATAAGTGGATATTTTCTTCCATGAATACATTTTGTTTTATCTTCTGTGCATCGTACTATAGCTCTACAACGAAACGATCGCTAATTTTCCTTGGACATTGTAGTCACTCATCACTGCTTTGTTTTATTTCAGGTGTTTCCGTGATTTACACAGAATGGGTCACTTTTCAAAATAATTTCGACCCTCCCGCCTATCACCAGTCATCCTCGTTTCTTCAGTACCTCTTGTTATTTACGCCACACACTAGGTTATCCGCGATGCTTTGCTTTATAATCGTTATCATCAAGTTCAGCGTAGGAAGTTGAATTCCCAGTTGTACACGTGCATTGTTTTGGGGAAATGCTGTGCATGGATGAGTATTAACCTTCATGTAATTCATACTATAACACCAAATTGAAGGTGGCGTGGTATTTCGTGGTCACCAAGATTCTGCGCTCTATCATGAATAGGCTTAAGGGTGTGCATTGGTGGGCAGCTCAGGGTTTAGAAATCAACTGTCAGGTGGTTTTCAGTTTCCAACAAGTTTCGGTGTTAGATAAAGTTTTTAAAAATACCAACTAATTATTTGGCATAGGGTAGTTGTGCCAAGTATAAAACCTTATTATCGAAATCAAAAGTTGCTATTCAAGCAGGCTTTTAGAAATGTAAGCTGAACTGTCATCCATGTGGAGCTTATATTTATTGAGTAAAAGATTATATCAAATCAATAGACAGTAATGATAACACTTGACTGTACATCGAGAATAGTTACAATAATCCGCATAATATAAGACTATTGCGAAAATGCACCCGCTACGTTAGCATGGGGGAGTAGGGCATCCTAAAGAGAAGCTATAAATTCACAGTCGTGTGCGAATATTTCGGGAAAGAAAATAAGCTCTCCCACTCTCTGTCATTTCAAGTCGATCAAGAGCGATTACTTTTTCTGGTGACTGCGGTAAAGAGCATATCATTCTAAATTTCTCCAACCTGAAATAAAAACAATATCAGTTTATTAATACTGGCACATAATTCCAAGTGAAACCCAGTATATTTCTAACAGTGTTTCATAAACAAACATAATTCCATTTTTAATGAATGTTTTAATAGAAAAAAATGTATCTTTTTCGCATGATAAATATTACAGGTCATCATAAGTTTATCCATCAGTAAATCTGACAGCTATGTATCCAATAATTTAAATAACAGAAAGCGAATCAAAACACAACTAGAAGTGCAAATACACAATACACTAAGGCGCATGGATACGCCACAAGAATGCGTTGGTGTTGCATATCCAAACTACGAACAAACAATTTACTGGAAGCAATTGTGCACCACGAAACGACAGTCGCTGTCAACACGACACCTAGTACACTTCTGGGATAAAAGTTAAATGAGAGTTGTACATCATTTTATGTATGACAAAATATAGAAAAAAATTATGTACAGGTAAATTCGAAAAAGAGAGGTTACCGTTATTAAAATCTAAATTGTATATCTAATATTTTTGAACTCAGAAACAACAAGAATGGATGTGGTAACCAAAAGCAATTGATTGACGGGATTGTGACAAATTTACAAATACCTATTAACTCCAATGTCAATTCACATGAAGGTGAATAAGAGCCCATGTAAGGAGTAGGTGCATAATAATCCAGAAACTACGGTGAATAACCTTACCACCGACGTATATAATTTGAACTGTAAGGGGGTGACTGCAGGTAGTCGACAGGAAACCCAAAACCTGTTTCGTGCTATTTGATACTTACCAACAAGGTGTAATCTTTTTGGAACAGATGCTCCCTGGCAGACTTGATTCCGTGTCACCCAGCTTTACAGTTGGTGTTATCACTAAGCTATCCGGGGCGCAACTGATCTCCTGTAGGACTGAGATGTATTTACAACTGAGTGATCACTGAGTAGTAACCGATGGCAAAGTCCTTAGTATTAACTGAACTCTGTCGATCCAGTTGCAGTGTGATCACTTGTCGAAGTGACTTGACATTGTTTACATTATGCTGAGGTGCCAAATGGTATGAAACCTAGATATATGGTTTCCTGTCGACTGCTCCCAATCACCACCTTACTTCCCAATATGCTGCGCGCAATGTCGAGCCACTTAGACTAGTGACCACACTATATGATTCAATCAGCACTAAAAAGGACTAGACATACATGACATTCATTGATCAACCAATTGTAAATCAGACATTTTAGGTATTACATAAATATATATGAGAAGACGAATATGAAGTGTTTTTGTTGTGGAGAGGGAATGTATGTAAATCCTCCATATGATGATGATGTCCCCAACAACATATTTATTTATTTATTTGAACACATAAATATTGGTACAAGAGGGCACCAAATATAGATGCGCCACACAAAACAATGAGAATTTAAAGACAAGGAAAAAAAAGGTAAGCGGTGTGAAAGAAAAGAAAAACAATAACGAACAGATTGGTGTAAGGTAGTGCAATAATAATAATAATAATAGTAATAATGGGGGAACGGAAAGGTACAATCAGAAGAAATCTTTCAGTTAAGGAAGAAACAACCACTTTTTATGAAGAAAGTAAAAGAAGGTTACTGCAGGATCGCCACTGGCTTCTATTCTGAGCTATATCTGATAACGTCTCTAGCCACTGTGTCGCACCATCTCTCGGACCCCAGCCAGGGAGTCGTGAAGGACCAACACAAGCCAGTCTTTTGCAGCTTTCTTTCATACCACGACACCATGTCATACACTGATCACCTCTCCGCTTTTTCCAACAAGTCCCAGAGTCGGCAAATAATGCACGACGTGGAATTTTCTGGGACGACATTCGTAGAACATGTCCAAGCCACCGAAGTCGGTGTTTCAAGATGGTGACACCGATTGGATTATCGTCTCTGCGCCCGAATACACGATGCCGAACCTCTGCATTACTGACATGGTGTTGCCACTGGATGTCAGCAATTTTTCGGAGACAATGATGATCAAACACAGAGAGTCATCTAACATCCTCAACTCGGAGAGGCCAGGTTTCACAAGCGTAGAGCAGAACTGCTCTCACCGACGCGTTGTAGATCCGACCTTTTACAGCCAGACTAACATCACGAAGGCGCCAAAGATGGCCCAGATTGGTATAAGTCGCTCTGGCTTTCACTATACGTGCATTGATCTCATCACTCACGCCACCACCAGCACTTATGCAGCTACCTAGGTACACGAACTTCTTGACTACTTCTATCTGCTCACCATCCAGGGTGAGTACAGGATTAGGATCCTGCCAGTCTTGTAGAAGTACTTTGCACTTCGAAGGTGCAAAGCAAATACCGTACCTACGGACACTGATTGCCAACTGATTAAGCGCGAATTGCATGTCTTGGGCATTATCGCACAGTAAGACAATATCATCCGCATACTCAAGGTCGAGAAGTCTTTCTCCAGGCAACAGATCCACACCGCCATTACTTACATCCATCAGAGCTGTTTCGAGAATGTCGTCGATGGCAAAGTTGAAGAGGAATGGTGAGATTGGGCAACCCCGCCTAACCCCATTGTTCGAATGGAACAATGGAGAAAGGTGGTTGTATGCCCTCGCTCTACCCAATTACCATGATATGGCCGAGAGTGGGGTGAGCCCGCCCTCCCTCTCGAAATGCTCTCACACGGTCACGCGTATACAGCCTCTGCCAAGGAAGTCCTACTCACTAACTTCTTGTGGCATTACTGTTGTTTACGAAAACGAGAGGACGAAAAGCGAATGTCCGGCGCTTCAACCGGATCCGAACCAATGGTGCGTATGGGCTCCAATATCTTGCGGGAACAAATGGTGTATGAACCAATCGTCTGTCACCGGCTACCATGAGACTGCATCTCCTCGTGATGTTCCACTGCCTTGTGGGTCAGACTTTTAAGTAAAAGGCTTGGGGCTGGGCCCCCTAAGAAAACCACCTGCTTCGGTTTGAGAACCCGGGCAGTATCACGGCCCTCACACAAATAAAATGAAAATGACGATATTTACTGAAAATTCTATTCACGCTTCGATTAACAGTCAAACAATTCACATTATTATTATTATTTACTACATCATTATTCACCCTCTTTTATTTCTACTCTATCTATACTTATTTTTTTCGACTTATACAGCAGCTTGTCTATGGTGGAAATTTGACTCTATCTAAACGTTCTCGAGTCACTGCCTGGTTGAAAATTGTATCAAATCCATTGCTTTCTCGTGGCGAGGGTGATGTTTACGAAATTGAGAGGACGAAAAGCGAATGTCCGGCGCTTTAACCGGGTTGGTGGACATGGAGAGTACACCTAGGGGAGTTGGAAAACCCTGATTCCCAACCAATGGTGCACATGGGCTCCAGTATCCTGAAGGAACAAATGGTGTATGAACCAATCGTTGGTCACCGGCTACCATGGGACTAGATCTTCTTACGATGCTCTATTGCCCTGTGGATCAGACCTTCAGGTCGAAGGCTTGGGGTTCGGCCCCCTAAGACAATCACCTGCTTCGGTTTGGGCACCCGGGCAGTATTACAGCTCTCACAGAAATCAAATGAGATTTGTGTGGCGCATATGTACTTGGTGCCTCCTTGTACCAATATCTATGTGTTCAAATAAAATAAATAAAAAAGAAAATTGTATGCTACCACCAACAACATAAAGTGTAAAGGTATTGGCAAGCCTGCTACTATGAGTAGTAGGTAGAGAAATGTGATTGATAAACGCGGGTAGGAGTGGTTAGGCAGTACATTATATATCCACATTAGCCCTTCTGCTCAGTGTCTTTGACTGCGGAAAACATGGTAAGTAGAATCCGGCAGAATTATTCCATGCAAACGATAAATTCGTTCAAAGGTGAATTCGACAAAGAAAAACTAGGCAGCGCATGCCGATTACTAGGTGTTCTTTTTTTTGATACTGTACGTTTTAGGTTCAGTGAGAGAGAAAACTGGAAGCAAAATCTGCAAAAATGAACAATTAAGGTTCCTCATGGCGCAACGCCTATGAAATTACTGTAAATTAGCAAGAAAGTTTTGTTAAATGTAGATGCTAATAAGGCATAATCTACTGCATGTTATTATAAGACTACGTTTTCGAGTTATGATCACTTATTAATGTACAATGTATCTATGTTAAAAGAGTAAACTTACTTAAGAGAAAATACAATCCCAAATGAAGATAAAAGACACATAGGAAGTAGGCAATATCCTAATGTTGAAATGACACAAGTTGGTGTAACTCCCCTAGGCGTCATAACTGATAACAGGAGGTAAATACCCAAGCAACCAAATACACCTAATCCATAGATATAATTGAAGTGAATTTTTCCAGCCTACGTAGTAAAATGATAAAAAAAGAAATAAGTATACGATTACCAAAACAACTGCAATAAGGTAATCATAAAACACCAACGGTTTACATTTGTATATTAAAACTCACAAACATTAAGGTACAACCAAATAGCAGGCAGAAAACCAAAGGTCCGGCCAAATCTGTATCGTCAAGCACTTCTTGAGAACTTTCTTTAAAAGGAAGGAGGACAGATGATGTCTGAAAAACAAAAATGTGTTGTGTGACATTGTACTACATAATATATAATCTTCAACGCATCTAAATATCAGTTTTTTTGCCAACTACATAGATATTTTTGATATATTGTCATTTGGTTTGCGCGATAGTGGAAGTGAAGAAAAAGTAACTTTTCATACAGTTCATTTTGGACATTTCGTCTCATATTTCACAAAGAAATCAAATGACAAAAATATTTTTCTCTTGTACTCTTTTTTATTGATACTTTCACTAACTGAAAATGGTTCATTTGCATGATGACAAAATAGCGAACGACTGGATAGATTCATGTTACCAATGGTGAATGTAGTTTTTAATCATAATAAAATTACGTCAGCAACTACTATGTATTAAGTGTTAATAAATAAAACTGCACTAAACTGAAATCAACAAACCCACAACTGACGATAGATAATTAACTATTTCTTATATAAATATTGAAAAAAAACTACTTACCTTTTGTACAATGTGACTAAAGTTGATACCAAGTTCTGCAACACAAGAAAATATGTAAGTTTAAGTAATCATCATACGGTAATACAATTTAGTATTTTATTATAGGAACGATTGATCTATGATATAATCAGACATAATTGTATGTGTTAGTTGTGTTTGATTGACATAATAAAAATCCATTTCAAAACGCTAATGTTTATAATATTTAAATACATACAAATACTTCATTGGAATTAATGAAGAAAATCAAATATGTGAAAAATCATTTCACAAGCAATTCTTGGATTCTCACTTAATAACAAGACAAAGCTGTGATTCAGTGATTTAATTAATTAGCAACTCCAAACATGACATCTATAATAATGAGGAAATTTGTTCTTTAAAGTAACTTGTAAATTAAGCAAAACAAGAAGACATCAGACTGAATGCTTATTTTGGTAGAGACAAAATCTTACATACACAGTCTAATGTTGTAGTGTTATGTCGAGAAATCCGAATACATGGTTGTATACTTTATTTATTAAGTAAACATTTGAACAAACATATATCAGTAAACATAAAATGGAACTAGTTCATAATAAAATATATAAACTATGATGAATCAGTATGTAAAAGAACCTAGTAATCATAAGAAATGTTTCTAAAACAAATTGATCTGTTTCAAAATTTATCTGTGAATTAGGTTGTCAGCAGTAGTGAAGTATAAGATTGTATTATCAAGTTAAATTACTAGCTGAATTGAGTCTTACATAACAGCACAAAATGACTAGATGATTAAAAAGTTAGACATGTTGGTGTGGTTATGAAAAGATTTGACTAATTATTAAATACATTTAATTACTCAAAACTATGAACCATTTGAATTCGGCTAAGAGGTCTGATGATATGATGAGTGCAACAAGACCTGATGATGTAACGTAGATGTCTTTTCAAAAAGCATTAGTTAATCTTATCTGTTTAAACTCTATTCGGTTTATTTTCTGCCAACTGTTTGTCCCTAAATACACAAATCGTTAGTTAATTCCAGCCTACTACATAAGTAAAGTTGTGATAAATTAACGTTCCATGTGGTCTACAGTAAACATTGCTGAGTAAATTATGAGCACGGATCAATTTTAATTTTACTATTTATCTTTTGTTAAAACATTCTCCAATTTCTTTTATGAGAATCCATTGAAGGTAACAGATACAAAGTTACACGATATTGTCTGCGTTACATAAAGTGTAATACTTTGGAAATTAGGTATAACTGTTTTTAAATTGACTGCACTTAACAATACTTCTTTATTTTCCAACGATTAAGTGAAAAACTAGTTTACAGACACGTTATTTTGCTGAATAACTATGCATTCTTGTTAATGTTTGTGGTAAATTCGGTAATGAACAGTTTCATTAATATAAATAAAAATAATATATTTTTAATATCCCAATGAGTTGAAAATTGGATTTTCTGACGTTTCGTGACTTAGTGTAAGTCACTTCTTCAGAGAATAAATAACCAAATTAAAATTAATCCAAGCTGTACTATTTAAACTTGGATTAATTTTAATTTGGTTATTTATTCTCTGAAGAAGTGACTTACACTAAGTCACGAAACGTCAGAAAATCCAATTTTCTACTCATTGGGATATTACAAATATATTGTTTTTATTTATAACAATCAATCCAATGCTCAATTTATTCGAAATTATCAAATCAAACCCTGGTAATGATACCTAGTCTCATTAATAGTTATTGTTACTGGGTTTTAACAGTACTCCTTGATGTGTTCGCGTTACAAGCGACAACCATTCACTTTGACAACTTTAAAACTTCTGAAACTAAACAAGAGTGAATTTCAACAAAGTTATGCCTTACAAATACATTATTACAGTGTATGGGAATGTACATATCCATAACGTATGCGCAAAACCCACGTTTGCATCATATATGCAAATAATAGTGCTGTTAAAAGTTATGGTACAGTGAAAGAGCTAGTTCTTTGAAAAATATTTAAAATGCATTTCATTCTTACCTTCCAACAGAGGTGGTTCATTTTCGTAATCCTCTTCTTTTCCTTCATACATCGCAGCAGAGGAATATTGTACTTGTGAGAAGGGAAGATTGATAGGTTGGGATGGTATTGAATTTGCATTTTCATATGAAAATTGACTGAATTGCCTAGGGAACCATGAAAAACGAACAGCGTTACTGCACAGTTAAGTACTATAGATATAACAGAGAAGACAAACGAATTCACCAGATAAAGTAGATTGTATGGTTTAAGGAAATGGAAACCAGTTAACAATATAAGTGACATGTACCTATTCCCAACTAACTCCGCCTGGAGTCCCTCTGGGGGCTACTGCCGGTCCCAAGCCCGGATAAAGGAGGAGGGTTGGGCATGGGGTTAGCGTCCCCATCCCGTAGAAAACTAACTCGCTAAAAAAACGCTAACCAGAAAAAATTATTCAAACCTTTTAAACTCTGCCCTGGGAGTCAGAAGATCTTCATTTAGAAGAATTATGACGCCTCATGATGAAAGCCGAATTCCTTCGGAAGTTACGAGGCCGAGGCCCCTTCTGACAACCAGAGCGACCATTTATTTAGGTACATGGAATGTTCGTACAATGTGGGACACCGGAAGAGCCTTCCAGATTGCTGCAGAAATGAGAAGATACAACCTAGAGGTACTTGGGATCAGTGAAACACATTGGACACAAGTTGGACAACAACGACTAACTACAGGAGAGCTCCTGTTATACTCCGGCCATGAAGAAGAAAATTCACCACATACACAAGGAGTTGCATTGATGCTGTCCAAACAAGCGCAAAATGCACTTATAGGATGGGAATCTCATGGACCAAGGATCATCAAAGCCTCGTTTAAAACAAAGAAAGAGGGCATTTCAATGAGCATCATCCAATGCTATGCGCCTACCAACGACTACAATGAAGACGCTAAAGATCAATTCTACAATAGGCTGCAGTCAATAGTCGAGAAGTGCCCAACAAAGGACCTGACCATTCTGATGGGAGATTTCAACGCCAAGGTTGGAACGGACAACACTGGATATGAAGACATCATGGGACGACACGGACTGGGAGAAAGAAACGAAAATGGTGAGAGATTTGCAAACCTATGTGCCTTCAATAAGCTGGTCATAGGCGGCACCATATTCCCACATAAACGCATACACAAAACCTCATGGACTTCACCGGATCACTCTACACAAAACCAAATCGACCATATTTGCATCAACAAAACGTTCAGGAGGACTATAGAGGACGTGAGAACCAAGAGAGGAGCTGATATAGCCTCAGATCATCACTTACTGGTCGCCAAGATGAAATTGAAACTCAAGAAGCACTGGACAACGGGGCAGACAGTATCACAAAAGTTCAATACGGCCTTTCTCCAGGATACTAACAAACTCAACAAATTCAAGATATTCCTCAGCAACAAGTTCCAGGCCTTTCATGATCTACTCAATGGAGAAGGAACTACTGTGGAGAGCAACTGGAAGGGGATCAAAGAGGCAATCACTTCAACATGTCATGAGGTCCTGGGTCACAAGAAGCACCACCACAAGGAATGGATCACTGTTGGTACACTGGATAAGATTCTAGAAAGGAGGAACAAGAAGTCAGCGATCAATACCAGTCGAACAAGAGCAGAAAAAGCCAAGGCACAAGCTGAATACACAGAAGTAAACAAACAAGTGAAGAGGAGCATCAGAACCGACAAACGTAAATATGTGGAAGATTTAGCAACGACGGCGGAAAAGGCTGCAAGAGAAGGAAACATGAGACAATTGTATGACACGACAAAGAAACTCTCTGGAAATCGCCGCAAACCAGAACGACCAGTGAAAAGCAAGGAAGGCGAGGTAGTCACCAACATTGAAGAGCAACAAAACAGGTGGGTAGAACACTTCAAAGAACTGTTGAATCGACCAGCTCCACTGAACCCACCCAACATCGAAGCAGCACCCACGGACCTCCCAATCAATGTTGGCCCACCAACAATTGAAGAAATCAGCATGGCCATCAGACAAATCAAGGGTGGCAAAGCAGCAGGACTGGACAACATCCCAGCAGAGGCACTAAAAGCAGACGTAGCGGCAACTGCACGGATACTCCACATTCTCTTCAATAAGATTTGGGATGAGGAACAAGTACCAACGGACTGGAAAGAAGGACTACTGATCAAAATACCGAAGAAAGGCGATCTCAGCAAGTGTGATAACTACAGGGGCATCACTCTTCTCTCAATACCGGGAAAAGTCTTCAACAGGGTGTTGTTAAAGAGGATGAAGGACTGCGTAGGCGCCCAACTTCGTGACCAACAGGCAGGATTCCGTAAGGATAGATCGTGTACAGACCAAATCGCAACTCTACGGATAATTGTGGAACAATCAATTGAATGGAATTCATCCCTCTACATCAACTTCATTGACTACGAAAAGGCATTTGATAGCGTGGACAGAACAACACTATGGAAACTTCTTCGACACTACGGCGTGCCTCAGAAGATAGTCAATATCATACAGAACTCATATGATGGATTACACTGCAAAATCGTGCATGGAGGACAGTTGACAAAGTCGTTCAAAGTGAAGACCGGTGTTAGGCAAGGTTGCTTACTCTCACACTTTCTCTTTCTCCTGGTGATCGACTGGATCATGAAAACGTCAACGTCTGAAGGAAAACGCGGGATACAATGGACATCTAAGATGCAGTTGGATGATCTAGACTTCGCAGACGATCTGGCCCTTCTATCCCAAACGCAACAACAGATGCAGGAGAAGACGAACAGTGTGGCAGCAGCCTCAGCAGCAATAGGTCTCAATATACACAAAGGGAAAAGCAGGATTCTCCGATACAACACAGAATGCACCAATCCAATCACAATTGACGGAGAAGATTTGGAAGATGTAGAAACCTTTACGTATTTGGGCAGCATCATTGATGAACAGGGTGGATCTGATGCAGATGTGAAGGCGCGGATCGGCAAAGCAAGAGCAGCATATTTACAACTGAGGAACATCTGGAACTCAAAGCAACTGTCAACCAACACCAAGGTCAGGATTTTCAATACAAATGTCAAGACAGTTCTACTGTATGGGGCAGAAACCTGGAGAACTACGAAAGCCATCATCCAGAAAATACAGGTGTTTATTAACAATTGTCTACGCAAAATACTTCAGATCCATTGGCCGGACACTATTAGCAACAACGTACTGTGGGAGAGAACAAACCAGATTCCAGTGGAGGAAGAAATCAGGAAGAAGCGCTGGAAGTGGATAGGACACACATTGAGGAAAGCACCCAACTGCGTCACAAGACAAGCCCTCACATGGAATCCTGAAGGTCAAAGGAAAAGAGGAAGACCAAAGAACACATTACGCCGAGAAATGGAGATAGACATGAGAAAAATGAACAAGAATTGGATGGAACTAGAAAAGAAGGCCCAGGATAGAGTGGGTTGGAGAATGCTGGTCAGCGGCCTATGCTCCATTGGGAGTAACAGGCGTAAGTAAGTAAGTAAGTAACCTATTCCCAACTAAATATGCAACTATAAAAAGCGATACAGTGAATGAAACTAATGGGTACATTTTATCCAATCATATCTTTACAGTAGATTGCAGAAGGCATCATATTTAGCAGAACTCTTTATATGCTAACAGTTAGTTTATAATAACAGAAATGCTCAAGTTCAATCGTCTCATCTCCATAATTTCAGCTGGTATATCACCAAATTCCGGAATGATTACATACCTACCAACTCCCAACTATAGTTGCATTTCTTGATCTTAGGGCAGAGTTTGATCCCTTAGATCGACAGACTTTTTGGCAGTGTCCGTTATTGAAAGCCGTACCAAAGAATTACGCCGACCTTATACAGACTTTCTACTAGGATACTACTGCTCAAATCAGAGCTTATGGAGAAGTGTCATTAGAATTTTCAACCTCGAGTAGTGCTTGTCAGGGCTGTCGACTTACTCAATCTTTATTTGATTTTGTCATATACATCCATTATTGTCTGACTTTCCATGGATTAATCTCCTATCGGGATATTCACTTGTTGACTTAGAATACGCAGGTGATGTAGTCAACTAAGAAGAAAACCATGACAAAATGCAGTCTTCTGACCAACTAAAGCTAAAATACAAGGATCTATGAGATGCAAAGTGCTGCTTCAGAAGTGGCTTCGTCAGCGGCACAAATTCAGTAGGCCCGAATGACCTCTGGCAACTTGCGTTACTTGTGGCGTAGAGGAGATATCCGTCCCCCAACCAATGAACGAGTTTACTGCGCAGAAGTTTGCTTTACCCTACCTGTGTGGAACATGGGTACTCAGAATACAGAATATTTTTAGGTTACTAGTATTTGATCATACGTATCTTCTAAGTATCGTTCATGTATTATGAGACCACCGAGTAAGCGATCCCGAGTTTATTATTTTTTAAACACAAACACTGGTACAGAGGAGCACCAAAGTGTATAAACAACACAAAAATCACTGAACTTGTGTGAGGGCTGAGATCCTGTCTGGGCACTCAAACCGAAGTGGATGTTTTCTTAGGGGGTTACTTCCTAAGCCTTTGACCCAGATGTTTAATCCGCAAGCCAATGGGGCAATGTTAAGAATTGAGGTCGCATTGTAACCGGTGATCACGAATAGGTCTATACGCTATTTGTTTTCTAGTGATTCTGGAACCCATGTGCACCATAGGTTTAGAATCAGGGTTCCCCAACTGCTCTAGGTGGGTTCGTAGTGCCTAGTACTATATCAAGCTCACATGGGCTGTTCTACCTTCCGGACAGAACTTATTCATTCTTCTTAAGTCACACTTCGACCGTATCAATTATTCGCTTATTAACCTTGACTGTTTTTATATGAGCGTATGTATGTTGCTTACCCTATCCATCATATGTCAGTAGCCTGTTTCTATTTCAGTATAAAAATTGAGTCACGCTTTATCAAAACGAGTTGGATCATTCGTCTTCTCTACCTCACCTCATCTTTTCGCTTTTCTTCACTCCCCTGCTTTTCATTCTGAATGTGTCTGGATAAACGAGTGCCTGAAATACATTTATCCAACGCAACCGGTATTTGACTTCCCATTATAGCCGTCACACATATACGAAGTTAAATGGAAGGTTTGTGTTCATAGCATATCAATTAAGTTTATTCAAATTGGAGTCAGATCAAAAATAAGACACCGACATGTGATGAATAGAATAAACAATACACACGCTCATATAAAAACAGTCAAGGTTAATAAGCGAATGATTATTGTAACCAATATTTACGGACTTTGAGTCCATTGTTCTCTATCTTCCTTAAAAACCTGACCCCTGAAATCTATACCATATTTTTTGTACCTGATCTTTACTACAACTGATCATATAACCGATTCTACAACTCTTGTATTTACTTTTAGAATTTCGTTAGCTCCTTTAAGCTTTAAGATAACTGTACATTTATTCTGTTGAACTGAAAGCTCATCAATACGTTACAATAACTGAAGCAGGCATTTTACAAAACCTGATAACCAGAACACACTACTAACTAGCAGATAAATCGTGATATCAATAAAACAAAAATTGCAGGTGACAGTACGTTCACCAACAACTGTCAAGAATAATTGAAACACCACGTGGAGAACTATCACACTTTCTAGTCAACTTAATACTACAGCGACTTCAAGTAAACTGTATTATGCTCCAAATCCAATGAAAGCAGAGCTATCTAGCGAAGCAGATGTGCAAAGAAATCTAAAACATTTGAGTTTTAACCTTTGAACTATCTCACCAGAATTTATTCATCCTTTGGTTTGCCTACTTTGTTAATGACTACATGACTTTTGAGGCAGCCGTGAAGGGCAGTGACATAAGCGATCAATCAGGAACAAAGAAGGAAAACCAATCACTGAAGATCAAGAAAAGCGAAACGGGTGAGTAAATCGATCTGAAAAGTTTTTGAACAGACAAGCATAGCTGAACCCAACTTACATCGAAGTAGCACACACAATTATCTCTAGAGATGATATCTCACCAACAATAGTAGAAACTAACAATCCAATCAGATAAATCAGAAATGGCAGACAGTAGAACAAGACAACATACCAACTGAAGCACTATAATCAGACCTTGAGGGGATTTAAATGTTCCAAGTTCCATTCCGAAAGATCTGTGAGGAAAAACAGGTACTAATAAACTGGAAAGAGGAGTACCAAATTAAGATACCGAATAAAGATCATGTGAGAATTACAAAGGGATCGTACTATTGTCAGTGCCAGGCACACTTTTCAACAATGTTGCTGAAGTCAATGAAAGGTTTAGTAGATCCATAACCTTGAGGCCAACAAAATGGATTTCATAAAGATCGATCATATACTGAACAAATCGCGACACTGAGGATTATTGTGGAACAATCATTTGAACAGAACTCATAGACATACATCGAATTCCTTGATTGTAAAAAAGCACTTGAAAGAGTGGGTAGAAAAAATACCGTATAATCTTCCATACTTTGGAGTACCTGAAAAGATCAACACTACCATAATTAACTCCTAAGAGGAACCGGGTTGCAAAGTCGTGCATCGAGGCCAGCTCACAGGTGAATTAGAAGTGATGACTATTTATATTTATTATTATTGGTCTGAACACATAAATATTGGTACAAGGGGGCACCAGATACATACGCGCCACACGGTGGAAGACAATTGTGCCTACGCCCAACTTCTCCCTTTTTGCCAACTGCCGGTTGGATTAAGAAAGCTTCTACAGCTCAGGAAAATCACGGAATACTGTGGGTAACTTAGATGAAGCTATATGATTTGGCCCTCCTATTCAAATAAGAAAAAGTAAAATCCTGAAGTATCACAAAGTCGACATCAACCAAAGCGCACTTGATAGCGAAGCTCTGGAAGAGGTAAAAGATTTTACGTACCTGGAGTACATCATAGATAAACAAGGAGAATCTGATGTGGATATCAATGCATAGATCAGCAAAGGAAGACAGCATTCTCACAACTAAGAAATATCCGACATTAAGAAGAACAGTCAACCAAAAATAAGGTCAGAGTAATTAACACTAATGTTAAGACAGTCCTATTGTACGGAACTGAGAATTGGATTGGTCGTTACCAAAAGAGTGCAGGTATTCAAAAACCTGTAGACGTTATACCCTGATCCACTAACCAGAGACAACCAACAATAACTCAATGCGGTAGAGAATAAACTAAGCACCATCTGAGAGGGAAATTAGGAAAAGACAAATAAGGTGGACAGAGTTAACGACAGAAACTACCAAACTGAACCACAAGGTAAAACTTAACATGGAATCCCCAATGTGAAAAACAAGGAGGCAAACCAAGGGACATACGATACCGAGAATCGGAGGCAGGCATTAAGACCGGGAGTGCCACACGGTGACATCTGGAAAAGAGCGGAGCACAGACTTATTTGGAGATCCCTGGTCGGCGGTCAATACAGCACGAAGAGTAACAGGCTTAAGAGCACGAATTGCAGTAATTTTGATAGGTGCGATACTGTTGTATATGGTTCGTTCATCCGTCTGTCAGATCGTTTAGCAAACATTGAGTATATACCAATAATTTCCTGACCAAAAATAATAGGAATGAACGTTTTTGACTTACATTTCGGACGGGTTGTAGTATCCCGGTTGCTGAGAACTGGGGTGGTAAATATTAGTATAACCATCGTAATTCATGATGTGCTAAAGTTTATAGATCGAGCTTGTTTTTTGATAAGCGCTGCTACTTACCAGTTTTCTGAGGAATTTTATTTCGTCTGGGGAAGGTATAACAAAAACATTTAAGTAGTGATATGATGAGATTTACAAATACTTAGTTACTTACTATGAATTTAATATGACCAATCCTATTTAGCTTTTTGAGTTGTAAAGTGTGCAGAGATTATCTAGCGCGCTACTTAAAAGGGACAGTGATACTTTCCGTTTGAGTAAATTTTGTAGTATTGATCGTTTAATTACGCACCAAGACCACTGTTTTTGCTTTAATTGAATTTATTTCAGTTAAAGTAATTTCCAAGAGTATCGCTTTTTTTCTAGAGTTTATCATCTGTACTTTTTGAGTACAGACACAAAAAATAAGGCACTGGTATATTTTTCCTTGCTGAGTATATCTTTTAGTATTGTTTGTATCTAGAGTTTTTAAGGTCTTTTTGTTGTTAGGATAGGCCGGGATATTCGACGTTTAATAAGACAAAAGAAGAAATGTTAGAACGTTGCCATCAGCCTTGACACAGAAAGTACTATAGAACTCGACAGGTCGATACGAAATAAGTGTATAATTAAAATCCGAGAAGCTCAGAGAAAATACGAAATGCAATTGGCACAATCTGCAATCAGGCAGCGTAAAAGACTATTCTCGTACATAAATTACAGAACAAGGATGCAACATTAGATTCTCAACCTAATTAAGGAACGGAGAGGGTCTGAAATGATAGAGGAAGATTAGGAAAAAACAGAGGCTATGATTGACTATTTTGGGGCAGTTTTCACTCAGGAACCTCTTCTAGACAAAGAACCAGACCAAAATACAGAGTCAACAAACCACCTGCTTACCGTGGACTTCGATGTACTTAAGGCTCTTAGCAGCTTAGACATGGAAAATTCAACAGGACCGGACGAACTACACTCCGAAATCCTAAGACAAGTCGCAAAATATATTACAGCCCCACTGACTGTGATATTGAATAGATTACTTGACCAAGGTGTGTTACCTATGAACTGGAAGGACGTAATCGTCAATCCAATACATAAAACAGGACCAAGACAACTATCGAAATACAGATCTGTCGGCCTCATCAGTGTCGCAGTTAAAATACTAGAAAGAATAGTCAAAACGACCATAATGACATTCGTGGAAACCAATAACTTGTTAAGCATTGAACAACATGGTTTCAGAAAAGGCTTATCTTGCACAAAAACCTCCTTATAGCAAGGGAGAAATGTATAATTGTTCTAGACACTGGGAAATCAGTGGATGTGATCTACATAGACTTCGGCAAAGCATTTGACAAATTGCCAACAAATAGGCTGTTATTGAAGCTGGAAAATCTAGACATTGCCTGGCCTCTCCTAAAATGGCTTAAGGACTTCGTGGTAGGTCGTGGACAGAAAGTTAGTGTAAAATCAAAGTGCTCCACCTGGAGACCAGTACTTTGGGGATTACCACGAGGTTCTGTCCTAGGTCCATTACTTTTTTGTATTGTACGTAAATGATCTAAGTATAGTTAACTCACTAATGTTACTATACTCTAATGACGTAAAAATCCGGCGAGAAATATCAGGAGACGCAGATGCATGAGCAAATATTGAGACTAGCTGGTCTAAAGAGTAGGTGATGCCTGTCAACGTGGCAAAGTGTGCCTACATGCACTTTGAGGATACAAAGGTAAATAGGTAAAGCATACGAGAAGTGTCTGTACTCGTGGCCCGGTCTCACAAGGATCTTGGGGTGACAGTGAGTTATAATATTAAGACCACGGCCCACTAACAGGAGGTTGCAGCTAAGGGGTTTAGAACCCTATGGGCTTTAAGACGGATATTCACCAAATTAGATAATACCATGTTCACTGCAGTACACATAACCTCAGTGAGAACTAGGATTGAAAACTGCATTTAGGCTACAAGCTCCTGTTCAAGAGGTGACTCGGGTATCCTGAAAAAAGTACAGAGGGCAGCTACTCGTGCAATTCCAGAACTCCGGGGTTTACCATACAAAGAGTGACTTGAAAAGCTAAACCTATTCACACTTTACTATTGCAGATAAAGAGGTGATCTGATTTCGATGTATGGAATACTAGGAAATGACTTTGAACCAGATAAACCCTCTGTTTTACTTCTCATTAGATCGGAACATCTCATAGGAGATAGCAGGCGAGTAGAAAGGCCAAGGATGAACAAAATACCCGTGGCATATAGGTGTTCACACTGAATCATCAATTCTTGGGACCTGTTACCCAGAGAAGTTGTGTTCGCGCCTTCGATTGACTCATTCAAGAGAAAACTAGACACTCTCAGAAGCTTACTAGAAAAGGAATAACATAGGTCGTAAGCTGATTAACTCCCAGTCCCAAAACAATAAAAATAGTACATGGGTCATGGTGGAAAACAAGCAGCTCGAATGACTTTCTATATTTTCAGTGCAACACGGATCAAGTAAGTATTGATATGCTTCGATAAATGAGGATTTAGTAAACCAGACACTAACATTTATTATTTCTAACCCAGTTAACTGTGTTAGGAAAATTCTGCTGCTTCTTAACTCGACAAAATAAATAGACCGGAAAAAACACATGTTTCTACTAAGAAGTACAGTGTTAGTTATTGAGTCGATTCTAATTGAATACAAAAGGTCTAGAAGTATGAATGCGAACTTACCTTGAAACCAATACGTGACAACAGCCGTTACCAATACCGCGCAAACCTCAAGGTCTAGACGGTTCAAATAGATGTGGATGGAATAGAGGAAGCTTTCGCTTGACGGGCTTCCGTATCTAATTCACTGGTGCTTTCAGTTATGGACTTGGGTATATTTATCGATAAAAGGAAAAGAACGTTAGTAAACTATAGCGAGATACTATCCATAGTCCTTAAAAATATGTCAAGTTTCCTCATAGAGAACTCTTGGGAACTTTTTTGAACCAGCTCATCCGGGAGCGAATTCCAAGATTTAATCACTCTTAATGAATAAAAATTGTGACTACAGTCCATTTTACTGTAGTGGTAAATAAATCCCCCAAATCAATAGTTCTGTAGGTTTCCAACATTTGGTGCTGACTGCATTACTTTTAATGGACTCACCTAGCTGAAGACGCTTAGTTATTCATCCGCATCAGATCACTAGTGGGTACGTCGTGCTACGCATCCCTTTCAACTACCAGCCATCTTAAACATACCTATAGCGTTCTAAATATATCTTCTAACGCCTTCACTCCTGACTCATGATTTGACTGAGGTGGCATACTTCGATTATAAAGGAGTTACTGGTTAAGACGTCTTTAGTGGTGAGCCCGATGTGATCTGGTATACCGATTCGTAAACTGTGAGTTTGTCTCTTATTGGAAGATTATATATCATTTTTAGCTTTCATTTTTTCACCCTGTGATAGTTTTCATGTCCTCCTCCTTGGTCACCGGACCTTTGTTGAGGGCTCGTTCAGACGACTTTTCCTGTCTAAGCTTCCTCAACAGGTGCAGACGATGCTTGTCTTATTTCAAAACAACGCATAAGATGAGCTGGCCGCATCTGCCAACTGAATTCACCAGAACCTCTAATGTCGAGGTCTGTTCAGTCAAAGAAAAGCCTCAAACGACACGAAACGATGTCACAAACCTATATCATACTCTGAAATGTTACCTTAACATTCGTCATGACCACAGACAATCCAAAACTCCTTGAAAATCTCGTCACGAAAACGATGTCTCTGCATTATGAGAGACAGATAAATTTGATTGATGCTGGTATCTAGAAACTTCAGAAAACCCTTCAACTTCCCGAGGTTCAAACCGACAGACACGAAAAAATTATCGGCCGGCGCGTGTTGACGACAATCGCAGCCGGTGAACTTAGCCGTCTATTATTTATCACTGGTGTGGTGACAAAACGTCGCTACCGTGTCGTCCCTGGCTCAAAGTCAGCGTTCTTCTAGCAAATTCTAACGACCAACAGCATGAAGCAGTCTCCAACTTACAGGCGGCAACCGAGAAACCGATCATCACATTTGGTAAGCGGCACCTGTATCTTAACGTGAGTTTACTAAAACTCATTCGCTGGATTTTGGTTGTTGTGGACGTTTCTATGCCAATCATTGGTATGGACCTGCTACAACACCTTAATCCACTTGCTGACATGCGCAGATGGTGGTAAATAGACGAAAATACTAATTTATTTGTTTGGTTGACCTTTTCCAGTTTTAGATTATCCCCAGACATTTTTAACCACAGAGTCGAAGCATACTGTAGACGGATACTCGATAAGTGCCCCAAGCTATACCAAACGCGACTAAGATTGCCATGTGCAACCAACAACGTCGCACATCACATCTCGACTGTGCGATCACATGTATTCTCGAAAGGGTTTTGACTAATTTCCGAAAGGCTGAGGTTGGTCAAAAACGAATTCGGCTTCATGAGAGATTTAAGAATTGTTCGACTATCAAACATCCCATGGACATCGCCCTTTCACATTGTCACTAAAAAGGACAAGAATGGTTGACGTCCAACTGGTGACTATCGGGGACTGGATGAGTAAACCATTCCCGACCGTTAGCCTTTACCTCACATTCGAAATTTCACAACTACCTTGAAAGATACAACTGTTTATTGAAAATCTAATTGATTTAAAAGTACGACAGAATTCTCATGGCTGATGACGATATTCATAAAAGCACATTCATCATCCTCTTTGAACTAAACGAATTTTCACTTAGGCCATTCGGTTTAAGAAATGTTGCAAACTGATCGATGAAGTCTTTTTAGAGGTTTCATGTGTAGACAGCTACCTAGTCGCCAATTCATAGAGGAAATTTAGTCACCATCTCGATATCGTTTTAGAACAACTGCAAAAACGCGATATTATTGTAAACATTCAGAAATGTCAAATTGGCACCAACGGCATAGATTATCACAAAAATTGATGATGCTCCGACCTCCGGAAAGCAAAGTGGTGTGCATTCTAGATTAGCCATAACCACCTACAGCCAAGGAGCTACATACTGTCAACGACCTGGTAGGTTTACATAGATGTTCACACCGAATTAAGACCCTTAACAGACTAAATTCGTGGGAACGCGAAACCTATCAATTTGTACAACATCGCAAAAAAGCCATTCTCCACAATTATGGAACTTATCACAAAAGCAACAATGCTCACACATCAGGATGCCAAAGCACTTACTAGTATCGCAGCAGACGCATCTGACTTGGTGATCGGAGGAGTCTCACAACAATCGGTTAACAACACATGACAACCTTTGATATTCTTCCCGAGACAGCTGGAAGATACTGAATTGAGGTGTGGCAACTTCGGCAGGAAACACATAGCTTTGTGTCATGTTCTGCGGCGATTCCAACACTCTGTGGAAGGCAGAGCATTCACACTGCCGACCACAAACCTCTCATCCTTTCTTTAATCTGGTCTCAAGGCAAGTGATTCCCTCATTAGTCACAACAGCTGGATGACATTTCCCCGTTTAATTCAGATGTACAACACATATCTGGGGCAAATAATGTAGTTGCAGACGCCTCGTCTCGTATGCCATTCTTAAATAATTTCCATGCAGTCGACTTTCCTAAACTGACCCAACTTCGAAAAGAAGTCATTGACCATCAACATGAGTAATCTTCGACAACCCTGAAATTACGTGTTAAACAGATGGTTACAGGTAAGAAACTTTACTATGTGACACATAATTTAATATAATAATACCAAAGCATATTTCTGCCAGGCCAGATACACGTCATTCCTACAGACATTATCTATAATTTACAACATTGGTTTGCATATGAAATGCTTACCAATCAGGAATGTCAAATAATTGAAATAAACAGAAATAAAAGACAGTACATTGATGTAGATGTCTTAGAGCGTTAATTACTAGTTTTGTGTTTTAGTATTACACTGAGTACAGCCTTTCAAAAATATTTCCCGAAATGGCATCACGTCCACGTTGAACACCAAATTCAAACTCGGCATGATCGTGTTAGAATTCTGGCTGTGCTGAGTATTTATGCAATGCAACTGTTGAAAAAGTTTGTGGGTGTTATAATGTGCCTTCAATGGGCACTCGGCATGAGCTGTGATCTTGGAAAACGTGTGTGTTAAATTTGTTCCAGGTTTTGTAAGCTCCATAGCTGTGCACTGAGGTCGTGATGTTGAACAAAAGATAAACAAAGGAGCAACAAGGCACTTGTACATATAACCTAGACAATGCTTAACATTTTGTAGTGGAGCAGATATAGGTATGACATGTTGATAAATAAAACCCATACTAGCTGCTGTTGCTAGAGTGAAATGTGGTTAGATCCCTCAGATTAGAGAGTACAGTAATAGAAATCAATGAGTTGTGACATGAAACTTGGTGGAATGCGTTCAAATGATGAAAGGTTTTCCACAATTTCTAAAAGAATTGCAATGAGTGTCACGATACAACTACCGATTGGAGCAATCTGTCTCTCGGTGTCAAGAGACAAATCCTTTTGATCACATGGTTCTTAATGGAGTTTTTGAACGTTGGAGATAATTATGTATATTAAGATAACGAGAGAGAGTATGACAGATTTGTATTACCATTTTGTGTTGTTTGAGTTTTTTCCCTGGCAGAACAAAATTCATCGCAGTGGGTTCTGATAATCTCCAGTATCCGTTTGGCAGATTCATGCAGTCCATTGACGCAGTTATTTTGAACCGAGACAAGGACTGCTTGAATATTTTGGGGGAGCTTAAATAAAAACAGTTTTCCAAGGATGCTATCGTCGAAATCCCGTCGACTGCTAACCTTTCGTATGCATGGCAACACTTCTGCTGCTCAACCATGTTGCCGTTCGATATTGTGGAAAAGTTGGTGAACCTCAGTTAGTCACTGGGTGTTTGTATAACCATTCTTAAGGTGTCGTGAGGTTCAAAATAATCACTAATGGACGCAATAAGTGTGACATATCCGTCAAAATCGCGCAATAGTACCATCAGTACCCTGAGAAATTACCGACATGAATCTACCACGCTGTGTCCCTTAAAGTCACTTTGCTATTAGCAGAACGAGCCTTCGATTTTATCGAACTAGAATGGCTTATTTTGGAAGGAGAGAGGCAAAAGAGTCTAAATCTTTAACAGTTAGGTTGTCCGTTCTGTCATGATGAGGACAAAATATATAAATGGGCGAAAAGCGATACAAGAAAACAAAAATTATACCACGGTATGTCGAAGTAAAAAAATATTTAATTTTACAATAAGGAATAGATACACAGTTTATCACGTTAGACTCACCACCAAAGATGCCACAGATATTCAGGGTTTGAAAACAGCTTTACTCGTAATACTTTTATTATCAAAGGATACCAAGAAGGACAAATCAGAGGTCAGCGGCGAAGTCGAAGATGTATTTGGAAGGTTGGCGATATGTTGAGATGTGTTTGATCGAAACTGGCTAGTAGTTCCAAGGGCTGGGTAGTATGGTGAACCCACTCGTGATCTGGTGCTTACGTGTGACCGAGAGCCTTTATCTAGGATGTTTTCGGTAAAATTAACGAGATTGACGTCAATGTTGAAGACTTACAGAACTATTTATCCTGAGGATTTACTTACCGCTCCGGAATGACCCAATAAGACTCATTTTTAGGACTCATCTGTTAATGATGAGTCAGCCACTCCAGAGACTCTGCTGTTAGAGAGAGCACAATAACTCATATTTTAGAACAATACACGTTTGTTTTTTTCGGACAGTAAATATATATATAATCTAGACTGTGGGATGTGTCTTTTGGTACCAATCGTCTCACTACTAGCAAGAATCATCTGGAGCCTATTAGTTTACGGGCAAACATATTTTTTAAAGTCAAGAACCCGGAAAGTGAAAAAAGTCGTTCTTGTTTTACAAAATCACGAAGTGACGCCCATTCAAAACGTTTTCTTACAGTTTTCGTTCCTGGATTTGTTAGAGTGGGTTTCCAGCTTATCATTATTTGTTTTTTGTCTTTTTAATATGGCTTTTATGTGAAATAACAAAATTACAAGTTATATACGGTGACTTGTAACTATTGTTAAATTCTTATGCATAGTTCTTGTATGTCATTCGTTATTTCAAAACAGAAGTTTGTTATTGGCAGCTATATTTTTCACTTATAGTACAATTATAGTTCACTTTTAGTGCAGAACCTTCTCTGGTTTTGTGAAACCTCGGAGATGTACATTCACAAAGGTGGGAGGTTTAGAGTGACAAGATTGGGGGACTTTGGAGTAAACATTTACATTCTCAGTTTCTTGATACCTCATTATTAAGTATCCGAAATGTGATACGGATAACCCGGACAAATACAAAGTTTATCTGTTTGGAACCTTACAAAACTTGAAGATCAGCATCATGATAACACGACAGTTTCGATGGTTTACGGTTGAGTCGAAATCTGTTGGGTCGTTCATCAAAATCTTGTCGAAACTTAATGACATTTAAACAGTAGGGGTTAGTTTATTGTAACAACTATGTGCTTTGGACACAGCCGTAGCCTATTTGGTAATGTCAGTGTTTATATGCTCACAACTAGTCAGTATTTGATAGTTTCATTCTGTCCCTTCGATTTGCTTATTCTTAATAAACACAAAATCTGGTGCGATTCGGCATCAAAATTGAGTTGTTTTACATAATATGTCTGAGTAACACTGTCCAAAAAACGAGGTGGAGTATATAGGCGAACAAGAGTATAATTGAGGTTACATTTAAGTTAACAGAACAACGGTGTTTTATCCATGCTGAAAGAGTTCCATTAATTTTTATCAAGGGTGTACAAAAACAGTACACACCGATCTTGATTTGCTCCTATTTTGAGCCATGTCTGATAACATTTCAAACCGCCGAGTTACAATAATTTTAGTATCTCAGACATGGAGTTATGATGGGCCGACATTTGTAGCACATGTTCAAGCCACAGAAGCCGTTGTTCCATTATAGTGACATCAAGTGATTTATCATGTGTGCCCAAACACTACCGAATCTCAACATTACCAACATAGTGTTGTCACTGAATGTCGTCAATCTTTCGGGGACGACGATGATCAAATATAAGTATTCACCGAATCTCTTCAACTTGAAAAGGGCCAGGTTTTATAAACATGAAGCAGAACTTTAACAGGCGCATTGTAAACCCAACTTTTTTCAACCGGACTAATACCAGTGACGTCCACAAAGTTGGCCCAGATTTTCATAAACTGCTCCGACTTTCACCATGCGTAAATTGATTCTATCTGTCACGCCACCACAAGTGTTCACACAACTACCGAGATGCAAAAACTTTTCGGTTACTTCTGAAGGCTCATCACAAGGAGTGAGTGTAGATATAGGATTTTATCTGTCTTGTAAAAGTCTTTTGCATTCATAATGTACAAAGTACATTCCATACTTAGTGTCACTCATTGCAGACTAATTAAGATCGAAATACTCAATTGCAGAGTTTCGAAAATTTCTAGTTATCGCATCTAGTAGATCTACTCTATTGTCTCTATATGCATATTACGAACATAATTTCCGTCTAACATCTGACATCTAATGCATCAAATCTTTACTTTATCGTATGTAATATTCCAGACCTTCAAGTCATCAAGTTAAGCTCATAACTCTACACATAACACTTTGTTTCAATAGATTTTTGAAGTAAGTATTAGTCAAGGTTCTTCTGGTGATAAAATTTCCTCAGCGTTAGATTTTGGGAATGATCAATAGCGTATAAAGATTCCTAACTATTTGCCTGTGGAACTTCTTTGATCATTCAAAAGCAATTAAGAACCTCGGAAATGTTCATTGGTTCAAGTTGTCATACCATATCAATACAGCGGAGAAAACACATCAAGAAATGTCTAAGTAGTCAAAGTGGTAACAGTATTAGCAGCAGTAGTTTTTTATTATTTATTTAGTTAAACACATTGATACTAAGGGGTTTGGTCACTTTCTTGAACCTATATAAAAGGGTGCCAAAATAAATGTGTCAGGCTACTCAAACTGAAACAGGTAGTTTTCTTAGGGGGCCACTTTCCGAGCCGTTGACTTAGGGGTCTAACTTACAAGACAGTTGATCACTGTAGGGAGATGCGGTCCTATGGTACCCATTGGCCAAAAGTAGGTCCGTACGTTATATGTTCCCTCAAGGTTCTGGAACCAATGTGCATCATAGGTTTGGAATCAGGCTTTTCCAACTGCGCCAGGAGGGTTCTCCATACCCACCAAATTTGTTTAAGCGTTGGACATTCACTTATCGTCCCTTCAGTTTTGTAAACAACACCCGCTTCTCGAGAAGGCAGTGAGTAGGACTTCCTTGGCAGTGGCTATATACTTGTGACCATATGAAAGCATTTCACGAGGGAGAGCGGACTCTTCCCACCCTCGACTGTACCAGGGAATTTGGGTATATGAACTAGGCATAGAGAAAATAATTCAGGGGAAAATTAATTCTTGAAATCTATCAGACAACTTCAAAGTTCAAGGTCTAGAGGAAGAGTGAATAACTTGCACCATTGTATAACTCAGTCCCTAAAGAATTCGGCACAAATACACAAGGCTTGTTTGAAATGTGTAAATACCTGTAAAAAGTTCACCTCAGAAAACATGCATGTATTTTCAGCCACACCATATCTCAATATACTTTATGACTACAGTAATCAGTTAAGGTCATATTGCGTAACAGTTGCTTGGGATATTGATATACCAATAATGCAAACAACATTTAGTTGCCAAAGTTATTGGGCGATGTTTTATGTATTTGTTTTTTCTTAACGTATACTGTTAGTCAAAAAGGATGCAGAAATATAATCTTTTAGGCTATTCAACATCAGGAACATTTTTCAAACACATCTAATGCCAGTGTAAGCAGGGTTGTTTTGCTGTAGTCACTACACATTATTTGGAGATTTAAGTGGTAGGTAAATTCATACTTTCTAACTTACTCTACGGCTTTCTGTCCCTATGCAAAGCTTTTCTTGATCTCACTTTTAATTCACTGTTTTAATATCATCCAAGTGTGATGACTTTACAGATTGCTTAGGTCACTATTTATCAGCTGCTATTACAATAGCGATATATCTCAATCAGTCATATGCTAGGTTATAAATGGGCACACATTTTGAAGCGGTTCTGGTTTATCTGAGTAATAGCAGTTGGGATGATGTTAGGTTGACACCTACATGCTCTCTCTTTACAATTTGTGTTTCTGTGCTCACTATGAAGGCTTAGAAATCAGAAATTTTTTCAGTGTTCCAGCAGCGTACGCACTTGATGGCGTTCTGCTTCTGCTTGTTTGAGATCTGGACTCGTTCAAAGTTTGATTTAAGTGAACTATCGTTTTTAATTAAGACCATAGGATTAGTTGATTGAGTATATGCAAGAAAAATGTGTCGAGTTATCATCTACAACCATAATCTAACCAGTCTATAGTTGTTGGTTCAATTTTACTGTGATTAGATAAGTTAATGATTTATTCTAATGCATTATGATGCGTATATTGAATGTCTCCCGTCGCTGCTTAGGATAACTAAAAATCTCCATCCTTTTGGTGAATTTTTGTCACTTAAAGCTATCGGATTATATTCTTTATGCCATCCTGAATACTATGTTCCTTGTTGATTCTCTGGTTTGCTTGAAGTTTTAAATTGATCAGTTATCGAACTCCCACTAATTATTTTGTAACATCTACTTGGGAGAATTCCACTTCCAGGATTTTAAACGTGTTTAGTTCTTGGACATACAGATATTTAAGTGTAAATTATAAAACCATAGTTCTGAATCCTTCAGTCTAATGTAGTATCGTCATATAAATATTATTCTAATATAAAATAGTGTGACATATACTCAGTTCACACTCAAGAGTTGTACTGTATTATTTTCATAATAATTAGTCCATGTTCTCTGTCTATCACAATTTAGATTGTCATAATGAATATTCTACAAGATTTTACCCGAAAACTAGGTGACTGATAAATATTACAATATATTAATAAGATATCGAATATTCATTTATGTTTGCTGCACTAAATGCACTAATAATGTGCCTTTTTTTAGGAATCTGAATATTTTCGTTATTTAGCTTTCAACTATGCTTCTCAAAGAGTATCGCATATGCATGCCCTTAACAGTTGCCGAATATCGGATAGCTCAGTTGTATATGATTCAGGTAAACGTTTTCGGTTATCTCTGTTTCCAATGTTTTTTTTTCTTGTGGCTGTTGGGCTTCACATCCTATCACTTTAGGAATATTACAGATATACGCATATTCTTCCAATTAGTACTGTTACATCACATCACAAATTAAGTGATACGGTGTAATTATGGACATCATTAAGTCGCTTAGAATTTTGTAAAAAATAGTACAGGTTGATTAAACCATACTAACTTGCCTGTTTTTGTAATTTTCTATCTTTTGTTTGTATTTAATGAAATTTAATGCTATTTTTTTCACAACCTATGTCTATTGAATACTGATCACGAACTTATTCCAATACACCATTTGTAATGAATTTTATTTACATTCTGTTTCTTAAAAGTTTTGGAAACCGCCAGTACAGATAGCATTTTCTCTATCCTTATTTATAAAATGGCTTATAATCGCTTGTATGGAGTAATGCACATACTTTTATGTTATGTACTGTGGCACCGTTATTAAAGATGGTTGAGTTGTTCAGGTTTCACATGAAAATATCTTTTAAAGCCTTTAATTGTTCACCTAAAGATGAATGGTTTCACTCATATACTTGCCAAAAGGTAGGTGCCAAAGTGTATGTTTAGTTCATTGAATCATGTAACTCATTGAGTAAGGTCTATTGATGCCAGATCGGGTGTGGATCGAACTTTCTATCGATTGCTTTAAGGCCAAGTCCTCTGGCCCTTTAACCACCGCTTCTCAACGTTTCAACTATTGGGATTTGGTTTTCAGTTTGGCGTAAGCTTTTAATATAGGAGGGCCTAATTTGCAGTTGAGATAGAAAATTTAGTATTTTGTTGCTAAAACCACTCAAGATACTTTTTTCAGTTATGAAGAAAGGTATCGATAAAAGTGAATTCAATATATCAATTATCAAAAGAATATTATACAAATAAGAAGAAAGCAGATGGGTTTTTGCGGAGGCTGACATACACTACTTATTCACAATATGAAACTAAATCCTGAGAGTATGTATAATTGATTGGGTCAACAGTTTCGGGAACTAAGAACTGGAAACCCTCTTTAAAGCAGATCACACTTGTAGTTTTCAAGGATACTTTTTCCTGAGGCCAATTTATTTCATGGAAGAGAGGTCAATATATGTAATCCTGCCACAAAATAATATTGATGCCATAAATGCTAACCACTTAAGCAAAAGAACTTTCCATCATTTAAATTTCAACAAACGCAGATTATAAATTCAGTGCCAGATTTGCTGTATAGTTTCTCCCACATTGACTATTTGATCATAACTTTTTTTAATACATCAATGGAGCACATGTTTCTAAAGGTATTTATTTCCATTGCTTTAATGAGCGGTAAGATGTATATTTCTTCCACGACAATAAAAGTGAAATATCTTTGGTTTAACAAATGAGTTATTTGTAAATCTTTACATTTAACCTAGAAAAAGTCTCGTGAAGAAAGTACAGGTCGTGGAAGTGGTGTAGAAATATTGAAAAACGAACCTTATGAAAATGGTCCTGGAGGAAAAGGTCAATACACATTTAAAATTTATCATGTTGGTAGCCATTTACCAAGTAAGTCTTATGTTTCTGAACCCTTCGGACCGAAATTGTTGGCGTTTTTCACAGGTCACTTATTAAACACTAACCTAATGTATTTTACTTATTATTTACGTTGTATACAAGCTATATCAGAAATCTGATTGTCACTTAGTATGTAGAAACCGATATACATTTATATATTCATGAGTAGTTTTAAAAACATAATATGCATCGATATATATATAATGGTATAAGCCTCCATCGAGTTGGTTTGAATGTGTTTTACTCATAATTAATCACCACCTACCTTGATATGTGTTCCTGGCTGATATGTAAATAGATTAGAAAAAAGTTAGGGACTAAGAGCCCATTGTGAATTCAGTTTATTAGGTCATTGACTGCTGGTATGAGTCATGTCAGTCGGCACAGATATCCTGCATAGTACTCGAGGAATACTTACTATTAGAGTTATCTGTTCCGGTTAGAAAATTTGTGGAACAAACATTGATTAAAGGTCCCATATGAATATAATGTAGTTTAACTGTTGTTTTATAATTTAAACTGTAGCTTGGCTTCGTAATATACTACCATCATCGGCTCTACGTGTTGAAGAAGAGGCATGGAACGCGTATCCATACACCAGAACAATTTATAAAGTTCCCTTTGTTGAAAAGTTGGTACTTGATGTGGAAACATATTTTTTCGACGATGCTGGGGAACAAGATGATGTTTTCAACCTTTCACCAGATGAAAGAAAGGCACGTATCATTGGTGAGTTGTCACATATCGGATACTATCTTTATCGGTCTACATATTTTACTCATGAAATGGAAGGTAAAGCTTTTTTTATCGAATAACTGATGTCCAGGTTTTTTGGTTTAATTGTATCAATTATGTTAAATTCATTTCTAGTTTAAATTTGTTCAAATTATCGTGTATCTGATAAAGAGGATTAAAACAGTGGTTCGTGTGACTGAATGTCAACATAGATGATTACATTTATCCAATGACATGAGTGAAAGACGAGTCAACTGACCGAATCAAAGCAAAATAAATATGATACTTAAAAATAACATTATAAATTAAATAATCCATAATCTAAGGATAACACCATGTTTAGTTTTGTCCTAACATAATTATTAATTTCATTTAACACTACTTATAATTTAGGCCGTCAATTTTTGGCATATCAGATAGTCAGACATAACATAGAATCTGGCACGTGTACATCGGTTCAAGTTGTCACACTTCATTAATACACCAAGATGAAGTTGTCAACGCAAATCCCGTAGTAGTAGATATAATAGTAGTATTAGTGGTAGCATAAAGGTTAAGCATAGAAAATACGATTCGAAAAGTTAAAGTGTGGTCTCTAGTGAGACCACAGACCTGATTAATTGTCTTGTGTTGTTGTTATTGTTACGGTTTTGATTATGATTGTATGGCTAAAGATTTCCCGACCGTTGTTGCTACCTTGACGTGATGGTCGAGCTTGCCTATCGTGATGAAGCGACCGAGCTATACTGGCTGGAACAACCGTTCCTCAAGGTCCTACCATGTCAGACAGGTCGGTTGAAGAGCGGTAAGACTAAAAGCAACAAACCCAAGGTCCGAAGGCGAAGTCGTACTGCTGACTGTACAGAGATGTGACAGCAGTAAGGTGTTTCCTTCAGACAACCAGCATGACAGCGATGCTGCCTTCCCACAAGGAGGGGTTGGGTTAGAAAAGGTCGACCTTAAAAACGCACACCTCGTCTTATCCCACTGATATCCGTCTCCGGCGTTAAGGTCTCAACAAGTACGGAGCTAACACAAAAATTACCCACGAAAAGGTCGTGTGTGACTGACCTCAAGCAGTTGTCCCTTGGGCACTGCGGTCACGCTCTCAGGTCACTAAGACCATCTCTAATCCAATTTCCTTTTCAGACACCTCCAGAAGAACCCTTCCAAGGTGTGGGCGACCGGGAAGTGAGAACTGCTCTCATACCTCTAACAGCACTCAGAACTGACTGACTGACTAAAGATTATTTGTGCTTTCATCCACAACATCATTTGCAACTGTAAGGAGTTTTTACTAGTTCTGCTATTGGGACTGTTCTTCATTACTTACTAGGTAGTTTATGGTAGGGTATTCCCTTTATATTTCCATTTGAGTTCATGAATAATGACATATTCGTACCTCATTTTCCCAAAGGTTAGATAAGAAGAGAATTGCATCGACTACTATGATGTCTCTGTTTGAGTTTTATCGTTTGGTATCTCGGTAAAAGTGTTTTCTTAAAAGCTCATAAGATAAATTGTAGTAAATAAGCATAATTAATCAGTTGAAAGACATTGAAAGCAAAATAAATCGTTGCGATGGTTGGAAAACAGGTAATTCAAAGATCTAGATAAGCTAAAATTGTGTACATATATGGGTATAGATGAATTTTTCATCGCTGTAAAAACAAAAAAATCCATTCAATCTTTATTTGCACCTATTACTTCTTTGTTCTAAGTAATAGTAAATTCTCTGGCTATCGATGGATTGATTTTCAAGTGTTACCGTTGCTTATAAAAAGTACAAACTAATGTAATTCTTTTCACCATAGATTTTGGGTCATTCTTTAAAATCGTTTCTGTAAACGCCTCATTATTGTTAACGTATACTTTTTCATTTTCTTTTCTTATCGTTAAATACATTCGTCCATTTGTTTCCGAATTTTTTATGCAGATTTTATTGACATCGTAAAAGATCCAATTACTGGAAGTGATTATAGACCAGAAGAAGATCCTAGTATTTATGTATCAGAAGCAACTGGTCGTGGTCCATTGCCACCTAATTGGCGTGAGGAATTTATTCATGCTCAACAAGCGACTCATGAAACTTATGAAAGACCACCAACTCGAACTCATGATAATTCACCAGCTATTGTTGGAAATCTGAAGCCACTGCATAAACGTATTATGTGTGCATATAAACTTTGTCGAGTAGAGTTTCGTTATTGGGGTACACAAACACGAGTGGAACAGTTTATCCACGACACTGGTATGTAACACCTTAACGTTTAAAGGTTAAATGATTTATGCTTCATGTTGTCTACTCAATTTGATAATTATTTATACACTATTTAACAAATATATGTGAATCTCAGTAATCATTATTATTTGTAAAATAATCCAGAATAACTTTGGCCAATATGATTCGTGGATAAAAAACAGATCCAATGCAAGTCGGTATTATTTCTTCTCTTATTCATTTTCCGAATAAAAGTTTGTATACTCGAATTTGAGCCACAGTATTTTTGTTTTAGAAATAGTGATACTATTAGACCTCTTCAACTGAAGTGTGGTTGAAACCTTCAATCTGTTAGTTGGAAACGAAGTCCTTTTATTGTTAGATTATCGTATACTACTCGGTCTGGAGAAGTGTTTCGAGTATTTTTCACTGTTTTAGAATTTCTAATAATTTGTTTGGGTTTGTTTTAAAGTGGTACTATATGTGCTTAAAGTATGGTTCGTTTTATATGTATATCAACTTTGCAAAACTTGTGCTGACATCATCGGGGTTGTTAGTATGTCTCTGTCACTAAAACTATCAATATGAAGCGATGAGTTCTGTTCATTGATCTGCTGTCTTAAAACAATTTTGCTAATTTTCAGAAATAAAAACTATTCTCTAATTAGTTCCTATTAAAGATATAATGCTAACGTTTTAAGAACTGAGATCGAAAAAATACATTTCACAACTATATTGTAATAAAAGGAAATTAACTATCTCATTATTTCTTTGAAACTTACTAAATAGGAAGTTAATCACTTCCATAACTTGTATTGTGTGGCGGTCAAAATGAACTCGCTCTTTCGAGTGTATGTAACTTTCTAATGTTGTCACTTCTAAGCATGTTACTACACTTGTATAACGTTTCACCCTATTAATTCATCTAAAATATCCTTTTTCGAAGTTCTACCATGTTATAAAGGTCGATTGGGATGTGGCCAAACCAATTTCTACAAATTTCATAGAGTAAAATACCAAACAATCATTTCAAACTTGAGATTTACTGTTTAGTTTGTCTGATTGTAACTTCAGAAATCTGTTCTCAACAGTAAGACAGTTTTTATGGCAAATTTGTTTGCCTTCAAAAACAATTATAAAATCCTCTTTGAAAGGTGGTTTTCAAAGTATGAACTCTGTCTTTTGAAACTTTATCAGTTATTAGTTGCTATCAAAAGGATAATTATTCCTAAACATTCAATAAAGCGAACTGTAATAATAATTTTTTAAACTGTTGTAATTTTCCGAATCTTATTGAATATTTCTCCATTTGCCACCGAATTGAGAGGTGTAGACTTCACATTCATTACAGTCGTATTGAACTGGTGTTTCAGTTTAGCCTAAATAATTTACTCATTGTCATCGTACTAAAATATTTTAAGATATTTTGCCTGGAAAGAGCATGCACCATCGTCCCAATTAGTATTTATCATCTGGTTTTTTAATATGATCGTTAGAAGTCGGTCAGTGCTAAAGACTACATAGATACGACAGTAACTGTTCATTGGCGGATTGGTTGCAAATATCTTGGTCAGGACGCTAATGACTCAGCATTATTAAAATCTTTGTCTATAACACTTGATAACGCGAGCTCAAATCTCATGCCAAGTGTTAGTTCCCAGTATATTGCAGATACGCTTTGCTAATTTGTGCCAACTATCACAAAACCTTGATCGAAGGTTTACTGCTCGTGGTTTCCAACCGTCTAACATCAGAATATTGCACGTGAAGTCGAGTCACTTTGATTGTTATTCACTTTTACTGGAATTCGCTGAGAATTAAGGGCTAGACAAACGTATTATTGATTAGTATTCGACGATCAGTGTATAATATTTATATATTTGACTTTCTTACAATAGGATTAGAATGAATACTACAGAATGCTTTGTCTTCTTCTAAAACACACAATTACTTGAAATTTTATCCCTTTATTTTAGCACTTCGAAAAACTATGCTAAGAGCACATCGACAAGTATGGGCGTGGCAAAATGAATGGTATGGTCTTACAATAGAGGAAATTCGTCGTTTAGAAGAGGAAACAGCTCAGGCATTAGCGTCCAAAATGGCTGATTCCAACCAACCGCCAAATAATGACGGCGAGTTATCTAAGCAAGTTCAATCAACAACATCAAACATCAATGAAACTATGAATGCTATTGAAGTGAAATGTAATCAGTCTGATGAAGTTAGTTTAAGTTTACATTAACTAGTTTTGGATTAATAGTCAGCTGACTTATACGATACATTCTTTTTTTCTCGAAGTCTCTACATTTTCATTTCTGAGGCTTATAAAAGCCTTAATTTACATACCGTTGAACATTTAAATGAATTCATAGAAAATATACACTTCTTGTCTGCGAATTGACTGATTTATTTTATCAGCTATGGGTCAGGCGTTTTCTACACAACGTTCAACGAATATATAAGTACATCGCGCACGAAATCACTGTTAGTATCATTGTAAACACCATAATCAGACTAGATTACCACTCTTGTACAGAAAATGAATACACTCTGTGTACAGACCATTTACTTACGTTTGAGAGAACACACTCAACATTTAACTAGGTGTCGGTCTCTTGAGAGACCTCACCTTAACTCACTTAGTTCAAATCGATCACCAGCTTCCTGTTGCAGCGAAGTCTGGCAATCCAATCTGATGTTGTTTTTCACCTTGCAACTAAATGAAGAAACATCTTTTCAACATCCAGGTCGGCAACCACAGATGACTGTTATCACCGGACAGAACTACTGACGCAAATCAACGATTGATGACTTGTCTATATCCACGTTCTTTTCATCAACAGCTAGGGTCTGGTGAATATTCTTCAACAAACGTCTAAGACAGTAGGTAAAATAAATAACTATCTACTTGAGAATTTTCCAGACCACTAATTACACGGTTTTCAGCTTGTGATAGAGTATTGTTGTCTAGCTGAACCTTAGCTGATAAATTTTCTATAACTTACTAATATAAATGTGAGGTGACTTACGAGTTCTTGTTTTAAAATGTCATATAAATTACCTGGGGCTGGTTTCGTAATTCTCACACTTGCTCCACTAATTTATCCGGCGACAACGAACTAGCATACATAATCGTCACTCTCTGATTAGTGTTTCTATGGGCCAGTAAAATACTTTTTAAGCATACACACCATAGTATTAGGTCTCTGTCTATAAAGCAGGTACAAATAAAGAGACGGCACCCACTAACTCCGATTTAGAAAAGGCGGGCAAAAAATATCTTGCGACTTGTGTTGATAAATGTTATTGTAATTTCAAAGTGTAAAATAGCGGATTAGATCTGAAAATAGTTCCGAAAATGTTAATTTTGGTGCAACTATAAATTATAACCCAAAAGTTTCCTGGGCAGCGTTTCTGATATTCTTTCCATCAGGTTCACTGTTTTATTGAGGTTGCCTCCCAATAAAATCGAACTTCAAGGATAAATCGTCCCATGTTACTTTGTACGACTTGATGACCGTATTGTTAGCAGTGTGAAACGAAAAGTCGAAATACACAGAGTTGTAAAACAATATATTTGGAGTGAATTATAGAAACATACTAGACATAAACAACCTCTTAGTGTTCAAACAAAGATGGAAGTATATCGCCACTAAATTTGCACACAAACAACACAAGTATACATTTTTCACGAGTTTACTCATACGTTTCAAGGTATCCAAAGTATGTCTGCTACACAGTAAATACTCTAGGTTTAATTCACTAATAGTTTTTGTATAAGATTATGGAAGTTTTCTGACAAAAGTTTAGTTTACTGAATAATTACACTAAAAGCCATGGATATGTCAAATCGTATCTAAAAAGTGTTAATTAGGAATCTTATCCAGATCTGTTGAATGTTAAACACGAAATTTTATTGATTGCATCGTTTGGCGCATTCCAAAATAAAATTAATCTCTTGTTCTTTGCAAAAACGATAGCCTGGTGGATTTTTACACAAATTTTGGGAGCTACATGCATACACAGACTATAAAATTAGTTTTGTGGCATTTTTAAGCAGTTTACTCAAACTGATAAGATATGGCTACTATATCATTCTCAAACATGCAACCTGGAACAAATATTCGACTCAAGTTGCCAAATCGTGTCAACACAAGTGAGACAGAGTAAATAAGATTGAGCTAATAATAATAGTTGCATCTATGAAAATAAAAAGAACTAAACAGGAAGAATGTGGTTCAAGGTGAATGAATTGGTTTGCAGAATTAAAGACCATGAAGTAAAATTATAATTCAATACTTATGGGTAGATGGAAAGAAGCGAACGGATCTACACATCAGTTTTGAATCATGTCGTTTGAGATTTCCAACCACTAATCAGGGTTACTACTCCAGTTGTTATGTTAGAGCTGTATTCTCAAATATTGTGAATATGTATACTGTACAAGAGAGTATATACTTTATGAGATACCTTTCTCGGAAATTTATAGTTTCATGTTAGTTTTCAATTGATGATGTTATGTGTTGAAACGTATACTTCCATCAATTACGCAACTCATAAATTAATATTTTTGTCAACCTATATAATTTCTAATCACTGAGTATACAGTTATGATCTCAGTCAGTCAGTCAGTAACAACGTAGAACTTCGTACGTACGTACATCAGTTCGAGTTGCCACAACACATTAGCACAGAGATACAGTGGTCGATTCAAATCCCGTAGTGGTAGAGGTAGTAAGAGTATAAGCAGTAATCCGAAAGATTAGGGTTTGAAGATGTTATTTAAGGAGTATAATATAGTGAAATAAATTTGGAAAGAGAAAAAAGGGACATGAAGAATTCAGAAGATTAGAATTTGGGAGAACACAAAGAGTGGATGCATCTGCGCCATTGCAAACGATTTTCAGCCATTTCATTCAAGGTCTCTAACCATCAGTTGCTATCATCGCGCGGTCCCCAACCAGATAGTCTAAACCTACCAACATGGCTCAATTGTGATCTATTTTTCTTGAAGTTGTTTAAGTAAAGTGTTCATGTTAGTTCTTACCGTTTACGAAATATAAAAATGTTCCTTTTATAGTGATATGTAATTTAAATTGAGTCGTATCATATATAAGCCAGCTTATAAATTGTTTATGATTGACTATGACTGAGATGAAAATAATCACATACTTTCAACTATATTTATTCTACATTCTTCACTTTATTTTAGCCTTTTAAATTGTTTTGTATATCTGAAATCGTTTTTTCTCTACAAAAGTATTGATTTTACGCTTTCATGGTTTTGTACTCCTGCTTTTTTTGTTTAAATTTCATTAGAAATGTGAATCCAAATCAAGCACAGCGACATCAGAAGAATTCCATCTTCCAGTTAATTCAACTGATATTGCAGGTGCGGATTTGTCTAAATGCTACTCGTCCAGTTAAAATTACGTCATCTGAATAGATATTATGTATAATGTGTTTTCCTCTTTTTTATGTATGTATATATATGTATCTGTAGGTGTTATCACTCTCTTTATACTATTGTCGCTGTTTTTATCTACAATCATTTCTGAGGAATCATATTTCAAGTATTGTTGGTGGTAAAGTTAGTTAAATATGTAGAAATAATCTGTATCAGAAAACCCCTGCAGATCAATAATATTAATGAATAAATAGGTATATTAAAACAAACTTCAGTGTAATTTAATCCTTATTTTGATCTTTTACGTGTCCTCATTTATTCATTTATACAAATCTGTATTTCGTTAGTGGATATATCTTGTTAACTAATAGGAATATGAAATTTAGTTCATTTAAAAAAGTAGTAAGAATGGTAGCAAATAGAACCGAGGCATACATTCTAAAAAATTATACACTAAGTTGAAATATTTTGATAAATTTATTTTACTACTAATTTTTCCTTGTTTTCACTTTATTTTTTTACCTAATTCATCTTTATTACTTTTTCAAGTTAAGTATAGTGTAGTACTTAGTTAGATAATTGATTATCTTCAGTTATTCATTTCTTTTTTCTTTTTTTTTCTAATTGTTTTCCTTACTACAATTTTAGCATGAAATTCTTCAAATACTACTATTATAATATACTTTGTACTTACCTTTCTATTTTTCACTATTTATTTGTTATTACATCATATAAATATAACTAATATAATGCGGCTCAACTCAAAAAAAATATTTTTGATTTATACGTGTTATTGTTTACGTTTGAATAGCTTCAATGTAAAATATTTTAAGAGTTAACATAAAATGTTCTATTTTGTTGTGTGTAAAATATTTGAAATAGAAGTTACGGTATTTTTGTGTGTATTTATCCATGGTATCTATAATTTAACTGTTATTTTGCTAATCTCTATGCTTTCCTAGATAGTTATGACGGTTTATGTTGTTTATAATTTAAGTTTGTTATATATATATATATATATATATATTCGTGTGTGTAATCAACTTTCAATATTAGTGTATGATATAGTCGTTTATTGGATATTGTTTTACTCCCTCTACTACTGTGTAATTTGCCTTGACAATTTCATCTCGTTGTGCTATTAGGTTATGGCAACTTGAACCAATGTACACATGTGCCAGATTCTATGTTGCATTTGACTGATTGATTAACTACTGCTACAGAAATATTTTACTCGATATCCATACATTATTTTCTATGTCTACGGATAGTTTTTTCCAAAGAATCATTTGATGGTTTTAAGTTCTCATCTTAACAATATTCCGATTGACATTGTAATCTGGTTATCACAAAAATAACTAGTAAGTTCTGTATGATCCACTCAGTTTCCAAATAAAATTCTGTATGTATTCGTTGATTTTGTACTATTTGTGTACACCGTACCTTGTTATCTTGTTCATAAAAGTACTCTAAAGCAAATTTTATGCTTAACTGATGAATTAACTTTTTTAAAAAGTTTCTACAGTAGTTAAGTACCATAAAGTTGTATCACTCTCTGATTGATATGTATGAACATAATCCGCTTTCGTTCAAATTTCGTGTTATTTTGATATTACAGTAACTTGATCTTGATACCCTACTTAATCTTTCTATAAACAGTGCGCAATATTTGTATATTGTTATTGAAATAGTTCTTGCCGATAATCTATGTGCACAGTTTATTGTCATTTCTAATTATTAAGTTCAATGTGTTTTTAACTTACTGAGTAGGAGGCTATTCTCATACAGAAGAACGTAAAATCTAATGTTATATCTAGTGGTTATATGCTATCTAATTGTTCTTTGTAATGTACATTACAAATAATAAACCTACACACTTTTTAAATCAATTTTTTTTGAGCACTTAAACGTGGTCAGTGACTTTATCTTTTAATATTTCATGTACCATTTAGTGTCATTATTTATTTTCTATAATCGTATTACGACACAGCTTTTGTAAATTGAAGTGAGAAATCTTTCTATTGTTGGTCTTATAGTTATGTCATCAATTACCAGTATGGGTATTTTATTTGATTCTCTATATTTATTTTTTTGTTTTTTTCTCTCCACTACCAAGATGTTGGCATCTCACTTTAAATCTCAATTTACTAACTTGTTTCATATTTTCAGTGTTCTTTTAACATACTTATTCATATTAGATTACCACTGATTTATTTTTAAGCCTAAATGATACATATCTATGACTGAATATGATTTCATTCCCAATTTACAGTTTATAAAAACAATCCTTTGTTTTTTCTACTGAAATGTCAAATTCAGATGTATTTCTCAAGAAATATATTTAATTTATCTAATTCTTCGTATTTTGTCAGTTTTACTTTCTTACTAAGTGAACCACTCTTTCCATCGAAGAGTAGATCTTTGAAATGCACACAACAGTCGAATTATTCACTGAAGTGTTTTCGTATTAACGCTGTCATATCAACGGTTTACGTACTTTTCTAAAAAAATTGAATTGTTCCTAATTAATTTGGCTAGTAACATTTTAGTTTATTTTTTTAATACTGAATTTGTATTTGTACTTTTTATTTTTTGTTGTGGTGTGATTATTTATCTCGTTGTTATAATTCACGTCTTATGCATACACGTATGCGTCTTTATTCTAACTGCTATTTGAAAGCTAGTTAAACGTTATGCTAATAGATATAAATTTGTATAAATAATACTGTATGTTTCCAAATGTATTCTATAATTATTTTGACTAACGGGAAAAAGGATTAACTGTTTTGCTTCCTTTTTTCTTCCTTAAAATAACATTAGACACGTGTATATTTTATGGAAAACTGTGCTACATTGTTTCTTTTTGCTGGAATTTATAACAGCCTTTTTTATCTGGTTTGAAATTTAATTGTATGCTTTTTAGATAAAATTTTATGTGTTCATTGACAATGTATTCATCATTCTGTATACTGCACATTTTTACTCGAACATTCACTGTGTTTAATAGGTCTTATTTCATATGAATTGGATACTATTGATTTTACTGAAGACTATAAGGTAGTTCCAATCTAAAAAATCATACCAACTCAAGCCTTGCGATGATTTAATCAAGCAAGACTTTATAGATGAAAGATATTCAGAATCGAAGGGCATAACTATTCAGTTAATGCTGATTTTTGTTAACCAAATCGTTGTTATCATATTGAAACAAGCAATTCTGAAAATAGTTTATTTTCAGTCTAATTCTCGGTGATAATCATGGTTTTATAATGTTTTGGAAAAATCTGTATAAGAAATAGAATCATACTATTTCATTTCACTTAAGGTAGATTTTTTTAAAGTGATAATTTCATAAAAGTACAATCGATTTTTATTTCAATAGTAACCTTTTCTACACAGTATTTATATGGAACTGTATAATCTAACTTAAACTTGTGAAAAGTTAATTCGATTATTTAACATAACACTAATTATTAAACAAATCCATTCATATTAGATGGTGATTGAAAGCAATAGAATAACTGGTTTCCAAATACTAGTTCAAATATAATTGCAATCTAGCCATTATTATTATTATTATTATTATTATTATTGTTATTATTATTATTATTGTTATTAAATTCACCATCTACTCATGCAAAAATAAATCATTTGCTGATAACATATTGTTTTTGAGTCTTCTCACTTTTATTGTTATATGATAATTTTGACCATAAATCCAATAAAAAGAAACAATCTCATAAATCTGAATTCGTCCTATTTATGTTATTCTGATAAATATATATATATATATATATATATATATATATATATATATATATATATATATATATATATATATATCAGTGATCATAATTCAACGTTTTAGATAATATAATGTTAATCGTTATTTTCTTCGTGATATCTTTTAATTTATTTAGTAATTAGAATTTATTATCTAATGGAAAATTAATTTCAGTCATTTTATATTTGGTACATATTCATCATTATCTCATAATTTATACATATATTTATTCTCGGTACTATTATCATTCATAAAATTACAAATGAAAAGATTTATATATGTATCATTAAGAATAAAATAGATGTCGTTGAAAAATTGAGGCTAATGTTAATAGATTTTGTTGTTTCTAAACACGTCATTTAATCTTTTCATTTTTTTTCATAGTTAACAATATCAATATTTGTTTTTGTTATCAACTTCAAAAAGATATTTTATTTGAGTGAAACAGTAATATCAAAATTGAAAAGTTTCTCAATTTTCTATTAAAGCAGTAATAATAGTAATAATTACTATTATCTTGTTTCTTTTTCAGAACAAAATTTATGGGCTGATTTTAAGAAATTAGAGGCGAATAATTTTGAACTTGATGATTTTGAACCTTTTACAGCACCGTGTGCAGGTATGTGTTACTTTATCGTATATATCCATACCGTTTACTCTAGGATATGACAACTTGATTGTTCAAAACATTTAATATTGATACAAGTCTATACTTTGCTGTTCACTGTATTCAATGCACGTGCTGGGTAAACTATTTGAAATGAGTTCGTATTTTAGCATTTAAGTATTCTAAATAAAATATTAAATAAAACACTAAAAGATGATTTAAAAGATAATAGAAAAATGATATAACATAAAAGGGATCAGAAACTATCACACCATTCAAGCCTTAGAATGGATTAATGATTAAGAAGATATATTCAAGGTGTAGGAAACTTGTTTCGAAGACCGAAAATTTTTATTCCAAGATTTAAAGACTGTTTTAATGTCAATTATTATTGCTGCAAAACCGCTTATCATTAAAAAACTAACCTCCTTATTCCACATAGGTCTCGAAATTGCATATATTATTAAGTCACTTCTCACTACTTCCACCGATTCACATTTGTTTGAATACAAACATTGAGAGCAGTTTCCGAACAATGCAGTCATATCTATTGAAGTGTGTGCTTAAGTGACTTAGGAATTCATTGGTGTTATTTATTCTGATAAATAAGTGGAGCAGAAGATTATACTCATCAATAGAAAAAATATCAATTAAACAGGTTATAGCGTGGTGTATTCTACTTACGTTGACGGATATATGTAGTATGTAGCACCAATCGAAAGGGGAATGCATTCCAACAGAAGATTAAGACGATTCAATTTAAGAGAATAGAAAGTAATTGTAGTAGACAGAACTGAAAAAATCATAGAGCATGTAAAGGACAACTGATGGAAGATATGCGAATAATGTATTTAATGTATGGTTTTCATATTTTGTAAAAGCACTCTAATTTTGTATTAAGCAATAATTTGGCTTTGCGTACCTTATTGTTTCTTTACTACAATAGGACTGACCGTAAAACAGCTTTGTAAAGTTTGTGAAAGCCTCGGTCATCAAAAAAATTCAAACTTCCGTTTTATGAGTGGAAACAATTTTTTCTTACCTTTAATTTGTTTTGCTAATCTTTAATCCACTTTAATGCCTCAGATAGTGTGATAATTGATTATTTTTTTCAGTTTGTCATCTCTGTGTTTGTTATATTTTTACCTATCACATATTATTACTTCCACATTTTATTTAATTCAACCTTATTTTGGACAGTATCTAAGTATCTTGATAAATAAACATGTGGTCAGATTGTTCGAAATATTTTTTCTAGGGGGGGGTACGCATTTCATTTTTCAAATGGACTCAGTACGCTTTTGAAATTTATTAGAGATATCAATGGTTTTAAAGTTTGCTAAAATGCTCCGAGTTTTTGGGACTTCCGTTACAAACAGCTGTCCTTCGGAAAACTAAGTCATTTCAATGATGATAATTTTTTAGATTTAAACTAGTAATTTATAATCTGTAAAATTAACTAGAAAGAGAACAAAAGTATTTCCAGCTGGGATGCAAGGAGATTATTTGGGTAGATCGCGTATATTCTGTCGTCGCAAGTCTTAATTCTTGTATTCTAACATAATCATTTCTGTTTCGTGTCCATTATAATGTAGAGCTGAGGTTTTGAAATTCCTAAATCTTTTTTAGGCATAATGAAGCAGTCCTGTAGTACTGTTTACTTTGACGAAGTTCTTTAACTGATATCAGCTTACGAAAACAAAAAATAACTTGAAAAATCTTCGTGATTGTACACTGATTATCATTGTCATTGAATTGTTTTGTGTTAGATATGTTTTAAACTACCAATAATAAAGTTTCTATATTATCTTTTGTTTTACAGAATCCGATGATGATGCTAGGTCATTTGTTACATGTTGTAGCGATCTTACTGGGAATACTGATTATGCTACCCCTCTTGCGTCAAATTTTCAGAGTTTTGATATTCCAGGAATAAAGTCTTGTAAGCTACATTTTTAAAATCATGGTTTCATAATACATAGGACGCATAGACTGGTTGGAAATTAGTCTCGGTAATTTCTGTACATTCATGTGGCAGATAGTGAATCATTTTATTTAGTACGTACCTGTTCAGTTTACCTCTATAGTTGATGGTCATACTGCAAAAGCTACTTTTTAAAAATCAAACTTAAGTGATGTCAACAAAGGTGCAATCAGCCAGGAAACCAAGTTTCATATTTTGTTTAATGTTTTTGAGTCAAATGGCAAGAAATTGTTAATCAGAGTTTCCTATTTAAGTAAGTTAATATTCTTTATAATTGATTGATCACTGGAGTATGATCAACGTCAAGTGTGTCAGGTACTCTTTAGTGCAGATTGAATTCTGTCGACCAAGTTGCAATGTTACCACTAGTCTAGGACACTCGAAATCGCGTGCACTATGTTGAGATGAGATGGTGGTGTTTCACTCTGTACTTCATTGTAACAAATTACAAGTTTATCATTCATATCACATTTTTTTGTTAAGTTAAATTGTACGAGAAGCATTATAGAATAGTTTGATTACGAAATTGATTGTGAGAAGTATGTAGTTTGAGTAAAATTAAACTTTTCGATGAAACAGAATGATTTGTTTATATATTTTCTTCCCCTTTTACTTTTCTCGTGAATAGGCTTTAACCAAAAACCTGTCTCTAGTATTCAACAAAATTGTGGTAAACTAGTCCTTATATTAGTGATTCATGGTGGTAAGTGTTTCTTTTTTTAAAAAAATAACGTGATCAAGTCTACTTACTGTAAGAGAATTACAGAGGTTGTTCGATATGTAATTTACGTCAGGAACTGACTTTACCCATAAAACCACAGAAGACCGAAGTTCATTTAACTAATATTTCGCCGTTATCAACTATTGTAATACAACTGATCAAACTTTAAGACTTTTGCCAAAGCTCGTCTCTTTAAAGTTCATAAGTATCAGTTGTGTTTGTTTCGTGACTAAACTTCTGTATTTTGTGATGCTACTGTCTAGTTCATGAAAACCTCAAGGTAAGACCACCCAACTGAAAGAACGCAACTTCGATAAAATTGTTCTGTTGAGCTACAGGCCCTCACCATGTCAAAATAAATTATGCATTCATCATTACGCCATGTATAAATCTCATAGTTTACTCATTTATATTACGTTATTATTATTATTATTATTATTATTATTATTATTATTAATGGCTTTATTCAATATTATATTTTGGTACAATCTAGTTGTCGACCACTTAATTGTTTCACTAGTATAAATGTATTGTAGTTACCGTTTACTTCCTGCATATTTTATTTATGAAACACTCACTAATAGTGAAACATTTGCATTGCATATAAGTCCTTGCTTATAGTATCTATCATCTATATTTTTTTGATACTATCGGATTGAAAGGAAAACTTTTCCAAACAACACATCTTACGTCCTTTCTTTTTACTGTGTTTTCTTTTTAAAAAATCTATTCAGGTTGTATACTTGATTCAACTTACGATTTAACTACAAAACGTTCCGATATTTTAACTTTTCGAAAAACAATCGAAACAGTAACAGCTAATCACTATCCAACATTACATAATCGAATAGCTGTAAAACTTGTACCATGCCCTACAGAAATCGGCGATATATTCCGATTATTCTCCAAGTGAGTTTGTCTTTTTCTTCCATTATTTTTTCTTTATTTTCTGTAGTTCAATTAAAACAGGACACTAAATATTGTCAATGCAATTGACTATTTATTTCTATAATTAATTTGGTTGGCTTTTTTTGTTTATTTGTTTCTTCGTAAGATTGAAAGCTTCACCAGATCCTACTAGGCCAATTGAAACTCAATTGCTACGTGATTTAATGCCTTTGGGGAGTATTCCTTTATTTTTGATTAATTCATCTGGATATTCGCGAGTAAGTATGATTTTAACCTCTTATTTGTGATTTAATGTTTTATATATATCTTTTTTCCATGGTACTTGCTGGTTTTCTTCATCTACAGTCGGAAAATTCCCACTGTTCTTTTCCCAACACGATAATTTGTTGGGTAATCAAGAAAGCATACCATTACACAGTTGGTCTGAACCAAGTTTATTAATTATGCCAAAACACGTCAAATGTATATGTTTTAGTGAATAAATAGGTTCATCTTAGAAATTTATTGTCATTGGAGCATAATATGTAACGCGTTGGACATCTAAAGCAGAAGATATTGGGTTTTATCCCAGTGTGAACATCAACATCGGGACGCAAGCACATTCAACTGAGGAGTTCGTAATGGCGTAAGATGTGCGTCTTGCATTCCACTGCAAGTCACAATTTATCTGTTGTAAAAACCTTGTGACATAATAGGGATATTGATACATTTGTTGTCCAATGCAAATATGTCAATAATGCTTGATTATGATTCAGTCCTAAATGTTGACTTTAGTATTGTCCAAACCCATAATAAAGATATAAACGGAGTTGTTAGTTTAATATTTCAATCGCCAAGATATGAGAATTATAAGTTTTCTTTAACTACTTAGTAATTTAAGATTGCCGTTGCGATCTTAGCTAAGACAGCCCCTTCAAATACAGTAGACTGTGTTAGTGGTTACTTGATCAACCATGACATGCATCCAGTAAACGATTCCATTCACAGTCTGCACCTACTACGTTAGTCTTCAGTATGTTTGATCTCCAGATAATCCAATTAGAACTAAACGTCGAAACCAGATAGTGATATGACGGAATAAAAAAGTGACTGACTGACTTGTTCAGTATGACAATTGTATCCCCTATATCATTTCAAATAAACTATATTAGTGTATGTTTTCACAGCAATCCTATATATTTCCTCCTATATATGTTTTTATAAGGTGCGTAAAAATTAGTATATAAATAATTGTATCTCAGCCTAATAACTGTGTATTCGGACCTGACTTAGGGACTTGGTTGGAGAAGTGTTTTTGAGGAGTCAATAAATTTTCATCCCAATAGTCTTTTATTTTCTCACTTCGTCTTATGGGAATTGCAGTGGTTTCCCGATTGTTAAGTATGGTCAATAAGACCACAAACCCTACATAGTCGAAACTTACATTGGGGGTGGCGCAGATTTAACAGATAGTTTTATTGAAGTGTGTCACCTAAACTTTTTCAGTCATTTTACAATGAATGATACTAATTTTTCTCGAAAATACTTCGTATTTGTGAACTATAATCATTTCAAGCATTAGTTGTAGGTACAAATTTCAACTGTATGTTTTTAAGTATATTATATGACATAAAAAGTGATTAACTTATATTTATTTTTAAGAAAAGAAACAAAACAATATTCATCTGTTGAAATTTGTATAATTTACAAACATTCCTGTTTATTGACACCTTGATATTGCATCTTAAGCAGAAACGGATAGTGGTTAGCAGTGGAATTCAAGACTCACGTCTCGACCTATTTGTGACTCGTCAACCGGATGTACATACATTCCAGAGGTGATGTTCACTCTAAGACCGTTACCGAGTATCGTTCACTCCGAACACTATCGAGTTATTCACTGAGCTACTGAGTTCAGGTAGTCACTGATTTGTCCAATAGAGTGGATTTTAATTCATTTTTATTGGTTGTTTTAAACTTCCCACTGATGTTTAGGACTATATTTAATCAGTTTCTTAGTAGCAATATCGGGACAATTCTCACAGGATGCACATATGTCAAAAGAGACTGACCGATTACAATCTTAAACATCATTGAGAAGCTTCAAACAATCGACTCATACGAATTCATGTTACATCGTTTTCCAGTTTCTATTATGTAACAAACCTATTATTTGTTTTTTTTCTATGCTAAACGTCAACCCCACAAAGCTCTACTTTCATATTATGTACATAGTTGTTATCTTCTGTCATATGTTTAACTTTATAAGAGAGAAATAATTTTGGAAATAAGATCAAAATTCTAGCGTGAATAGCCTGGTTGAAACTATCCCACGATTATGTTTGAATATTTTTTTTATTGTAAAAAAACGATGAGGTGGTACTTAACTCCATTTTATATGATTTGTAATTTAGCGCTCATTTCGTACGAAATGCTTTCTTCACTGATGTGTATCAATCATTAAGCGTATTTAAAATTTCAAGTTGCGTTTGTTGTTATTAGTAAAATTCAGACTATTCGTCCAATATAATGCTAACAATAATCAAAATTATTCAGACGGCTAAATAAATTGATACACATTATTGAAAAATTGTTTCTAACTTGATTGAATAATTGAAGAAGAAAAAACAATAATCCGCTGATATAAGATGAAGCCCAACAGGATATTATGTCAATTTAATTGGCTTCACTTTGTAAACATAAAAACGTAAGAAAGCAAGTATTTAGAATATAGGATTAAAATGATGTGATGAGGACGGGATGATAGAAGAATCTAGTGCAATGCAAATATAAACTGTTTTTTCTGTTATCTGACTGACTTCATGCAGGATATCCCAAATTCACCACACTGTTTAGATCAATAACCCTTATTTTTATACGTTAGTTTATTCTGATTACTTTCGCCCCTGTACATCAATATTACCTCAAGCAATTCCAATCGCTTATGTTAGCTAACTATTCAATCGAATATTGCTATATTATTTTAAGTCATTTTTTCCCCTGTAAGTTCTCTGTTTATTAATATAATCATTTATCTGCCCTACTTTGAAACTGTAATCATATTCATGCCACGTCCTATATCTTCTCTGACAGACCGACTTTTTGTTTAATTGATGGGTTGAAATTATTAATGATGAAATTTCTATAGGTCTGTACTGTGTACTTACAATCATTTAGTCTAACTTATCCACAGTGGAATAGTAAGTCGCACAGTATTTGACGTTAACTACTTGCTCATTGTTATTGTTCCTGCCTTTACTAAATAATATATAAGTGGAAATTACTCTTGGTAATAAATCTTACATGTTCACTCGTTATCTACATTGTTCACCTTTTCAGCTGTCTATATTGATAACAGCATTATTTAGCAAGTATCATTCAGTTGTTTTATGCATTTGTATTGTTAAATTAAATTTCATAAGAAGACAGATAAACATTGATGGTCAAATACTATTGTGTTATAAAAATTAAGTTAACATTTCAAAGGTTGTAAATTTTCATAACATTACTTATTACATCCGATAAAAATTCTTTGTTTTTTCTTTCTTCTTTAGTTTCTGATGTTTTTTTCCGTTTCTTACGTCTGACCATTATGATGAAACCATTGGTTTATTGTTTAGTTCTTTTTTCTTTTTAATCATTCGCATATTTTTCATGTATTATATACATGTAAATATATATGTTCATTGTTTTAATCACTACCTAAGATATTTCGTGCGCTGATTTACTTAAGTTAAATTTCAAATGATAATTGCAGTATAAAATGTACATGAAATTGTGATACAATAGAATAAATGTACATTGCTGAATATTTTTATAAACCTTCTGTTATCTGTTTCTTAAGTGAAAACCTTGTTTAAATTATGCACACACACAAATACAAATAATATTTGTACAGATTGTTTCCAGTGTGAAATTTTGTTTATGATTATTTAAATATTTACAATTGAAACGACTGAATTTCTGTTCAAATTGTTCAGAAATTAAATTAACACTTCTTGTACACTGTCTGCTTTTATTGATGGTAAAATAGAAAAGATTCCGATCTTAGTGTAGATATTGAATGTACAATTGATTCATTACTGAGGAGTAGTGATCAGTGTCATTTTAATTTAATCTTTTAATGCTAATTAAGTTTTAATGACCAAGCTGCAGCTGCCACTAGTCTAAGTGACACAACATCGCCTGTACTATGTTCAAATGTTAGGTGGTTGAAGTTAGTCGATAACATTGAAATCCCACAAGAAGCACCAGTTCTCTCAAAGCTAACAGGTACGCTTTGCTAATGAGTATTAACTACCACGAAACCCCAGGCCAAGGGTATACTGTCAACTGCCTCTAACCACTTAACAAATATTGACTACTGAATATCAATTTCTGCAAAACTTTATAAGGATGGACTGTATGTCTAACATCCTTATTTGATTATTTTCGATAACTAATTGGCGTAAAACACATTATTATTACTTGGTGTTGTTGAGATTCTTTCCATCTTTACTTTTCACTCTGGTATTAGTCTATAAAACACTTCAGATGTTTGATTAGATTTTGGTTAGGCAAATTTTCGGGCATTAGTAACTGTGTTAACAAATGAGTCTTATACTGTATCGCTTATGTTAGCTAACTATTCAATCGAATATTGCTATATTATTTTAAGTCATTTTTTCCCTGTAAGTTCTCTGTTTATTAATATAATCATTGATCTGCTTTAGTACTACCCTAAATCTTTACTTCACTATTTGTAATCATTCTTAATCCCCTGTCATGTTTATTTTCAAGACTGAATTAATCATTCTGTCTTTTTTGAACGTATAACATCCTTGAATGCATGTCTTGATACAATCAAAGGTTTTACCAGTTGGTTAACAATGTAGATAGTAACCACTAGTAATTAAGATCTAGAATAAAGGTGACGTTTTATTTATGTCTAATAACTTGTATTTAAATTATTAAATTAGTCTTGAACAAAAATTTATGTTTATGAAATGAATAAATAAAATTAAACGGCTGGACTATAATTTATGGACGAGCCAATCAGATTTAGTATTACTTACTTACGCCTGATACTCCTCATGGAACATAGGCCGCCGACCAGCATTCTCCAATACACTCTGTCCTGGGCCTTCTTTTCTAGCTCCATCCAATTCTTGTTCATTTTTCTCATGTCTATCTCCATTTCCCGGCGTAATGTGTTCTTTGGTCTTCTTGTTTTCCTTTGGCCTTGATGATTCCATGTGAGGGGTTGTCTTGTGACGCAGTTGGGTATCAGGTTTTAAATATTGGCGCGAAATTCATCCACCCATTTGACTAAATAGCTAATGTCAGTTTGCGATATAAACCATAAATCGAATTCCTAACTTTAACCATCAACTATAAATCACAATCCTAATTCTTCACACTGATTTATAGCCCTCATTTAGTCCCAGTTAGTAGGTGGACATTCTCAAGGTCACTTTAGCATCACTCAAAGGTCGCCCATAAATTATAATCTCACCAATTAAACATTTACAGACCTAATACACCTTACGTAAAAAGATTGAATTATAGCAACAAAATAAAACCGTCAAATAACAAAGGAATTTAACATATACCAATAAATTGTACAAAAATGAAGTAAGATTATTAGTTCAATGGAAATGATAAAAAACGCATGCAAATGTTCTATTTCAATTTATCATATGTTTTAAAGCGATATTTTTAACATAAAAAAAACTAACTTTTTAGGATTATAAAAAATTTTTTTCTCAGCGTGTTTTAGTTGATTTTGAAAAATCACCGTTTATATTATCGATTTAATCAGATGACTTAACTTACCAAAAAGCATTTAATTGACTCAAAAATAATAAAAAAAAATACAGTTTATGTTTACCCCTTTGTTTCATATATTATAGACTCTTTAGTTTTTTTTCTTTTGAAAAAAAATTGGTTTTTCTTTTATTCATCTTTAATTTGATCTACTGTTATTGATTTATAGTGTTGCTGAGAGAAAATTATATTTTGTTTGATAGAATAGAAAGTAGAACTTTTCTCTCTTTGTCCGTGTATGTATGTGTATAACATCATCATAGAGAAAATGACAGATACGGTGGATAATTCTATCAGTACCAATAGCTATCATTTATTCATATTATTTTTGATTTAATGTAACAGTAAAGAGTTATTATCGAGAAGAACTAGTCATTAGTTTAATAGTTGAGTTCGTGAATCATTTGAAGCGAGACCACCATGAAAAACCTGGAAGCACTGAACGGCCGTTTCTTCCTAGTGTGGGACTGAGCAGTGCGCATCCACTATCCCACCCCGCGAGATTCGAACCCAGGACTCATTAATTGCGAGTACTTCTTGTATTACAATATGAATGGTTTTATCAACCGTGTTAAGGTATGGAATTAAAAGAATGTTGGCAAATAGTTGTATTGACCTTGAACTTATTTAAGCTTGTGAATGGAGAATGAGCTTTATTCTAGGTTGACCTGTATAACCTTGAATTGTATTGATTCATATCAAGGAATTCTTGTTGATGCAAAGTTAAAAAATTCCGGTATTATGTATTTGTTTATCAACCTACTTAATTGAGCTTCAGTCGGTTAACAAAAAGGTTTTTTTAAATCAGATACTAAATAAAATTACAAATAACCATAAGTTACTACCTGTTAGCTACTCGATATACTGCCTAAGTTTTTTGTCAACGTTGTGTCGTTCATTTTTCCGTGTTTTCATGTTACATATTCCCCATATTTGTCAACCAATTTGTGAATGCGATTGTGTGTTTTATAAGCAACATAAACACATATGCAGATAACAATAACGAGATGAAATTAAGAAAAATGTCAAAGTGATAGAATTAGTAACAGTTTCAGTGGTTATTGAATATATTAGATATAGATCACGTGATTTGAGAAGTATTAATTTGCGGAATAAAAATTCTAAGATAATTTTGAACTAATGATCTGAGGGAAGATAACTAGTGAATACACCTGTATCACTCCAAGCGATTATGAGCCGTGTTACCTAAAGTCTTCAACCATTAGTAACGACAGTCTAGAGGATCTAGCAGTTTTGATTTACCTACACAGCTCGGTCCAGTAGCCTATATCTGAATGGATTGATGCCACGGCTTCGGTAAATTTATAAGATCAAGAACTTTGGATAGTGTTAGTAAGTATTGGTGAAACCACCAAACTATTATCACAATACGGTAAAGATACAATCCAATGAACGTAATATAACCACATATAAGTCTGTAATTCTGAGCATACTATATAACTGATTATCGATATGACCGGATTGTTGACAATGTAATTGGTGTACTGCCTTACATTGAAATGTAACCCTAACGTATGGTATATTAAAACAGAACATTTACGTACGTCTTTTTATCATTTCAACTGAAATAATAAGTTTATTTACTTTCTGTACAATTCTTTTTTATACGTTCAATCCCTTCATCCTTCGACAGTTTTACTGTGTTACTTTATTCTTTTTACATAATGTGTGTTCAGTGTTGAGGACACTGTCTTCATTTTTGTACGGTATCATTATCACTTAACTTTCTGCCTTGAAAAGTTGGTAAATGCGGGAGAGAAACTCTATGACCTATGTTTATGTTGATACCTCTTACTGATTACGGAATGTAAAATTACATATATTTCTTAGTGTTATCAAGACGTCAATAATATGTCTAGGTACTAAACACATAATACATAGAAAATGTTGAACATTAAAGGAAATTCACCATCAGGAAAGAATACTTTTTGCCATTCCGTTTCAATTAATTTTTTTTGTGACTGAAATATATTATATAATTTTTCAGTAGTAATGAATGTAGACTATCCTGATTTATCTTTTGATTACATGTAAATCAAACTGAAATGGTTGTCTGTCGCTTCTAGATTTTTGTTACTATCTCAACTCTTCAGGCAGTATTAATTCAAAACAAAAGTTTATCAGGGTACAAAAAATATACAAACTACTGAAGAGCAGAAAAGTAACCATGAAGTAATTGTCACTTCGTAATACATTCTAGCAAGCTGTTATGTATTTTGGCAAATTGATGTAAAAATCCATATGTATATGTAGATTTACATGAAAAAAACTACTAGTTTATTTGCCAAATTTTATATTCAATATAAACATATTTCTGCAACTAAATTTACTAGTGTTATTAATCAAGTGGTTGATAGGAGATTTGGATAGCTTGGCGGAAGTTTGACCAATTGAAAATCAAGGAGGACTGGAAGTTTGTTTTGTCCTATTTAAGAACTCCATGATATCTTGTAACGTTCTAACAATTGTACTCAACCACTGAATATATATATAGTATTTGTCGTCGGTTTCGTGAATGGGTTCTAACTTATTAAGTGTAAACATTTTGAAGTGGAAGGTTTTAACAGTACTGAATTTGCGCTAAGAAACTCTACACCTTGGACCGATTTTTGTTTATCATCTATTGAGAAGCGAAAATCACTGAACAGTCGTTTTGCGCTAGTATGAAAATACTTTACCAGAGCGTAATTTCAAACTTAGCAATTCCTAGTTTGTTTTAATTTTATAAGATGTATAAACTAGATGTTATTGTTCTGTAAACTAACTATTTGGAATAGAAAATTGACTAATATTTGAAAACTAAGCAACAATAGATAGTATTGAACAGATAGTCTAGACCATGAAGTTACAGTCCACAGAAATTGTAGATTTGCTCATTTTATATATAATACTGAATTTAATACCTGTACATTTCGCTCATTTATTCTTCTACTATGATATTGATTTTTTGCCAGTTAATTTCTTATTGATCAGTTCGTACCGCTATCTAGAAATGCGGATGTTTTTCCGTTTGGTTTTCCTATTTGTATTTAAATAAAACTTTTATATATGCATAAAATTGTAAGCACATTATATATATTTTTCAACTATTAAATATGTTTTCTACAGATGTTGGAACAATTATCATTTAATTTGAACACTCATTATGCTGAGTTTTTACGTTCTCCTGAAGGAATTCACTTTTCTGGCAAAGTTTGTATAGTAGCTGACAGTGTTGGTTCAATTTTGGCTCATGATCTTTTAACAAAACCTTCTACTAATCATGAGTCAGTATCGAATAATAATGATACAAGTGTGACAGATATTGGATTAATGCGTCGTAAACAATTTGGTATTCATAGTTTAATACAGTTGGATAAACAAATCGAAACCCCAACTTTAATAAACAGCCCCAGTGAAGTCACTTTATGCCCAGTAAGTTTTTCTAGGTGAGTATTGTTCAAATAGGTAATTCAGAAATAGTGGGGTATAAATACATCGGCTTTTTGTTTTTAACGATAGACATGGTCATCTTTCGTACATGTGTATGGTTTGATGATCCTTTTATCTTCATGGGATTAGTTCCTTTATCGAATTTGAATCAAGTGGGAATAACCGACAATTGAAACAGAATATCATGTGAGATCATCGTATTTCGTTAATTTTCTCATGGTTTTTTGTACAGATTAGTTCATTTTAAAACATAATATAATATTGGAAAATCGACAATGATGACTTTCAGTAGCTAAAATGACATACTTGTTAAATGGCATAATACGGAAATAACTCAAGGCTTGAAAATCAATCAAATGGATTGTGTAAGAATTAATGAAAATGGAAATACACAGATTATAAGAATTGGATCTGGGCTTATCGCGCAAATCGCTTTTGAGGTAAATGAGGTAACAAATAATCAATGAAAGGTGACTAATTGTTACACACTGGTTAATGTTAAACGGTTTTAGAAAGTTTATAACATTGGATGATGATCGTGTCGTACTGTAAATCGACTGAAATTCTAAAAGCGTCGGCTTTTGAATCAGTCAGTCAGTCAGTCAGTAACAACGTAGAACTTCGTACGTACGTACATCAGTTCGAGTTGCCACACCACATTAGCACAGAGATGCACTTGTCGATTCAAATCCCGTAGTGGTAGAGGTAATAAGAGTATAAGCAGTAATCGGGAAGATTAGGGTTTGGAGATGTTATTTAAAGAGTATAATCCAGTGAAAGAAATTTGGAAAGAGGAAAAAAGGGACATGAAGAATTCAGAAGATTAGAATTTGGGAGAACACAGAGAGTGGATGCACCTGCGCCATTGCAAACGATTTTGAGCCATGTCATTCAGGGTCTTTAACCATCGGTTGCTGTCATCTCGCGGTCCCCAACCAGGTAGTGTACACCTACCAACATGACTCAGTTCACTTGTCAGTGACTTCATGGACTTGTGCCATGTTTTGGTTTGGCCGCCCCTAGCTTTCTTCCAACCTACTCCTATACCACTGAACATAGCACGTCGAGGTAGTCGGTCGTTGGGCATACGTAACACAGGTCCCAGCCATCTCAACTGATGAAGTTTCACTACTTCATCAATTGATTTGCCATCCTTACGTAGTACCCGTTTCCTAACAACTGTGTTACTTACTCGATGGTCCCATGATATACGAGCAATGTTTCGAAGACACCTATGATCAAATACTAGTAACCTACGGATATCCTCTACTCTTGCCGGCCATGTTTCACTGCCATAAAGTAGGACGGAACGAACTGCTGCGCAGTAAACACGTCCTTTGGTTGATAGACGGATATCTCGCCTACGCCATAAATGACGCAAGTTGGCAAAAGCTAGTCGAGCCTTCTGTATCCGTGCTGAGATTTCGTCACACACCAGACCACAAGGGCTGATGAGACTTCCAACATAAGTGAAGTTGTCAACGCGTTCGACTACTTCACTCCCTATCCTTAGTTCAGGTGTTAACGCAGACCAGTCCTGAAGCAACAAATTGCATTTAGAGGGAGAGAATCGCATGCCGAACATGCTTGCATTGTTGGTTAGAGTGGTCAGAAGACTCTGCATTTTGTCAGCGTGTTCACCAAATAAAACTATGTCATCAGCATATTCTAAGTCAACAAGTGAACCTCCCGGTAGAAGTTGAGCCCGTGGAAATTTAGACGAGGAAAGTGTTATCTCTAAAAGAACGTCGACGACAAAGTTGAACAAGAATGGAGAGAGTGGACAGCCCTGACGAACACCATTTGAGGTAATCAATTCTGATGACAGTTCGCCATAAGCTCTCACTCTACCAGTTGTGTTCGAGCGGAGAGCCTTTATAAGGTTAATTAACTTCTTTGGTACTCCTTTCAGTGATAAACACTGCCATAGAACGTTACGATCGACAGAGTCAACTGCTGCTTTAAGGTCGAGAAATACTACGATTGTGGGGCGTCTGAATGTGTGTCTATGTTCTAGGACCTGACGTAGTGTGAATACCTGGTCTATACAACCACGTCCAGGTCGAAAACCAGCCTGATTTTCTCTAGTCTGCTCTTCACGAGCTTTAGTTAGGCGTCGAAGTATTATTGAAGCTAATATTTTAGACACTATATTAGTCAAACTGATTCCTCTGTGATTGTCACAAGAGGACTTTTGTCCTTTCTTATAAACTGGCACAATCAGTGATTGAGACCAGTCAGATGGGATTACGTCCAGTTCCCAAATTCTACCTAAGACCTCAGTTAATCTAATTGCTAATACTGGACCACCATCCTTAAAAATCTCAGGTGTAAACCTGTCAGGGCCTGCTGCTCTCCCTCGTTTCAGATTTCCTATGGCTTTTTCAACTTCGTAAAGGGACGGAGGACTTACATTAACTTGCCATTCAGGTTGACTAGAGATCGTGGGAAACCGAAGTGTGGCTGAAGGCCAGTTGAACTGATCCCTAAAGTGTTCTGCCCATTGATCCAATCTCCTGGATTGAGAATGTATAAAATGTCCATCTTTCTCTGAGATTGTTTCGCTAACAGTCGTGTTCCTAATACCGGTTTCCTTAACAAGTCCGAACAATTGTCTGCTATTACCTATTGCCGTTGCCTTTTCCATCTTTCGCTACCCATCACTGTTCACAATCATTGCGTCGGCTTCTTGTAAGCTTGTACTTAAGCTGACTCCGCTATTCATTATGTTCAGAGCCAGATGAAATGAGTTTCCGAGCATCCATCAGTGCAGTAGATGCTGCTGAGATCCAGTGTTTTTCCCTAACTTTGTGGTTTACCTTACTAGCAGATATCACTGCTGTTTCTACAGCTTTTCGGATATCATTCCATGCTGCCTCGGGGTGGGCATCACATACATGGCTGCCTAACTGTTCTCCTAGTTGTCTCTGAAATATACTCTTAGCTTGACTATCATTAAGTAGGACCCTAAGAGGTTTCCTTGGAGCGTCTTTCCGACGTCCAGTAAGACGCGGACAGATACGCGCTCGCACTAGAGCATGATCTGAGTCTAAGCGTGTGCTCCAGAATGAGCGACAGTCTTCTATCGAGCCCCTTCATCGGTGGCTGATAGCAATGTGATCTATTTGGGTCCAACGTTGGGACGAATTAGAGGGTCGCCGTGTTAAAAGATGTTTTTCCTTATGCTTAAAGTTAGTATTCGCAAGGAACAGGCGGTTATCTGAGCATAGCTGCAACAGACGGTCGCCATTATCTGTTCTTTGAGCCACGACACCATAGGATCCACCTAGGTGTCTTTCCTTACCGCTTAGTTTACCTACTTGAGCATTAAAGTCACCGGCCACTATTACTACATCCGAGCGCTTAGCTTTTCGGAGAAGGTCCGAAAGCTTTCTGCAAAACTCATCTTTTACATCATCTGAGCTGCAGTCAGTGCGAGAATAGGCAGAGACGACGAAGAGGCAACGACGAGTGTCCCTATCTTTCCGGATTCTTACTGTTCCGTTCAGTCGGACAGCGTACAAACGACTGTTTACTGGGATCCACTCTAAGAGAGCTAGTTCTGCCCTAGGACTCAATGCTATACCTACGCCGGCGAGGCCACGGGAAGCAGAATCAGGGCTTCCAGATACACAAAGTGTGAATCGAGTCGGTTCTTTATTTTGGCATGGTGAGGTCAAATGAATGACGCTACTTGGATCCTGTATGCGCGTTTCGGAGACGCAGCACACATCGATGGCGCGAGATTCTAAAGTTTTAGCTAAGGAAGCCTGCTGTCCTATTTGGCAAAGTGTTTGTACGTTAAAAGCTCCTACGTGTAGTTTAGAGCGTGGTTTCAGGAGACCAGGAATGGCGTTCCACGTACTCGAATCGTTTGCTCTAGCGGTGCGAGGTGATAAAGAGACGTGAGGAGGGTTAGTCGGGAGGATAAGAGAGGTATTAGGAGGTGTAGGAAGGATTTGAATGTGACCACCTTGGTCTCTTGTGCTGTTGCGGGTATGAGGGCTGATATCACTTCCCGGCTGCCCACACCGTGGAAGGGTATTTCTTGAAGAACCTGAAAAGGAAATTGGATTAGTGTTGGTCTTGACGACCTGGGAGCGTGACCGCAGAGCCCAAGGGACAACTGCTTGAGGCCGGTCGCGCACGGCCTTTTTGTGGAAGGTTTTTGACGTGTTAGCTCCGTTCTTCAAGGGGCCTTACCGCCGGAGACGGAAATCCGTGAGGTAAGGTGAGGTGTGCATTTTTAGGGTTGACCTTTTCTAACCCCATCCCTCCTTGTGGGAAGGCAGCATCGCTGTCATGCTGGTTGTCCGAGGGAAACACCTTACTGCCGTCACACCTCTGTACAGTCAGCAGTACGACTTCGCCCTCAGACCTTGAGTTGCTGCTTTTAGTCTTACCGTTTAAAAATCGACCTGCCTGGCATGGTAGAACCTGCAGGAACATATGTTCCAGCCAATATAACTCGGTTGGGTCATCACGATAGGCAAGCCCGACCACCACGTCAAGGTAGCAGCTTCGATCGGGCGGCTTTTGAATGCATGTACTCAAGTGATCTTATGATGCAGTACTCGGTCCGTAACCTGGTTATTCTTGTTTTGATACTTAATGGTGTCGTGTTCGCCCATTGGAAAGTTATGGTTGATTTAAGTGAAACAGTTCTGTAGTGTTTCTTGGTTAATAATGGTTTTCCGACTAAACCCTGTTGATGGTGATAGTGATTTTCAAATTGAACAATTTTTAAGAACCTATTTAAACATATATTCATTCTTGATAGTTTTTATATATAAACTTAAATATTTCTATTTTTATATTATTGGTTAATTTAAAAATTTTATATAGAGACCGGTTTTCTATATCAATCAATATGCACGTAATTTGATGATACTTTTCCTATACGTAGTGCATACTTGTTAAAAGTATCAATTCTGTAATCTCTGTACTCGATTCTTAACTATTAGGTTCAATGTTCAAACACTTCACTAACTTTTTTAGTTCTAAATTTATTTGTTTCATATTCCTGCATGCAAGCACGTTAAGAATTTAGCTATGAAGTTTATTTTTGAAGAACATCTTTCAATCTGTACATTGTTACACAAATATGAAGTTTTATCAGTGTTTAAAAATAGAAGCTTTATCAGAAGGGGACTTAGTAATTTTCTCTGAAAATGTTCTCAAGTTGTATGCTATTCAAAAATTGGATGTAAAATTCGTTTTTTTTTATTGTAAATAAGCGATTACGTTATTTCTTTTTTGTCTATATTAAAAATGTATGTTACTGGTGAAACAACCATTCGAAATTTCAGAGTCGATAAAATCAAAGAGAGTTAAACGAAATAATATGAGAAAGCAGTGCTATCTAATGAAGACAAGTTCACGCCTGAGTGAAGACGGAATTCTATGACATTTTATCTCTATTTACTGCCCACTCATTATATCATAAATTACCAATTATTTATATTTTCAAGAGTGAAAAATAAAGTTTTTGAAAGACTTCGAGAAATGTCTATTAAAAAACAATCTAAACTCCAAGAGAATTAGGTTTAATTGAATAGTTCTATTCAGTTGGATGGTCAAGGGAAAATATACTTCCACTTCTTGTCTGACTCTTGAAAAAGCAGGCTGAAATTTACTGTTGTATACATGTTTAAATTTAATGCTTTCCATGTTAATGGTGAGTAGTAATGAAAAGCATTTTCGTAGCATTCAGTAAATAGGTCTGTTACTTATTCTCTTTCAATGTAAGAACCCCTATAAAAAATGATCCAAACTACGTACTATTAGTTGTGCACTCTGTAGACACTATATTCTTATCAATGAAATAGCTACGGTTGTTTTCAGTAGACGTTTTCTTTGAAATACTTATCCCTTCAACTGATTGTGTTCTCCAAATAACCTTTTTGGATAAAGTTAAATGTGAAAAAGATTCGTCATTTTCTCGATAGGGATTCATCTAGAATATTCATATTTTTGAGATCCATCAATGTGTATGGTCAAAAGCATGCTGAGAAGCGAAATGGACGATTTTGATTCCTTCGCCAGCATTAATTTCCGTATCTTAGTTTGTCACAATTATGAATAATTTTTGAACTGAGATCAATTTTCGATACATTGTAACTGACTGATATGGCTTCAACAGTAACCTCATTGTATTTCCGTCCTTTTGTGTATTTCGTCGATAAAATAAAGTTGCATATGAGAAGTATGTTTCAGTAGGAGTTCCTTTAGGTTGACATTTGTATATTATCCGTTCATATTATGCGAGTCTGAAATGAACAGTCATATCATGTAGTTGCATGCCTGTGTAGTAAATGTATTTTTGTTTTATAACATAATACTGCAATTATAACCAGAGATATATAGTGGCCAGCAGTAGAATCCAGGACGGCTATCTAGACTCAGCAGCTAAATTGATAACACGATGTCGTTTGAAGCATAAGGTACTGGGTTCTAGTACAGGAGTGAAGGTCAACTCTGGGTTGCAGGTACACCCAGCTGACGAGTGGCAAACAAAATGAAACGCACGTCTTTGATTCCACTGTTAGCCACCATCCATCTCTCATAATGCTTGTGACTTGAGACAATATCGAGGCAGTCCGCACAGGATGCACATATGCTAATAAGAGACTGGTCAATTGCAGTCCTAAACATCAATAAGAAGATTTAAAGAACTAATACAAAAACGAACTAATGCTGAAATTTCTTGTATATTTCACATACTACTGTATTCTACAAACCAAAATACATCTCAGTAATTTGGTCAGGTTTCTCATAACTGGTATTGTAACCAAGTAAATAAATAATTAATTTAAACTAAACTGTATTTCTCGGTTGACAGTATGTAGTTCACTTGTAATTGTGTTTTCTTCTATATATTTCTATAGCCTGAATCAAATACTAGTCTAGGAAACGTTGAATTGTCCAACCTTGAAAATGAAGAATCTAAATCACATAGTCGAATGTCTTCTTTAGACTTTCAAGTATGTTGTTATTACTTTTTCATTGTTAGTAAACTTGCCTTTTGACTATTCTTATCTTCATCAATCAATCAATTTATAATAGCAATTTGATCTTTACAGTTATTGACATTAGACAATTTATTAGAAAAATGGAATATCATGTGGTTTTTGTTTTGATTCTATTAAAATATCTTTTATCGGATTTACGAAACATTTCAAAGTTATTTAAAATTTTCAATTGAAACGTTTTTCTAGTCATCTACAACGTAGAACCAAGCACATTTATTCATCGGTCCAAGTTGCCATACCTCACTAACACAACAAGATAAACACCAAATTCATAGAAGCAGTTACTTCAGTGATAGTAATTTATTTAAAAAAAGGTTGTATATAAAAATATGATACTGGGAGAAAGCATTGGTTCTTAGAAAGTTGTAAAGTGATTTTAATCTCACGGTTTAAAAGAAGATAAAGAGTGTGTGATGATCAATTTTACTTGCGTTGTTTATAAACAGAAGTGATAATTATAATCATATTGTTTGATTAACTTATTCAACGATCTTTTATTTTGAATTGTGTAAGTGCTGCGTTTACACAAAATAATTGTAATATACATAGTTAATATTTGTTGACCTTAATGTTTGTGTGTATTATAAAAATGGAATACTCTCTACAAACCAGGCAAAGCGTAGTTAAAGTTTTGAAAATTCTTTTAACAGTTCTTTCTATTTGTTTCGTTTAAATGGCGAATTATGAATTTCTTCTGGTTTCGTGAATTCCAGCTATCAAAAGCCATAAATAATAATTAATGTTGTTATCGTATAAAATTCAAAATTGATGATAGCCACATTGTTATATTTTTGTTTTTATGGAACTTCCTGCCTAATGTTAATATTGTTTGTATAGTAGTTGCATCTTTTATAAGCAAGATTTTACAAAGATATATACTGTACATTTGTCCACGAAGTACTAGAATGTACAGTCACGCGGTTTATCCATTCAACCTCAATTTAGCTTCTGGATATCATTTTCAAAAGTTAATGGTGTAGATGTTTAATGAAAATATGTTTCCAGTCAAATTTAAGATATTCTAAAGAAACAGTATTATTTTTTAAACTTAAGCTGTAAAATAGTAATTTATTGTATTCGTGATGCACTTGGAAATCTTTTTTATCTCAATACATGTCTTATGACTTACAGATTTCATCGTACATTTGTTTTTTAAACATTTTATAATGTTTGTCATATAACGTAAAACAAGCGAAAATAATCTGGATTGTTTTTCTGCAAACTGTTAACTTAGAGGTTGAGGCACTCGATTTTCAACTACTAAGTTTTAGGTTGAAATCTCAGATTACCTGTCTTTTGTATAAACATCCAGTTAGTATTTTTAGCTCTCAGATAATCAGTATGATGCATATCTAAATATATTAACGTATGTTGAATGATTTAGTTGAACTGTTTACATTCAACGTCTTTGCAATTCCCTTGGTTAATTTTCTGTTTTAATGTTGTTAGTTAACCGATAACCACGTTATTTAATTTTAGGGTTTGTTTTAATTACTTGTTGACCTAAATCTGCCAGGCTCTGTTCGATATTGTATTGATATTTTTAATGTTAATATGGATATTGAAATTCATGATTATTTATTTATTGTTTATAGAATGGAAAGTAGTGACATACACTAAAATTGTAAATCACCAAAATGCATTGAATTTTCATATTATAGTCTTTATGAGGACAGCCTATTAACATGTGTTGATCATTAACAGTAGTATTTAACTCTAATCGTATGTTCATGTATATGCGAATGTTGAAATGATAACTTCTAGGTAGATCATAAAAACTGACATTGTTTTCAAAAAATCTTGGCTAAACAGTTTATTATTATTTTTATTTTATCTGATTTTTACTTGAAATACATTTGAAATTACTATGCTTAAATTTATATTTAATTTGAGGAAATAATTTCTTATGTAGTTAAAAGTCAGAATGCATGAAGAAGAAACCAGTTACTATCATGTTCTATGTTATGTAGGGTGAAGATTTCGTTATGAATTAGAATGATTCGAAAAACTATTGAATATCAACATACTGCTGTTTTGTCCTACCTTAGATATCTTCAGCTGTGTACACGCACAACTATCTAGTCTGAATATACCTTACTTACCATAATATTTGAAGATCTTGGGGTTTATTTCAGTTTGGTTCGAGAGTGCTCACTACTACATGGTTTTACGTGATATTTCACACGATATTACTTCGCCACCAAATGCCCTGGTATGGCCGAGAGCGGGGTGGGTTCGCCCTCCCTCTCGAAATACTCTCACACGGCCACGCGTATACAGCCTCTGCCAAGGAAGTCCTACTCATCTTCTTCTCGTAGCATTACTGTTGTTTACGAAAATGAGAGGACGAAAAGCGAATGTCCGGCGCTTTAACCGGATTCCAAATCAATGGTGCACATGGGCTCCAGTATCCTGCGGGAACAAATGGCATATGAACCTATTTTCGGTCACCGGCTACCATGAGACTGCATCTCCTCACGATGCTCCACTGCCTTGTGGGTTAGACCATTAGGTCAAAGGCTCGGGGTGTGGCCCCCTAAGAAAACCACCTGCTTCGGTTTGGGCACCCGGGCAGTATCACAGCCCATACACAATTAATGAACTGAACTGTCTATGATCATGGAAACTAATTCTCTTGCTTCGACGAACAATCAAATGATTCAAATATTATTATTGCTATTATTATTATTACTATTACTATTATTATTGTTTACTACGTCATTATTCACCCTCTTTTATTCCTACTCTATCTATAATTATTTTTTTCGACTTATACAGCAGCTCGTCTATGGTGGAAATCGAGCCTATCTAAACGTTCCCGAGTCACTGTCCGGTTGAAAATTGTGGCATCTCACCATTCCTCTTCAACTTTGCCATGGACGACATTCTGGAAACAGCTCTGATGAATGTATGTAATGGTGGTGTGGATCTGTTACCTGGAGAAAGACTTCTCGACCTTGAGTATGCGGATGATATTGTCTTACTGTGCGATAATGCCCAAGGCATGCAATCCGCACTTAATTAGTTGGCAATCGGTGTCCGTAGGTATGGTATGTGCTTTGCACCTTCGAAGTGCAAAGTACTTCTACAAGACTGGCAGGATCCTAATCCTGTACTCACCCTGGATGGTGAGCAGATAGAAGTAGTCGAGAAGTTCGTGTATCTAGGTAGCTGCATAAGTGCTGGTGGTGGCGTGAGTGATGAGATCAATGCACGTATAGTGAAAGCCAGAGCGGCTTATGCCAATCTGGGCCACCTTTGGCGCCGTCGTGATGTCAGTCTGGCTGTAAAAGGTCGGATCTACAACGCGCCGGTGAGAGCAGTTCTGCTCTACGCTTGTGAAACCTGGCCTCTCCGAGTTGAGGATGTTAGATGACTCTCTGTGTTTGATCATCATTGTCTCCGAAAAATTGCTGACATCCAGTGGCAACACCATGTCAGTAATGCAGAGGTTCGGCATCGTGTATTCGGGCGCAGAGACGATAATCCAATCGGTGTCACCATCTTGAAACACCGACTTCGGTGACTTGGACATGTTCTACGAATGTCGTCCCAGAGAATTCCACGTCGTGCATTATTTGCCGACCCTGGGACTTGTTGGAAAAAGCGGAGAGGTGATCAGTGTATGACATGGTGTCGTGGTATGAAAGAAAGCTGCAAAAGACTGGCTTGTGTTGGTCCTTCACGACTCCCTGGCTGGGGTCCGAGAGATGGTGCGACACAGTGGCTAGAGACGTTATCAGATATAGCTCAGAATAGAAGCCAGTGGCGATCCTGCAGTAACCTTCTTTTACTTTCTTCATAAAAAGTGGTTGTTTCTTCCTTAACTGAAAGATTTCTTCTGATTGTACCTTTCCGTTCCCCCATTATGACTATGATTATTAATACACTCCCTTACACCAATCTCTTCATTATTGTTTACTATTATTATTATCATCATCATTTTTTCATGTTCCTCACTTTTTTTTTCTTCTTAAGTTCTCATTGTTTTGTGTGGCGCTTATATATTTGGCGCACTCCTGTACCAATATATATGTGTTCAAATAAATAAATAATAAATAAATAAACGAAAAGATATCTACAAGATATTCAATAGTTCTGTATAAATTTCCCAGTTTACCCATACCATTATCATTATCTCAACGTAATTGCTGCATATTTCTAACCTTAAAATTATTTTCAATAAATCATGATCATTAAGTATAATATTATTCACTTGAGTAGTGCCTGTAGATTTGTTTTGTATGTTCATATCTGCTTTAATGCTACATAGTTACGTTTTGTTTTATTTGCCTCGTCAGGCCTGCTTGAGTTTCTGGGCTACCTGTTCCTGCCATCTAGATATTTCAACAAGTTATCTATTTTTGTTTGTTTTAATATATCATTATGTTTATTATTCGCACAACCTATTCTGCTGCGTTTCTGAAAAGTGTACAACCTTTCGTTGTCAAAGTTACAAACAACTCAATAAGAGACAATGTGGTTGCTGGCAATATACAACCAAACGAATGCATATTATTCAGATGTTCATTTAGTGAACTGCTAACATCTAACTGGCGATCACTCGATATTTATCGCCAGGACCGACGAAGAAGAAAGAAACGGAAACTTGTTGAAATACTTTACGCTGAGAATTCTATATTGTACCAAAAATATAATATTGAATAAAGCTGATAATAATAATAATAATAATAAAAGCATTAACGTTTACACAGTTATATCTTGGTTCTCCGTTATATAAAATGGAGTAATATCATGTATTGATATTATATGATGTTTTTTCATAACATTTCAATAAATTGTTTAGAATGCATCAATTCATTAATAATTGCATAAATGTAAACATATGTATTAGGGAATTATTTTCTTTTTCAACCTTGTTAATACTATTTACACGTTAATTGTACAATTTATTTTGTTTATGCGTTTTCATCCTAATTTTCTTCAATCATTCAATACATATTTGAAATGAATTAAAAAGGTACAAAATTTTTTCATGTTGGGTTCACCAATTGGTTTAATTTTGGCTTATCGTTATCAACAAAATCAATTAACATCGTCTATTGTATCATCTAGTAAAACAAATCAGCTAATTACTAATTCATCTTATAATATGGTTTATCATTTATCAAAAGGTAGGTTATTTCATTTAGAAATTCATAAATAACTTTAAAAATTTTTTTTATTATTTACAAATTGACCGTTTGCTGTTGTTAATTCATATGTCTTTTCTCTTAAAAAAAAAGTTCATAAAGTATCCTATTTCTATGTGACTTTAAAAATTGATTATCATGTGAAGCGGAAAAAAAATCAATAATCAAAAACAAATGATAAAAACACATATGTAATGAACAAAATCTTAGATACAAAATTATAGAGTGATTTCATAAAAAAACTATACATCAAATATATTTATATATTTGCACATCTCCAGTTGTACTGTACGGGCTTCATGATTCTTTCAATCTTGTTGTAATTACAATTGCTCTTTATTTCTCTTCTTGTTCTTTTCAACTGAATCTTCTACTCACAGGCATTCTACATCTGATTAGTGCCACATACTACGTATATCGATCAACATAAGTAGCAAACACCTGATGTATACATTGCTAAATTGTCTAAATTTAATTAATATACAAATTTGTGTGTAGATTTACAAAATTGTTTTTTATGCTGTTCAGTTTCTTGTTAAGTTTTTACATGATTTTTTGTCAAATTTCAATGTTCGGTTAAACAACTTTGATCATCAACTGAGCTGATCAAATTTAAAAGAATAACTATTAAATTAAATAACATGATGTTCTAGGCATTATTTGCATGATCGACTATACATCTATGGAGTGAGTATCAGGTTGTGAAGTTTGTTGAATTTCATTTAACTCGTGAACCGATCATTGTTAGATCACCATTAAAAACGTAGAAGAACTGATAAGCCGTTTCGTTCTAGTATCGAATTCTTTCGCGATGTGCGTCCACAATCCTGCACCTGGGACTCAAACCCAGTACCTTCTGTCTTGCGCGAACGTCTCACTTGCAGACCATTGAGCCGACACCCAACAGTGTTGAAATCTGCTCAGTTATTTTCTTTTGAACTATGTAAGTGATTGAATAAAATCCCCTCAAATCAACTGTGTAAGCTAGGTAGAATAAAAACTATATTGGAGCTTCTCAGTAAGGTTTCATCTAGTTTTACCTTCCTCGAATAGAGTTTAACTTTAACATTGATACTCTCTTTTGTCTATGTAGAGAAGATCAGTTTACAGAGGTAAATTACAACTCTTGTAGGTTTTATAACAACTTTCTCTTATCCAAATCAACCAGTATATCTTTCTGATGTTTGCAACTGCCTAGGTTCCAATGAAGCTAGAAGAATATTGGTTGTAGTTTTGTGTAATATTTTTGATGATCTATTTCTTATTCAGTATTTGATTCCGCTTTTAAAGTTGGACTATAGATTCAAACATGGTTATGCTTGTCGCATTTAAACACGAGATTGAAATTATTGAGCTTGGAAATCCAGTGAATTGACTTCACTTGGATACCTGTTTTTATAATCTTATATTGATTATCCCATTCTGATACGAATTTTTGAGATGGCTTCAATGTCGGTCACTACCTCTTGATCCTCGTAGAAAAGGTTTTTGTCGAAATTTGTCTGACATGATTTCGTTTTTGACTTTATAACCATAATTTTTTAGGGGATACTAAGTTACTTGCTGAAGAATAACGTCAATTAAGGACTGGTAGTTATTTCACTTTTCTATTACTTTGCGGTTTTCTGTTTCAGTCAGTATAATACATCATTATTTGAATCATGCGAGCCATTGCACAGTAGCAAGACCAAACACTAAGTCCATTATTTTTGCATGGAGTTATAACACCAAACGATTTTCTATCCAATGCACTATACATAGAACAAACGTAGCTAATAAATTTTGCAGTTGAAATTAATAATCAATTCGTATTTGCAACAATACACTTCTCGACGATGACTATATGATAAAGCTAATTATGTCTTTCTTATTTTCTTTTTCACAATCATTGGATAGAAATTAAGTTGTCCGTAGGTCAAGCTTATAATCTTTTTCATTTAACTGATCCATGTGGTTTTCGCATTGAACCATTGTTGGATAATCGTTTCAGCTGTATATCCCCAATATTCATTCCCCAATATGTTCGTTATCCACTTGGAGATGGACAGTCAACAAATCTAATTGAAACTCTTATACAGCAGGCTGAATTATTTTCTGCAAATGTTTCAGAAAAATCATACAATTTATCCGATAGTGATAATTCTACGATTAATGAAAATAATGATAGTACTGTAAATGTAAAACGACAATTAACAACTCAACAGTTAAATTGGGAAAAAAAGTCTATTGTTGCACTTGAAGCATTGAAAAAAGGTTTGTTTTCTCACGTAAAACATCTGAAATTTTTTGTTCATATATGTAACGTACTGAATATACTTTGTAGTAGTACTAATATTGTTGCAAAATTATTTTTTTGGATAAAATATCTCATTGGGTTTTTTTGCAAGATTAGTAACTTGCTTTCTTACTTGCTGTAGTTAAACTGGATATTTTGAAGCTGAGAGCGCTATAACTATCTAGACGTCACAATACTGAACGTAATCAAAAAAACACTGTAACAGTGATAATGTTATTGTCCAAAATACCAAAATCCAACTTGATGCAACACAAAATGTTAAAATATGCAATCACTAGTTTACTAATGAAGATTCATAGTACTTTTTGTATTACTCGCCACCTCGCAGCACGATAGTCTTGATCAATCATCAAAAATTTGCTGCCCAACCAACATTATTTCAACGGTGCCAAATGACATAACATTCTTCAACAAAATGAGCTACCAAGATCTTTCTCAATACATTAGCACGTGTAATGTTGTATAAGACAGTTTGCATCTTGATTATGGGTAGTACTGTAGAAATCTTACCGTATGTTTGGGTATTCTGGCTATGTCTTCTTGATGATCATGATTAACACAAATAATGCCATAAAAATCATTTTTAATATCCTCGGATTTACGGTTGATTTCAGGAGAATATACACTTTTAAAGCCACAGCTATGGCAACTGGCAAATCACAGTTATGAGCTCTGAATTCTTTGACAATTGATACACTACCTTGATCTTTATGTCAATTCGCAAGAGGGTTAATGACATTTTGCTAAGAAGCCTTGATAATGCTATATATGAGTAGATTGATTTATAGATGTTCATTTGCATACCTAGGAAAGCATAAAAATTGTCCATTCTTAGTTGTAGACGATTGTTCAAATGGTGTGAAGCATTGGTTGATAGCTGCACTAGTTATTCATAATACTGACATGAATTCCTTTATCTTATGTGCAGTCATAACACGAAATAAATTACTATCAAATGCACTATAGTTTTCTAAAACTTTGTGTTAGATAATTTCAACTAGTCGACAAATAGATTTTCTGAAGTAGTTCAGCATACAGTAGGTCATGATAGTCCAGCTCTCCATAGTAAGACATCTAGTAATAGGTTAGGGAATTGGGAACAAAGTTAACCGAGTATGAAATGGACAAAACAAGTGTGTATGATCTGAGTATTTTAAATCTTTTGAATATGGAGATCAGGATGTTGATAGGATGCAATATCCCATAGTCACAGTCGTAAAGCAAACATTCGGCGATTAGACAGGTGTATGCTATATTAGGTGATCGTTGAACCAGAGCTTATCATCATTGCTCTTGAAATCAAACAGGACAACTAGTTTACTCATTGTAATCTGTTAAGTTAGACCGACGTATGTCGTAATCAGATGTTCAGAAAGTATATAATTAGTTTTCGATAAATTTGTAAGTATTTTACATCAGCAGTTTTAATTTTAAATTATCATTATAAAGATCAATCTTCCTAATTATTTATGAATTTCAAATAAATATTCGACTACCTTTCTATTTCGAATTTTGCAAACTGTTAGTCACTAATAAATAACATTAAGCATGGTATTAATGTTCGATGGTCTAAGATACCATATTTGAAACCATTACATAGAGAGAATATCAGCAAGACGAAAAATCAGATTGTTAATATGACGTAGTAAAAAAACTAGGATCAAATTTGAGATGGTAAAGTCAGATAGATACAGTTAATGACATTCAATAATAATGCCTATTTTTAGTGTACAGTTAATAATTGTTCTAACATTTAAAGTAGGTCAGTGTTTGATAAAATAACCAAAAACATATGTATTACTGAAGGATAAAATAATCAATAATTAATTACCATTTTATAATTAAAAAAGCTGTATGATGAACTAATGATTGTTGAAATTTATTCAGGTTAAAACCATTCATTGTTCTTTCCTTGCCTAAGGGTAATACATGATTATTGCAATGTTTTTTTAAAGAAAATAAAAACGTTATGGTTACTTGTTCAAATTCCTGTGAGTTTGATGAGTTCAAATTTCATTTTAAAACGTCAGTAACATACAATCAGTGATGCTAAATTTTCTAATTTTGTACGGTTTTTGATCGCTATAGGCTAAATGCTATCAAAATGAGACATAAATGGACCTTGTATGATACTTATGCAACGTATCGGATGTGAAAGAGAAAGGTCATCTGTTAAGTACTCATGCAATACTTTTTCAAGTGTAAACAATAAATTCGAGTTGACTAATATAGATTAATCATACACAAAGTAATTTCATAACGATGACTTGTATTTCGGCAAAGATTTTGCTAAACACATCTCCGCTATCTAAAAAGCATTTCAGAAACAGTGTTTTTTTCATTGATTTGTCTCCTAGTGCCTTTACATTGAAAATAGAATTTTTACTTTGTATATTATCAAACTGGGCTACAATTAAATTACTCGTTTAAGTTGTTAGTTATAGGCTTTTTCATTATTTACACTTAAAATACTTCTATATATCTGGTTTCCACATTAGTTTGGCATATGATTCGCTCATTAGTTTATCGCCCCATGCCTATCGAAATCGCTTTTGTTTAGGGTTTCAGTTATGAGTATCGCTCTTTGTACTGCAATATGAAACGAAACTTCGTATGAGACAGATTAGTAATATGATGATAATACTTTCACTCATTTGTAAAATTAAATTACACAATGCTGAAGTAAGCGGAGTTAAAATGTCTTAGTTTACTACTTATTCGTCTTAAACAAGTATCTTTCTTTTATCCGTAACTACTTTTTAAGCACTTGCTTTCTTTTTTTCTAGTTCAACAGTCATGGTGGGGACCCAAAAGAGTTGATTACAATGTTCATTGTCCAGAAGCAATGCAAAATATTTTAGCTCGTGCACGTCCTTCAATTTTGCATGCAAGCTACTGGGAATCAAAAGATGTAGCATCTTTTATTATACGACAGGTTAGTGTGTTCAATTGATACTTAGAACTTAAAGTATGATCTCAAACGATAACCTTTTTGTACATCAATTGATGTCAAACAGTGGATTGTTAAATTGAATTGAATTTACGTTTAATCCGTATTTATCATTCTTCAATATTAAACTACAGTACAATTTAGATAAGATTACTCACATGTTTGAAGCACGCGAAATAGCTAAATATTTTAAGATCGATCATTATACTACCGTTTTGTGGTTGTGTTATGTCCTCTGAACTAGGCAATTTAATTTCAAGTTTCATTATTGATCTGGACAACAACATTCACACTTACTTCACATAGAAGTGAGTTGTTTAGTCACTCGACGATGCATTTGGTTATCAATATTCTTTTTTTACATTTTTGTTTCGAACTTTCATCTCACCAATGAAAAATTTAATAATACTATCCTAATATTACTGTGTTTTGTGCTTGTATGTTTTGTTGTTTAGATGTCATTTAGACATTTAAAAAAATTATTTTCATTTTCAGCACTGTCATTACTGAGCTTACTTATTAAATTTCGATTCCTTCTTACAGGTATTATATACTTAGACTATCATTGGTTAATTATAATGTTGCTGTTCCGACGTCTCTGTTTTTGTTGTTTCTTCTCTAGTTGTGGATAATTAGAATTACTCTTTAAGGGTAGTTGAATCACTTCTCCATATAGTATGCATACTTCATTGGGATATCCCAGTTATCCTACTCAGCCTACTTCTGCCTCACATGACTCTAATCCTTGTGATAAGTGTTCTCTCAAAATAACCTATGAACAACATATTATAAAACGTTTTATCCTTAAATATCTATGCTTTACATGTTGTTTTTTGTATCAACCTCACCATGCCTTTAAATTGACATCAATTTTGTAGCTATTTCTAGAATATAATTTGAAGATGTGGGTCATTTTTCCTAGTGATAAATCCATTATGTTCTCTGGAGCTAAATCCCAGGTCCGAAGCCCAAACCAGCTACTTCATTTCGTTCAGCCGGGTCGTATCCGTAGCTCATGTTTAACTACCTTGTAAATGAACTCATTTTATTATTACATTACATTACGAAATCGGTTATACGACTATTCTCTGAAATGTATCTATGATTTTCCGATAAATAATCTTATCAATTAAAATTTCTTTTCTAATATTTGTTGTGTGTATGTATTTCCAGATCCTAGATACACTGGGACTAAGTGTTCTAGAAACATCATACTCGGCAGATTTGTCTGATGAAATAGCTGTTACGGAACTGGCCAAATTATCATTGAATCCAAATCAGATAAAATCACAAACCTATGAGGTTATGGATGATTCCAGTATACAAATTTCACAGCAATCAGAAAAAAGTAGTAGTAGTCAATCGAGATTCTCCAACCTCAGTCATACTTTGTCATTTGGACCTCGTAATTTCTTGAAACGAACATCGTCTGAACGATTAAAGGTAAAATAATAACAAAAGTTTTCAGTTTTGGTATTCAGTGGATTTTTTTAAAACTGACTGTTATAGTCGGTCTATTCGATAAACTAAGTCGTTTCACCTTAAATTTCAACTGAATCTTTGTATTTCCAGTTCAGACTGACTTAAACTTTCGCTTGCTAATTTCAGATAAAATAAGCCAATATATTTAACTACTTTACTTCACACTTTAAAATAAAAAAAAGTCGTCTGAATGTATTTTACAAGTAGAAGTTTAGTATTAAGATGAATTATTCAGAAATAATTTCCTTTTCAGAGGAAGAACACGTGAATTTCACATTTTTACTTACTACACTTCATATTGTTTTTATTATCAAATATCCTGTAGTTTTGTTTTATCAGATGACTATTAGCAGTAACGTTTTATTTTTCTAAGCGCACATTACTACATCATATCATTTCAATTTCGGGCTTTGGTTCATGTATGGCAAGTTATCCATCATTAGTCACGTTTTGCTTAACTAATTATTTGCGAAATCATTCTATTTTTTGTTAACCTACAATACATGGATATGTAATATTCAGAATATTGTATTTTTTCTAATGGAAATGTACTTCAAGCTGAAAATAGTGACAAAACTTTCAGTGATAACATAAGTTGTAGTCACAACTGATTCTCTGAGTACAAATGAACTTATAACTGATTCTTATTATTTATTATTTCTGTTTGTTCAATATTTCTGCTTTTTATGTTTTGAAAAAATCTCTATCCATACAAAACATAACTACCAGACTTTTTCTCCATTCACACTCTAATGATAAGTATCTCTTTTTTTCCATTGACTCGAGTTCTACTCTACTTATTTTGGTTTGGGAATGCGGGTTGTATTACTATCCCTTATACTTAAAGTGTGATTCAAAGCTGAATAAACCAACTTGTATGTGCAAAGGAGCTACATCTAATCGAGTTTTTAAAATTAATTGCTCTCTCATTTTACTTAATAACTACATAATATTATTTTCATGAGAATCGTTTCTTATTTCATTTTAATCACCAATTGTTCTTTTTTGTCTATGTTGATCTTAGTCTGCTTGTATTCCATATCATGTGGTAAGCGGTTCATATAGTTTTATGGGGAGGGTGACGTGGAAGTTTTGTCGTTGAAGTGTGTTATTACTTAACTTTCTCTATGTTCCCATTCTATCTTTTGCCATGTTATTAAAAATTACTGTTGTACACATTTCACCATTGCTATAATAGTTGGTTTCAGTTATTTATTGTCGTTTAAGTTTCGTCAAATGTATATATTGCACAATATCATTTGCTTTTTATCTAAGGATATTTTGTTTCGTTTGTTGTCATTGGGTGTCAGTTAAACTAACAAATCATAAAGTTGAATATTAATAAATTCCTAGGGTAATTAATGAAAATTTAGGTGATTACTTTGACTATTTATTTTTTATCTTTGCTTTAGACTTACATTCTGAATTATCAAATTTTATCTTAATTTTCGGCACAAGGGGTTTGTTGAGATTGCTGAATATTATTTTTAAAACGACATAGGTTAGATATGCGTTGAAAAACCACTAGAGAGTTATTTTGTCGTAGTTTAGCACTTATTGACAGTGAGGATCCACAATCCAACCGGGCGATCACACTCCTGACGTTCGATCTCGTGTCCAAATGTTTAACCTCTAAACCATTGGACTTGTATCCACTAGTGTACATGTTTGACTTTAATTCCAATAAGTAGTGATTCCCTTATAAAATGCATTCATTAATGAATTATGTTAGCAAAGATTTTGTTTTACGTACTGAAATCTAGACAGTTAAATATTTTTAAAATTTTTTATAACTTGCATGCATTTGGTATGATCTGCTGAGTGAATCTCGATATTTTGAAATTGCTTAATTTATAGTGTCTTCAGTTGCTACAATTAAATAGGTTTTATACATATATTTATCATTTGCTTTTCTTGTCTTCGACACAACTTATCGATGATTTTTTAAAGGATAATCTTGAAATAAATATAACTTACTGTTCGCATGTCATCCTATGCTGAAAATGATGGATAATTCATCTTTTACCATGTAATGTAATTGTTGTAAAGTGTAAACTCAATTAACTGCATTTAAAATTTCGGATATGAATTTCCTTGTACAACTTAACTCATAACTCTTGTATCATTTATTGTTGATTCGAAAAATAAACATGATTAGTAAAACAAAGAAAGTGAACCAAACTTGAACTTATTGACTAATTGACCATAGCTTATCTAGTTTGGAGATAAGGAAATAAAATGACAAAAGAAGTTAAGAACAACCATCAATAAGGTTGAAGATCGAACACTATTTTACTATCAAGATTAAAATGAAAATTCAGTCCTTAAAATTCGATAACCTTTGCTAATTTGTGTTATTTTAATTTGTGCTTACTGTCTTGTGTTATGTTAGCTAATTATGATAGAACTTTCAGAGACACCTCTTTGGTATTCCTAAATATCGAGTTCCGATATAATGTTCAGTGGAAGAAATGTGAAGTTTATCTTTTCATCTTCATAATTTTATTGTAACTTCTTAAATAAAGTTTGCTTATAACATGAAGAGATGAAAATAATTGAATCAACTTCAAGAATAATCAAAACCGTTTGTAAAAAAACTAAAAAGAAATTTTATCAAAACCTACAGAATAATTTGTTTAATTTTTTTAAATATCAAGCTGAAAAAAATTATCTTTTATCTGCTATCTTCATATTCCACATACTGTCAAAAGTTTGTCTCATTTCGAAATGTTATTAACGAATTATCTAATCAGATATTCATTTAACAATTTAAATGTTAGTCGGTTTATACTATCAATCAAGTTTATGCTTCATCATCTCTTCAGTTAAATATTTGGAAAATGGCTTATTAAAAGTACTCTACTGCTCGTATATTAGTCCAAATCCTTCTCTTCTGGATCAATTTGATCTCTTTATGATCCTTAGTTTTTAATTACTGTTTATATTATATATATATAGCCTTTCAATAAAGTAAACTTGCCAATTTAAACATTTAATACAGAATCAACTAAGCTAAAAAGATTTCTTTTCAGCTAGCTAAATCTATTGCTTAATTTGTGGACATTATGGATCGTGGTTGGATAACTGTTAATCGCTGGTAACTAAGAGCTAAATACTAGCTCATCTGATTGATACTAAACATAAGGCTGATACGATGTACAAGAATTAAAGTGAATATAGTCCAACTTTCCGTGCCATTACCATTCTATTCGCCGTATATCTTACTACATTCAGTAAAAGTAATCACTACTTATATTATTGAACTGTGTCTTTGGGAATATACAGTTTTTATGCAATTATCGTGATTAATTTTTACCTGAGCTTTTTACTTTAACCAGAACAACTTAAGTCATTTCTATTTTAATTCTGTATCACTTGCATATTTTATTTTGTCGTGTTGAATTGAGATGTAAGACATTGAGGGAAGTCTACTGGTGATTACTTTATTGTACAAATGAATATTAGATTATACCACTGCTTAGCTTGTCTACTGATTATATGATCTTGTTTTCTGCTATGCACAAAATTGTTAAAACCATGGGATATTCCTAAAAATCTGTGAAATGAATTCATCCGGACACTTCTGTAACATTGAAAACAGTTTATATTAAAGCAATGAATTAATTGCATTTTGACGATAGCTGTCATTAGGATCTTGTCAAATCTTCCATTACATGTAAAAAGTACATTGTAATTATCATTACATAATTTTTTGTGTTTAAGTAATACAATATAAAACTTAAAAAATTGTCTTCAGCCATGGTAAACATGACTTTAATACTATCACTGGGTAATTTAAGCTGACTGAATTATTGACCTTTCTCTAAATCTGTCGTTCCGAATTGTCATGTTAGTAGAACTTTTCTTCCGAAGAAGAAAAAAGCTTGCAACATCTTTAATCCTAATTCCTCTAAGGCGTTAATATAGATAATCATAAAAAAACGCCTTTTTTCAATTTAGCCATCTACTTGATAGAGACGTATGACTTATTCATATTTATCCTCTTTTCAGAATACAATATCGACTGTTAACCAAGTATTATATATTGGTCTTTTTATATCTTTTAAAGTTCGAACTAAATTGAGAGAGTGTTGTGCATTTAATTTTGAATGATTTTAGTTTGTTGACTTGTAGGAAATACATATTATTCTTGTTATTCGTTTTCGGGATTATTTAATATTTTTCTCGTTCTTTTCCCTGTAATGAGAGACTTCACTACTGAGCTCGTTCATACGATGATTGTATTCCGGTTTTTAAATGAATTAACATTCGTCCTAGTGTTATACTACTGATTCACTTTAATACTACGAAAATAAACAAGACCATTAGCAAGAACTGAATAGTTTGTATTACTATCGTTTTGCATCAATTACTAAGTTCTGTGAGAGACAGTCGAAATCCACTCATACAATCCAACTGTTAGGAATATCCTTGGTTTTAATATTAGATTAATTCTAATTGTATTTTCGGTCATATGTACACTTATTTTTAGATTGATTATGAAGAAGCGTGTAATTTTTGTCTCTTACTGCCTTATCTCTAATGTTTTCTGCAAATTGCTTTTTCAAGTTATTTATTAATCTTGGTGTATGTATCAGTGATTTTACTGTACATGGTGTTGTCGCTGATGATACATGTTGATATTTTTCCTGTGTAGTTTTCTTTCCTATATATAAAATAGCCCATGGTTTATATATTTGATTCCTTTTAAACCAATACTGTATCATCATATCATCTTGTTTGTTGTTCATTCGTGTATGAACCAATAATTTATGCTCACAATCCTCGCACTCTACTTATTTCCTAAACTCACCGTCCTAATTATTTACCTATTTATTATAAGCGCTATCGTTAAACGCGATTCTTCTCCAAATTGTTATTTTTTATTTCTGTTTTTCACTTAGAACTTTAAAGCAAATCATCGAGCAAATGATGTGATTACTACAACTGGATCTACACCACTTATCACAGGTCGATTTGCTTTTGGTGGATTGGATTTGATGAGTTTTTCTTCTGAAAAAGTAATTATAACAAATGCATATATATATATATATATATATATATATATCCTTATCTACCATTTAAACTTACTATTATTATCCAGTATGTTTTACCAATACAAGCGTTAGTAGAGTCATCAATCAATCTCAATGTATCATTTCAACCCTTCCTTATGGGCGGGTAGATTTTATCGCTTCTAACTTGTTAGAAAAACTACTGGTAAATTTTTAATATTCACTTCTATACCAAACACACTTTTTGTAATTATATAAAGGTCGACTGAATGTAACAAATCATGATTCCTTCAATTTTAGAGCTCTCAATCCCCATGAATCAGTTGACATTGGCACTCGTTATTAAGGTGGTATTAACTAATTTTGTTCAGTAATCATAATTTTAATTCTTACGGATATCTAGTTAATCTTGTCAAATATACAACTTATCCCAGTTTATTTCAGTGTTTTAAAAATCGAGATCATTCTTAAATTGTGATCACAAGATTCCTAGCGGAATTTTAATACATTTTTACTGGATACATTTTCGGTTGGTTTTTAAAGTCTCCTTTTTGATTTTTATTACAAAAAGTATTGTTGTTGAAATTACACTGAATGCAGTCCTAGTTAATTTTAAATATTATTCCATTTTAATTTGCCGATTTACTAAGTCTAAATTTTTGGTATTCAATTACAAAACTGTAAGTTATCTCATAGCCAATAACTGAATAATCAGTTAATATGAAATAAAACTTTTAAGTAGGGATGATTCATTTTCACGAGTTTATTTACACTTCTATCCTCTACTTACATACTTTTATAAATTATTTGCAGATCCGAGTTGAAATCCAATCTATTAGTGGGTCGTGGTCATATGTATGCACAGAAGTGACTGATTCTTCTGGACGAATCCGATTCTCTTTGCCAGAACAAATTCATCTCCCGGATGGACTATATCCTATTAAAATGACCGCTGAATCTGATCCTGATCACCCAGTAATTATTACATTAGCTATAGTACCTCCTCAAACTGAGGTAGTGGTATTCAGTGTAGATGGAAGTTTTGCAGCAAGTCTGTCCCTGATGGGAAAAGTAAGTTTATTATGGAAAAATGGCATAGTTAAGTGTAGTGTCGCCGATAAGTGTATGATTACTTTTCACTGCTCATGTATATTTCCTGATGTTCTTTGTGAATTGTCATTCTTTTTTCAATAGTCCGATAACATATCTCTGTTACTACACTCTTCCCCATCAAGTTACACACGATGGTCATACCAATATAACTTATTGCAGTTGGAGCTGTCTCTTCTAATATATAGCGTAGGGCATGACACAAGGTTGATTAGCCTTTCATTGCAATTTACTCGAGGTATCTTGATACTAATACTAATAGCTATTCAATGCCATAACTTTTGTTGCAGTTGAGAATTTCGATTTCTAGTTGTGCAATACTACAACAAATATCTCTGGCATGAATTCAAATAGTAATTATTGAAAACATACTTCAAAAATGGCTTTTAACAGTCAGTATTTCCCGGCAGTCGTAAATCGCTAAAGTTTTTAACAAGTTCAACTTCTACAACCATTTTTCCATTCATCATCTATAAGATGCTTGATTTCCAAAATATTTGTCTCTCGCTTTTCCAAGAGATAGTTATTATGCCAAATATGCCAAGAACTGTAGCGTTTCGATTAACATTTTCCAGTATTTTAGATCCCGATAATTTATAACCGTTTTATAATAGGGCGTGAGCACGTACGATCAGGATTTCTAATTGCTCACTTCAATGAATTCTAAAACATTTAGTTTAATTGCAACATTTTCACAGTTGGAAAGTAGGCGGACCAAACACTTGAACTGGCCGCCTCATCGGATACCGAAACATAGAACACCACTATTTTTCATTTCATCTTTACTGTTGTTCTCATTCTTGGTGTACGTACTGATAACTATCGACCCATTCTTTGACGTTCTATACGATACTCACTACAGCCTACTTAAATATGACAATCATGAAAATCACTCTGTAATTTGAGGATATCTATGTCAATCCAAAGCTTTAACATTTTTGGAGGTAAAATTACCTACTACTTTCAGTGCAAAGATTTCAGAAAAGGCTTCTGAAGTATGGTTAAACGAAGTTGACTAACTAAAAATCGTAATTATTGCTTTATATACTATATATATATATATATATTATGTGCAAAAAGCAATGATTACGTGGTAGTTCTTTTGACGTTCTATTGTCATTGTGTGTAGCTACTTATCCAAGAATCGTACAGTCGCCGTTAAGTCTTATTGTAGAATACATCATTCCAATCAGTAATGTTCTACCTCAATTATTCGTTCCATATGCATCCACTATGGATTTCAATTTTACTTGTCCCTATTTCTTTTATAGTCCATTATCGTCGTGATTATTCTCATAGAATTATTACCCGATCTCATAAATCGCGTCCACACTTACAGTATTGTACGAAGCATAAAAATAGGTAACTTCACTGCAAATTCCTATCAACTTGTTTACATTTTTGCCACATGAAATAAAAAATTTAATTCAGCCGATAACAATACCGTGCAAATGTCATCGGAAGATCATTATCAAATTAAGCTGCTCATAAATGTCTGTGTGCAGCTTTTGTTTGGTAATTCTAACCATTAAACTTATATTTGATTGATCCGCATATAATTTTCTTTCTTATCCTATTCATATTTATTTTTTTATAGGATCCGAAAGTTCATCCTGGTGCTGTAGATGTTGCTCGTCACTGGCAGGGATTAGGATATTTATTAATCTATTTGTCTGCACGACCAGATATGCAAAGACGTCGGGTTACAAATTGGATGGCAAATCATAATTTTCCCTTTGGGATGACTTTCTTCCTAAATGGATTATATTCAGATCCACTGAAACAGAAGGCTCAAATGTTAAAAACAGTTGTTGAAAACGTATGCATTCTGTCATTCTGTTTCATTTTGTTGTTTGTATTTTTCCATACATTACGTAAAGACTGTATTAGTTCTTTGTCTCACTCTCTCATAGAAATCATCACTTTCGTAACTCATTTAGAAATAGACTTTATCATTCTTACGGAAATTTGCTCTTTATATGTATTTGTTTTAGTTTCGTTACTTATTGCCTTATGTTATATGATTTGTACGATAGCCAATAGTAGTGCATCTTTTAAGTTTAAAACGACAATTGAAGATTCTATTTTTAATCGCTGAAATATTCTCATTATATTAAAACACAATTGTATGAACGAAGAATATTCTTGTCAATAATTTCTCATCAGATTCTACAATTATAAATCCAAATTAATAATCCATAAAATTGGCCAGGTTTAAAGGAGAGTACATCATTTGGAAATTGTAATATATGAATTGAGAATTGTTGTTTGTTATATAAAATCAATTCAGATCGTTAATGTTGAGGTTGTTTAATATAAAGTGTTAACTTGAATCAGTTTATAAGCGAAATGAAATTGTGCGATAAATGATCAGAATAAATATGGTCAACATGGGGTAAGAGAGAGAGAGAGAATATTGTGATTACAAATCGGAAATTGCGTAATATGTAAAATAATTAGATTAAATATAGTAGATTCAGGGGTGGATATTGAATAAATTCCTCAAAAAGAGGTTATCAAGTGTAAAGACAATAACAGTAATAATAATAATAATAATAATAATAATAATAATAATAATAATAATAATAATAATAATAATAATAATAATAAAGTTTGGGACATAAAATGAACATTAATCAGATTATGTCACCGCATTATAAGATTGATTATGGATTATTACTCCTGTCGACTGGTGAACGGTAAGAAGAATTTTGTTTGCGTGTTTGCTTAATAGTTACCGTCTTCGATTGTTCAAATTCAATGTAATTTCTGTGAATTCATCTGAGCCCTATAGTTATACTTCAGATGGTCAAAAGTAGATACTCAGTTGTATATGGAGTTTTGCGAATTACTAAGACAATAGATATGTTGGTATTTTATCTTCAATGTGACAAAAAACAACCTTCCGACTAACTTGTTGTGTGGTCTACCTCTTCAAATATTACAGTATTTTTTTAAAATGCAGTCACATCCTTAAGTGAAAAAAGAAGCAGCTGCATTCCACCTATCTTTACGTTCTCCAGTAATTAGTTACTTATGATTTGAAATCATATTTTCGTCAGTTTTTAGTTTGAATCTTTTGTGTTGTGATCGACTGATAGGTTTTGTCTCTTAGCATATTCAAACACACGTTACGTTTTGCATCTGTCGTTAGGTTAACAGTGCATATATACTTGCCCCAGACCTTGTCTATTGGCCGAGTGTATTTAGCACTTAAAACAAGGCAGATCATGAAACTGTTATTCCGTTTAATACTCACATTTCGTTCCTTAACCAACAGATGCTAGTTCACATTATAAGCTTTCTCTATAGCTTTTTACTTTAAAGTAGCACAGTCTTGTAAAAAATCACATTAAATTTTAGTTAAGTACTAATTACCGATTTATTCTTCATTTTCTTTCTTGTAGAGAATATTTTTCATTTAAAGTTAACTGTCAATGTAATACAAGTTAATTATCATTTATGATCATTTTTTACTAATTAACCATTTTTGTTTTCATAATTTAAATGTTAGGCCAATTTGCGAGTTCATTGTGGTTATGGATCAGGTAAAGATATCAATTTATATCGTTCTCTTGGTTTATCAACTCAAAACATCTTTCTAGTTGGTAAAGTCTCTCGATCACAAGCATCAAATGGAACTGTAATTTAATTTATAATTTGTTTGTTTCATGTCATTTTATTTGTTTCTTACATTTTTGTTAACTGTTCAATTTATTCGTAATTATCAGTATAGGGGTTGTGGAGATGGATGGGTCACTCGTCTTGTGTACACTCGATTGCTTTTTAACATAATAGTGTATATAATTTCTTTTGAACCAACTAACTATTTTATTTGCCTCCTTAAGATTCGAGGATAAACATATATACCTTAAAAGTAATGGATATCTCCCTGTCGTTTATAATGAGGTCGAAATAACGATAAAGATGAGCAAAGCATATCCAGTTGTATTTAGTAATTCCACGTTCGAAACTCCATTCCAAGCACTATTTTGTGGTCTTGTTGTACCTCATCGTGGTACAGTTTTCTATGTAGGTAAGCTCATCAGCAACTGTGATCAATGCACTATATTGAGACCTTCAGCTTGCAAAAGGTTTTTGCATGCTGAATCAATTACAGGATTCACTTATATTGGCTTAAAAAGCCAAGAACTTTAAATATTACCTTCGATTACACCAAGTGTAACTTGACGAATTTTCGATATAGAGAGATTTGTTGTAAATGTTTGAAATCAGTGAATAAGTAAAGCTCAGCTATGCAAACAAGGGGTCTTTGTACACAAAAGGTTTGGATTTACCCTTAAGAAGCCTGTGGTAATCCTATTGAAGTATTTAGGTAAGTCAACACACAGGTGATCAAAATTACTTTCAGTAAATACTAGAATAAAAAGTCAAAGTCCGAACTCATCCAAGATTTAATCTTAAGGAATCTACCTTATAGACTGGTAGTAAGTTTTACAACGGATTAATATTTGGGAATTTCATTACATGGTTTTGAGATAACTAAAGTGATATATATAGGCTCATAATTTTGCATGATGTTCTTATCTTCAGTTTTGAAATGGCATTTTTTATATGTCTGTGGTAGATTCCTGTTTCCATAGACAATATAAAGTTTTGGTTGAAGTGACAAAATTTGGATGCAATTTCCTTTACTCTATGACTTCTTAAAATCTTAGGGGAATTTACAATTAAACGAATCGTCTAAAAATATTTATACTATTCAGTTTATCAGTATAGGGGTTGTGGAGATTATTAATTTTTTGATTGAGATCATGAACCGATTGATGTTAGACCATCATTGAAAACCTGGAAGCACTGGATGGCCGTTTCTTCCTAGTGTGGGACTTCTCAGTAGTGCGCATCCACGATCCATGTCGGGTAGAGATAGGTATCTACCTCATCACAATGGAAGGTGGTCGCGCAATTTCGTGGATCGGTTGAGGTTAGACATTAACACTATAGGATGCCGGCTCAGTGGTCCGGTAGGTTAAGCAGGTGTCATTACCAAGGTTTGATTTGATAATTTCGAATAAATTGAGCATTGGGTTGATTGTTATAAATAAAAATAATATATTTGTAATATCCCAATGAGTAGAAATTGGATTTTCTGACGTTTCGTGACTTAGTGTAAGTCACTTCCTCAGAGAATAAATAACCAAATTAAAATTAATCCAAGTTTAAATAGTACAACGGAACAATATTTTTATTTATAACGGTAGGTTAAGCGTTCGCACACGAGACTCAAGGCCCTGGGTTTGAATCCTGCGAGTGGGATCGTGGATGCGCACTGCTGAGGAGTCCCACAATAGGAAGAAACGACCATTCAGTGCTTCCAGGTTTTCAATGATGGTCTAACATCAATCGGTTCATGATCTCAGTCAAAAACTATTTAGTTTGTTAACTTCATCATTAGTCCTGATCGTTCAAAAAAATTTCTGTAAGTTTAGTAATGTTCACAACTAACAATTTCAATATCTCAGTTTACGTGTATTGGGGTCTAACAACTGAAGTCAATGTCTTTTGATGTCATAAAAATTGTCTGATTTATTGTACCACATGTGTATGTTTTTTCTCTATTATTTAAGCCATTATTACAAGGATACTCGTCGCACTTATCTTCGTTAATCAATGGTCATACCTTATCTCGACCTGCTGTCGGATCAATGAGTATAGCAGTGCGTTGTTGTCCTTTTGATTTACCGTCAGTTTATCCTTCGTCACCGTTATTAATGGAGTCTAATTTGCTTCGAAACAATTCTCTCAAATTTTCACCTCAATTAAGCCAACGATTATTATTTAATGATGAAATAGAACAAAATACATTGTAATATTCCTAATACTTATCACTTATTATTTTATTCAAGTGATTCATCCATGTAAGCTTCAATGTTATAAAAAGATGAAATTTCAAACTATTTTTGAGGGTTAAATTATTTGTGTTTGTATATTGATCAACTGGTTTTCCCCCTATTTTCATCCGTACTATATCATTTTCAATTTTATTGTTGAAAAAACCTTTTAGTTTAATAACTGGCAAAGGTTTCCCATTTGCTTGTCACTAAAAAGCATTAATTCTAAAACTTTATCTTGTAAATCCTCGTTTTTTCGATGTTTCATACATTGTATTTAATCGCTCGGTTTTACAAATAGCTTACACACTCGTCATTAACTCAAATTATAAATTACTCAAAGATCGTGATCATTTCTCATCGTCATCTTGTATTATTAATTAAGTGCAAATATATTACACAACTATGTTGCTCCTATCCAAATTTTTATTGATATACGATAGTGTATCCATGCTTACCACTTTATTAAGCGAATATAATCTTTCTGTTGTCCCATTGAAATGAATAAACATACTTTCCAATTAGTAAACTGTGATTTGGTTTTTTATCAACTACAAATTACACTTTTTTATGTTATTGACTAATTATTCCTACATTCTGTACAATTTATAATTGATGGTTAATTTGTTCACTTATAAAATTGACTCAGTTTCTGTTTTATAATATATTTTTCAATGTTGTCAAAGTTGTGTTGAATTGGTTTCAAAGTTATATGATGTTAAATATGTTTTGGTTGTAAAATTCTCCTACAGATTCTAATTTTCTGTGGATCTAAAAAGTATATTTCCTGCGCATTTGTTTCAACCGATAATAAACTTATACGATTCATTCATGAATTTCTGATTGCTTATATGTTTTTTTCATAATAGTTATAATCACTAAGCATATGGAATGTAGGCAAATGATTAATTGAAGCCATTCTTACTCATATCAACAGAATACTAAACACTCATGTATAATAATATATTCTAAAAATAATAATTACAGAATTCACGCCAGTTTACAGGCATGATCAATTTGATATAAATAATAACATTAGAGGTACAGGACAAACATGTGATAGAAGATAGTTTTAAGTATACTAGCTCAGTAATTGTTTAGGTAGTACATTTATGACATGTATTACGGCAGTCTAATGCATCAGCCGGGGACTTTTAATTTTTTTTAAGTGGACAGCCTGTTTTATGAACGGAGCAATTAAGGTCATTTCGTGTGCCAGAACGAATTAATGATAATTATCTACAACTAGAGAAAGTAAAATGAAAACCGAGAGCACAGAACAACAAAGCAATAATTACCAAACTATGCCACGAATGCGTTTCATGTCGAGCACTGTGAAAATTAGAGCGGAAAGTAATTATTATTGATGCCACACTGTTTATTGTGAAAGTTATTGCTACTGCAGGAAACTGCAGTCTTCTCAACGGTAAGCAGTTTAAATCGAGAAGTTCCTCCGCTTGCTCACATTAGTAATCACGATATCCTTATCAATGTAATTATATAAATTTTTTGAAGTTGCGAAGAATTTTATTGGTTGAGACAAACTGTAAACAAGAAGTTTTCATATATGCCAACAATTCTTGGACAAATATTTTGTACTTCAAATGGATTAATTTTGTTTTTTATGTCCACAAGATTGAATAAACAATCTAACAATAAACGGTCCAGTCGTTTACAACCGTCATTTGACAGTCATCGTAGTAAATAATCATGCATCAATGTCTGGTTGTTTAGCATTTAATTTATCTCTACGGATCGTCGTAAACATGTTTATTACTGTTGATCTGAATATACAGTTTGGTTCAACAATTAGGGATCCTGGCATTTCTAAGTCTTTATAATGTAACATCAAATAACTTGGGTCAACATACATTAAATACCTTAACTTCTTAGCTCTCGAAACGAACACTCATGATGTGGGTATACTTAATATTCCACAGTCTAGGACCACCTATCGATCTGTCAACAACTGAAACTCTCTTCCAGTATGACTATAGATCCTATCGACAAACTATGAAGCCCAAATCATCCTTCTTTACTAGTTCATAAAGACCATATTTTTTATATGAGGTAGGCGATTGTTGCTTTCAGGTCAAATATACTGTAAGTCAGGATATTTACTGGCCTCTAAACTGATTAATTGGTACACGAAAAGTATCAGTCGTGGATGTAACAAATTGATTAATCAAAACAACTATAATATACAATATCATAATCTTGTGAAACATATAGTACCGACTGGGAATAGTTTCCACCGCCGATGTATTACCGCTGTTTAAAGTTGATAAGTTGTGGTCGAAATTTATTTGACATCATATCTGCAACTCTTTCTGTCACTTAATATGATGTTTCATCAAAGAATAATGGTAACTGTCCATATAACAGAATTTGATTTGATGTGATATTATTGATGTTTGAAGTTATAATTGCAATATTCCTTAAGTGCTTTCATGATATGGCGGGATTGAATATATCATTTCGCGTAACCTCTTTCATAATTATTGGTCGCTATAAACATAAATGCTCTTGATCTCTTAGGTTTGGCCTTTTATGGATCTTAGTGATTGCTTCTGAGTGTTAAACTACGTTATTTGTGCTACTCGGATAGACAGTTTCTAGGATAGATTCGAATACCTTTTGAAGGATTCATAAACGTCTAAAAGTGGTATAACAACACTAAGCTAATTTATTCTTAACAGCCATAAATCACATGAGCCATGCCAATGAACATGTAAGATAGAATTTTCAGGAATGTTGTGCTATTTATTACGTTAAACTAGTTTAATCATCTTCTTTTGAGTGATATAACGACACCGGTCAGAAGCAGGATAATAAAATGTTGGTGCACAAATAAACGATTGTTGGATTGTAACAGAACTGTTTATTATAAAAGATGGCGCTTCATATGGATGCTGCCTTACACTGATGAGCTGATAGCAGTATATGTAAGATCCGTTTTGAATGTTTTATGTGTGTGTGAAAATCCCTCCATGTATATACTTGCACTTTGTCCCTACTGATCCCCTTAGTTGTTCATTGTTAACTTTTTGATTACATTTGAATTGTTAATATTTGTATTTTATTATAGTTTTTATTTTTATTACGCCTTCACTAAGTCTCCATATTTCTTCCCCAACTGCACTTATGTTGTTTTACTTTATACTTAGTCTTATCGGCAGCCATATTGGTTTGTTCCTCCTTTTGATTGCTTGACCTGTGTTGACTCGAATTGTGCATTTTTGGTTGTGAATTGAGGCACTCTTCCACAATTGGAAACAATCTGTGTTATAAATCGACCAAATATTATGTTTTGAACGAATCTGTGCGTGGTCTATCCAGACAGGATAGAATAACATTTATTTGTCGTGATTGGTAATTTTCTTGCATCCTTTGTCAACTTCCTTATTTATTGTAATTAAGATTTGGTCAATTGAACAATTAATGGTTGGATAGCTGAATGGTCATATTTGTTTAGGTAATAATGTACATTTAAATTTATGATGAATTATAGAACCGTCATTTTACCCAATTACTTTGTTTTGGTTTCAAACGGGCAAGGGCGCGTATCTAACCCACCTAATCAGCTGTTCATCAATCCAAACCTTAGTTTGGATCTTACAGTATATGCTTCACGTTTCATTAAATTTATAAAACAGAAAACCTGTTTCATTTTTTTCAGTGTTTCTTGTGACCGGTTTTCAGGCAGTTGCTATAACAGCCTTTATTGTAGAAAGATTTTTTTTATCAGAAGTATGAAAAAAGAAGTACTCTGACGTTACGTTCTGGATACATAATTTAGACACTGTATTAGGATAATTTATTCAACATTGACATAGGTGAATTTTTGACATTACTTCTTTTATTTTAATTATTTACACCAAATTGTTAGGATCACTGATGCTATGTGTTAAAGAGCTGCGTTGATCAAACTTGTTGTTGATATCCATTATTTTAGGAGAGATAATCGGTGAAACAGCCGAGGAATAGTGTTGTTAACCACTCACAAACGGATTAGTGTCTCATATTTAGATATTTGGAAACTTCTAAGACTTCACTTCGACTTGAGAGGCAAAGATCATTGATAACAACATCCAGCTTGAGGTCCCCAAAACATTTAAGGTGATGGTACAATGCAGTACAACCATGATAGAATATTAGTTGTAGTAGTGTAATTTAACTTAAATTCTATATTTTATAACATCAATTTGTTTATGATAAGAAAAATAACGGAAACAGAGCAAGTCACCAAAAGTTTTCGAATATATCCCATGAAACATAATGTATATTTTCATATTCTTCTGATTCTTTCGCCTAAGAAGCATATATTTACTTACTTGGCCTTTCTTATTTTGATAAACTATTGGTCTTGGGTTTTGTGCCTACTCGAAAAGTGTATGAGGGAAGTATGAATCAACTTTTAAAAAGTTTATTTTAGGTGAATAATTAGTGGACTTAAACTAATGTAATAGGGAATTTCGTAAATTCATATTACGTATCAAGCAGGCCAAGCACATTGCAGTGGTAAATCCCAAAAACAAATAGCTCTGTAAGTCTTCGATATTGGATGCTGGCCATACTAATTCTAATGAATTCACTTAGCTGAAGGCGCTCGGTCATGCATCCTCACCAGATCAGGAGTAGGAACGCCGTGCTCAACATCCCCTGCAATCGCTAGTCAGATGATCCTCGATGTATTGATAGCCTATCAAATATATCTTCGAACCTCCTCGTTTCTGTCTTTTGATTTCACTTAGTGGATACGATTCATATTAAGTGTTGCTGGTTAAAGCGTTGTCAAAGTCCAAATACCTGTGGCATCTTCAACATCTTTAGAAGCACTGAAATATTACTACATGTAAGCATTATACACAGGGGCTTTAAATATGAGTTTTTAAGTAGAAACCATTTATGACAATGCTATGCCTCATCTTCCGTGGTAGATTGAAAATCTTACAACTAACTGTGACAATGTTTTTATAGAGGCTAATGTTAATGTGCATTCATTTGATGGTGATTGAAAGCCCGTAGTAAAATTACATACTGTGTATTGGTGAAAAGTTCTTTGGAACGACTATCACTAACAACGTAATTATATAATACTGTCAGTTAAATTAGTTAGACTAACGTATCTCATTTGATTTAAGACGTATAGGACGAAATGACAGTTGGCAATATTTAAGGCGGTTGTATCTCCATCTACGATTCTCTTATTAACAAAAAGAGAAAATATTGGAAGTAATGCCGCAGAATAATTTATAGTCTTACTTCTTTCAGAAAATGAGCTTTATATAAATCAAGATATCAACGGGATCACATTTAGTGCACTTTGTCCAGTGACACGATTTGCAATGCGCATGGCTTCCATGGTCATTAAAAACTACAAAGTAGGACGTGGACGTTAATCTAAACGCACAGAATGACTAGCTTGACGAGAGTAGTAATGAACGCCATAGGGAATCATGACGCACAACCTTATGGCCTTGTAGTGACTCACGTTTATCACGAGAACACGACTGGTTTAATAAAAACAATTATTATTACAACCAACTGTACCAGTGTTTGTTTTAATGTGCTTTTGTTTAACTGTGCTAATTGTAGCCATTTTGTGCTTCCATTACCTTCCATCATTGTTCCGCGGTTTTTGGTACTGTTCGCACGTACTCCTGTCTTCTGCTTTCGCTTGTACCTCTTCTTGGCACGATCTCGGTATTCGTTCAATACCACGAGATCGCCAACGAAATAAATCTGGTTACATTCAACTCTCGCCTTCTGATTTATCTGGCACGTGTTTCCTGGTAGCGGTGTTCACAGTTAATCTCAACTCGACGCCACGCTACAATTGGTGATCCCAAAGTTTGGAACACGCCGCAACCTCGGGTCAAATCTTCCAAAGAAGTCAATTTGGTGAGTCTATTATTTATCTATCCACGTCTGTCGTATATTTTCATATTAATTTTTAATATATAATATACACGACATGACGGATAGCGAGAAGAATACTATTAATGTTATAGACTCAGACGTACAGGCCATTCATTTTCGACCTGTATCATTTATCCCCCACGACCCTGAGGTCTGGTTTGCTGCAATAGAGTCTCAGTTCGAGACTCGTCGTATCACGAGCCAAAGGCAAAGATATGCCTACGCTCTCGAATCGTTACCCGGGGACCATTTAGTAGCTGTTCGTGAGGTCGTCCTCAATTCTAACGTGCCTAATGTTTATGACCGCCTCAAGGAGGCAATTCTCCGACATTTCCTCCCATCAAGGGAGGAACGATTGAGGACACTGTTAGCACGTCACCCCCTGGGTGATGCTAAACCTAGCCACCACCTCACGCGCCTGCAATCTCTTGCAGGACCAACAGCAAGTGACTCAGAAATAGTTAAGGAATTGTGGCTTGAGTCACTACCAGCGCATATCCAACCCACAGTGACGGCACTGCTCGAGGACTCACCGCTTAATCAGGTAGCCCTCATAGCAGACAAGATTTTGGCGAGGACTAGCAATAGAGACACCTATGTTGTTGCTTCGACGGCACGTCCTAAAGTAGACATGGACGCCGGTCATTCCTCAGCTCATGGTGACAGGGACGGGTGTATTCACACACGTCTTAGTTTTCGAGACCGTTGTAACGTACCCCAACCCTACGTCCCCCGAGCTCGCTCAAGTTCTCGCAAGCCCGTCACCACTCGCCCAAAAAGGGCATCTTCCAGGCCACGCCGAAAGGCGGCTACGGAAGCGAGTGACAGTTGGTGCTGGTTCCATAGGTCCTTCGGGTCTGGCGCCCGCCGTTGTCGAGCACCATGCTCATACAAGGCGGGAAACGCCAGCGCCGGCGAGTAAAAGCGGCCGTACTCGCCGGCCCTTCCCCCCAGGTTGGTCGCCTATTCTATGTGCACGATTATCGCACAAACGCTAGGTTCCTAGTAGACACTGGGGCCCAAGTTTCTGTCGTACCACGAGGTAGCAGCAAGTCACAAGCCACAATGCTTCGACTACGCGCTGCGAATGGCTCAGTCATTCCTACCTACGGTACACGACAACTCGCGGTCAACCTGGGCAACCGACGACGGTATCTGTGGACGTTCATCATTGCTGATGTTCCCACAGCCATACTAGGTATCGATTTTCTACAGCACTATGAATTGCTTGTCGATTCACGTAGGCTGCAGCTAATCGATACTTCGTCGAACAGCAAATTCATGGGCTGTAAAGCCCACATGAACGCGTACCGAATCCTCGGCACTTTTTACTCGCGTGACGATAAATTCCACGCTTTATTCGAGAAATTCCCCGTACTCACTAAACCACTCGAGGAGCTTCCATCGGTGACCAATCGTGTGGTACACCACATAGTCACCCGCGGACCGCCAGTCACGGCACGACCTCGCCGACTGGCACCGGACAAATTAGCTTTTGCTAAGCGTGAGTTTGACAATTTACTAGCTACTGGTATTATTCGTCCTTCTCACAGTCCATGGGCCTCTCCTCTACACATGGTGCGCAAAAAAGATGGGGTTAGTTGGAGACCATGCGGCGACTACCGAGCTCTAAACGTAGTTACGCGCTTTGATAGCTACCCCATTCCCCACATACACGACATCACGGCATCGCTCAAGGGCACGACTATCTTTTCTAAGATCGATCTGGTACGAGCATATCATCAGATCCCAGTCGCTCTTGAAGATATCGAAAAGACAGCTATCACGACTCCTTTCGGTTTGTTTGAGTTCCTACGAATGCCATTTGGATTACGGAATGCTGCTCAAACTTTTCAAAGGTTTATCGATAGCATTGTACGAGACCTCGATTTTGTTCACGTCTATATTGATGACCTGCTAATCGCATCATCAAACGTAGATGAACATTATCAACATCTTACGCTATTATTCCAACGCCTTTCGGATAACGGAATAGTAGTCAACCCAGACAAATGCGAGTTAGGTAAACGAGAAATAATATTTCTGGGTCATGTTATCAAGCAAGAGGGTATTTTACCTTGTGAGGACAAAGTGCAAGCAATAAAGGAGTACAACGTGCCGTCCTCACTCAAGGAACTGAAGGCTTTTCTCGGTTTGGTTAACTTCTACCGTCGTTTCATCCCACACGCGGCAGAACGGTTACGACCACTAACCGACTTACTACGCGGCAACCCACGCAGATTGGAAATGAACGATTCTGCACGTACTGCATTCACTGAAATCAAAACGGCTCTTGCGCAAGCCACTCTTCTCGCCCATCCCGATCCATCAGCCACGCTTAGTATAGCGGTTGATGCATCCGATGTTGCTATAGGAGCAGTCATGCAACAAAACATCTCCGGTAGTTGGCAACCTCTCGAGTTTTTCTCACGACGCCTCACTACCACGGAGACGAGATATAGCGCTTTTGGTCGCGAGCTGCTAGCAGCCTACTGCGCCATCAAACATTTTCGGCACGCAGTAGAAGGACGTCGATTCATTTTATTCACCGACCATAAGCCCTTAACGTATGCTTTGCATACCAAGTCTGACCGCTACTCACCACGAGAGTGCAGACATTTGGACTATATCTCCCAGTTCACGACAGACCTTCGTCACATCCAAGGCAAGTCGAACTGTGTTGCCGATGCTCTATCACGAATCCAAATGAATGCAGTTACCCTGCCGGTGCTCGATCTTCCTGCTATGGCCGCTGCCCAAGCAAACGATCCCAGCTGTACAGAAGCACCACACTCTACGTCCCTTCAGTATCAGGAAGTACCTCTAGCCACGACTTCTGGCACCATTCTATGTGATACTTCTACCGGTCTTCCTCGACCCATCGTACCCTCTGCTTATCGCCGTCTCGTATTCGATGCCCTGCATGGATTATCTCACCCAGGTATCGCAGCTACATTACGTCTCATCGCTGCACGATACGTCTGGCCGTCCATGAATAAAGATGTTCGTATGTGGGCTAAGCAATGCTTACAATGTCAACGATCAAAAGTGCACAGGCACGTAGCCGCCCCCCTCGGTACATTCGCTACGCCTGATGCTCGCTTCGATCACGTTCACTTAGACATTGTAGGACCACTGCCACCATCGCACGGGTATGATCACATACTCACGTGCATCGACCGCTTCACCAGATGGCCCGAAGCTATACCCATCACGTCTATCACGGCGGAGACAATTGCTCACCGCTTCGTAGAACGATGGATAGCTCTATATGGTTGTCCCTCGACCGTCACGACTGACCGAGGACAACAATTTGAGTCCGCACTATTCTCCTCACTTACTCGGCTGCTTGGTACGGAACGAATACGCACTACCGCCTACCATCCAGCTTCAAACGGTTTAGTTGAAAGGTTTCACCGGCAACTTAAAAGTGCTCTTCGAGCACACGAAAACGACGACTGGTACGAAACCTTACCGCTCGTTCTTTTAGGTATCAGAACGAGTTTAAAGGCAGATATCCAATGTTCCGCCGCTGAACTTGTTTACGGCACGACATTGCGTCTGCCCGGGGAATTCTTCACACCACGGAGCAGACCTGATTTCGCTAAATCAGACTACGTCCAACGACTGTCCGCATTTATGCGAACGCTGCCTCCGGTGTCAACTCGAATACAACATCGACAGGTCGCTCTCCCTCGAGAGTTATCTACCTGTTCACATGTTTTCATACGAGTAGATTCGGTACGCAAACCTTTGCAACAACCTTACGAAGGCCCTTTTCACGTGATCGCTCGTCACGAAAAGACCTTCAAGGTTGATCGACACGGCCGCGTCGAGATCGTCAGCATTGATCGTCTCAAACCAGCACACGTCGATGACAGTGCCCAATCTGACAACCTGAGATTCAATGCTAGACCTAGCAAACCTACTAGCGGGATCCTCAAATCTACAGGTCCCACGCTAGATACATCTGAGACCTCATTCTCACGTCCTGGTCAACAGCACGCGTCATCTGCACCGTCTACGGACGAGACAACAGTCTCACGTCCAGATCAGCAGACCACGCCGCCTCTGACCTCGGATGAGATTGCAGGCTCACGCGACGCGAACGAGACTGCCGTCTCACGTTCCGGTCGCCGAGTACGGTTACCCGTACGCTTCCTCGACTAGTCGCACAGTCGACAACCGATACGGTGTAGGAATATTCCTATGCTACTTGTATGCTACACTCTTCTTTTTTGATTTTCTTTTTGTTTCCTGAGCCCACGCCTTCGACCATCTCCGTTTGGTTCCGTCGACTTCAGTCAACTTTGGCGAAAGCTGGATTGGCCACCCACGCTCTTGTCAACGTACTCAGTCGATATATTGGTTTCGAATGCTTGGCACACGCTTGGTCTCGAACTTGGTCGTTACGGTCGCTTCTGGTCTTTTGGCTCAACGTGGTTTCGTCCTACGTCTGCAGCGTTTCTGGTACGCAGTCCTACGAACGCCCTCTTCAGATTCTGGATACAAACCACTCTGGTGTAGCATGCCAACTCGAGCAATAAATACAACACATCGCTCCTGGTACTGTTCTCCGAAAACGACCCTCGTTGGCAACTCGACGATCAACGATCGCTTTCCTGTTCGCCAATTCTTCCGTCCTACAATCGCTCGTCAGCCGATCAGTCCCACGATTCAAACCGCTATTTATCGAAAGTGTAAACCCTTTCTAGCGGGGGGCTCCTGTAGTGACTCACGTTTATCACGAGAACACGACTGGTTTAATAAAAACAATTATTATTACAACCAACTGTACCAGTGTTTGTTTTAATGTGCTTTTGTTTAACTGTGCTAATTGTAGCCATTTTGTGCTTCCATTACCTTCCATCATTGTTCCGCGGTTTTTGGTACTGTTCGCACGTACTCCTGTCTTCTGCTTTCGCTTGTACCTCTTCTTGGCACGATCTCGGTATTCGTTCAATACCACGAGATCGCCAACGAAATAAATCTGGTTACATTCAACTCTCGCCTTCTGATTTATCTGGCACGTGTTTCCTGGTAGCGGTGTTCACAGTTAATCTCAACTCGACGCCACGCTACAGCCTTCTTCGAAAACCAGAGCCTGCGGAAAAGTAAATTGTGAGGCTTTAGAGACGGTTGAATGTGTATTATAGTTGCTCATAAACGATATAGTCTACATGGACTAAAGCAAAGCCCTTGACATAGCTAACCAAACTATGTTTTTGGCGTTTGATGAATAATCTTTGTTGGTGAGCTTGCAGGTATCTTTTCATTTGAATTTTAAGTCAAATTTTTACAAAGAAAGATTTATTTTCAGTTATAATGAGGTGTAATGAATCTGTTTGATCTTTACGAAAATGATTCCAGTAATAGTGCATCCAATGTCACCCATTTTGGTTATGATATTCCGTAAGCTTAATGAAATTACAACTGTTTATTCTGATCTGTTTCCAAACTTAGAGGACTTTTTAAAAAGTCGTCGACATCATTCTGGTGGTGGTCGCACTCTCTTCATTGTAGCTACTTTTACCAAATTATTTCTGTAATAACGTCCTCCAAAGTAGCCCTAGGGTCTTGACACAAAGAATGGTTAATCCGCGTTAAGTGCTGATCGCGAGGTGTGAATTCAGAGTTTCTGTTTCAGCGCACCACACTTATGTTCTCGAGTAGGCACCTAATTATTCCAGATAGATGATCTACGTTACCGATCTGTAATGTCATTCAATATGCCAAAAAGAGGAACAGTTTGTGATGTGCTGGAAAATCATTTTCTGAGTATATGTTATATTCAATACAGACATATTTATACTAGGCTCAGAATTGTGTATTGAGAACAGAAGACCTAAAGAGAACAGAATCTAAAATGCGTTCCGTTGAGTACATGACCTCACACGAAGAGATAGTGGTATCCGTTAAAGT